TAAAGGAATCTGAGTTGCCTCTTAAACTATAAGATAAGGTAGCAAAGACTAATGCATATATTTATAACTAAACTATAGTTAGCCCTGAGATAGATAGACAAAGGATCACCCCTAAGGAAGCTTAGACTAGAACAAAACCTTTGATTAATTATATCTAGATCTAGAGATATAAATATTATTTATATATAAATCCAAAATCGCTACTAATATCAAGGAGACAAGATAAGCTAATAGACTATAGCTATATAAGAGTATTTATAGGATACAAAGAGAATATAATAAAGTAGTTTCGTATTTATATATTAGATCTTAAATATATAACTTGTTTCTTAGTTATAACATTTAATAAATTCTAAAAAGGTAAAACTATTAATCTTTATATAAAAAAGACCCTTAATTCTTTACCAGATTATATATTATAAAGACGACCTTAAAAAGAGCCTATCTTTTTTATTATAATTATAAACTTTAGTAAAAAAAGTAAACCCTAGCTTAGAAGATATTTTTAACTAATCTAATATTAGATTTAAAAACATTATTATTTAGTACTAAAATAATTATAAGTAAAACAGAATTAAATATAAGATTATTAATTTTAAAGAAAATAAAGATTTTGCTATATATTTACTTAGTATTAATAGGTTTACAAAGAAGAGAGAGAGTTTAGCTTACTATTTAAGCTTCCTCTAATATTTTTTAGTATGTTTAACATTAATTTTTATAGCTAAAAGATCTTAAATTCTATTAGGATTAAGGAGTAAGAATAATGTAATATTACTATAATAAAGTGTCTTAGCCTATTTGCTATCCTAGTTATAATTTATAATGTTGTCTTCTTCTTTTTTCTTCTTATCTTTATTATCCTTACTAATATAGTAACCTTTATTCTTTTTTTTATTCTTTAGCACGTATACTAATATGCCTAGCTAAGTTATAATATATATAAAGGTAAGTATTAAGAAGGGTACTTATAGTTATTAATAATTATCTAGGAAAATAATGATATTTATAATCTAGTAATAGTAAAGAATTAAGAAAATGTTATTAATATTTATTACTAGTTTCTCTTATATTATAAGATTAAGATTATTCCTTGTATTCCTATTTGGGAATAGCTTATTCGCTTATAAAAAGCTAATTAGTGTAGTTACAAAACTATAAATAATATTATTTAAGAGCATACTCTTTTAGCTTTCGAATAATATTATTTATAGTTTTGTAACTATACTAATTAGCTTTTTATAAGCGAATAAGCTATTCCTAAATAGGAAGGACTCTTATTTCGATGTATTCGGGGTTATAAGGGATATAATTATTAAAGGTCTTTATTAATATATTGTAGCTTGTTAGCCTAGAGTCTTTCCTTGAAATAGTAAAATATATATATTATTAATATCTATAGCTATCTTTGTATATAAGCTTTAGCTAACACACTGCTAATAGAGCATGTGCCAAACCCTCTAATATTTGTAAAGTATACTTTTCTTCTATATCTTATATTAGTCTAATATCTATTTCTAAAACATTATAATGTCCTCTTTAGAGCAGTGCTAGAGAAAGGCTAGGGGATCTTTATTTATCAACTCATAAAACCTAGAACTAATTAGCTTATTAATAAAGGTAATATCATTAATTAAGAGAAACTTACTTTTTCCACTATTTTTTTATCCCTTTAATATTGTTCTTAGTAGAGATGGCATAATGCTTTTTGACGGTCCCTTTCTCGGCTAACTGCTGCCAGTGCTGACGGTAGTACTCAGCTGTCAGCAAAGGAGAATCTTGATCTTTCTATACGCCCATTCTGCAGCCTTATCAGTCTGTGTAGCACCTTGGAGATCAAAGAGGGCAAGAACAGAGAGGAGGTGTGATGAAGAGGTAAATAGATCAGATAGAGAGCCGTGCGTAAAGCTGTATAAAGCGGCTCCGAGCGGTGATCAAGGGAACCTGTGGTGGAGGGTAAATACAATAAGCAGAGGCCATCGCGTCTTTATAGTTGAGAGGAACTCCATGACTACTAGCGACGCCGCTGACAAGGTGCGAACACAGCGCATCGAAGGGAGCGGTTTCTGGCGGTCGGAAAACGAGGAGCCCAGAAAAGGGAAAGGTGGGGAAGGGGGGTGTTTTTCAAGGTGCGAAGTTGGTAAAATTAGACTGGGTGACAAAAAATGTGGTAGCACGTCACATGACCCGCGGTGCAACAGACGCCGAAAGCAGCGTCAAAGACTGCCTAAAACAGCGCCCTATGTCCCGGAATCTAGAGTTGTGAGGTAGTATAGTACTTGCTGGAAGTGAGAGTCCGGCCAGGGTCTACTATATTTATCGAGCCATGCTGTGTTACATTCTACTCTGGAACAACAGTGACGACATTTGCGCACGCGATATGCAATTCACGATATAGTTGATCCCTAGGCCTCGATATAACTTGGCTCTGGGAAATGCGGAAGTACAATTATGAGAATCGCCACATCAAGAGAGAAAGATACCTCCAATCCACTATATCCTGAGCCGCTAACAGTAGCCATCAACTCCATCGCTAGGTGTCGCCCTTTTGATCTGTAGAAACCCCCAATGTCCAATCCTTTCGAGGACAGGTGCTATATATATTTATATGTCTAGCCCGTTGCGTCCGGCTCGATTACTCCTACGATGCGTGAGCGGCAGGCGGAGGAGGTGACATTAAGACCTCACACGTGGACTCCTTGTTTCCGTGGACGGGCTGGCAAAGTATGTTTGCAGCCGTGTCTGCTAGGTCGATTGCAAGCGCATAGCGCCTCATTCCGAGGCCAGCGGTCTTGTGTCGTACCTTGCAGCCCTGGGTGATGTTTTTAGACAGCGCAACTAGCTGGTGAAGAGCAAGGATTGCGTGATCACCACTTGACGTCCTTGCGATCGTTGGCCACAAGCCACTCTGGCTCGCTATCCATCAGGTTCTCAACCTGATCGCTCCATGAAGGGTTTGCCTCGGTTTTACCCGCCTGTTCGCCCCACGAAGGTTTCACGTCGGCTGTACTCTGCTGCTCACCCGACCATGGATTTGCGTCTCCGTGATTCTGCTGCCCGCTCCAGTCTTTTTTGTAGCCGTAGGGATGTTCGTGATTCTCGTTTCCGGTGCCAGCTTTGAACGGTGGGTTCTTCTCTCGACGTGGTACACTGTTCAAATGAACGGGAGGATTCGTCTTCTCAAGGGAGGTGCCCCTCTTCTGAGAGCCTGGCGCTTCCGAGACGAGCCCAGTAATGTGATGAGCATATGCACATTGGTTGTCTGGGAACCGACATGAGCCTTTGACTTTCCACCACCAACACTCAACCTGCTTGTTATTGCGGGCCGGAGGACCGGAAGGATTTTTCTGTGTCGTGGCCACTTCTTTTGCTCTTCGTCTTGACGCGCCGCTGGTATTGCTCAAGCTTTCATGCGCGTACTTGCTGTTTTGGAGACCACGTAATTGGTTCGTTTGAGTCGAGCTTGCCTTTTGGGACCCGCCGTTGACGAGCGGGACCTCAACCACGCTCTCCTGCTTTTGGCTTGCGTGATCCGATTCGGGCCGCGTAGCTGGAGCTGGTAAAGCTCCATTGTGCACCGGTGGCCCTGCCTCGGGTTCGGGCTGGCCCTCTGTTGCGCTGAGTGTCGATGGATCCGCAATGTAGCTTCTTACCACCCGCGAGATCCATACACCCGGTAAGCCTCTCTCGGCTGCTTCTTGAATGCCTTTGTTCATTTTCACCACAAATTCTGGCCATGGATAGCTCTCTTGTATCCTCTCCCTATCGATGTACACCAGTGCTCTTACGACTTCTCTCCTCGTCCCTCTACCGTCCTCGGTAATGCTGACTGTCTCTACATCCATATCCGCCTTACTGTAGGCCCAAGGCATGCCTTCATGCTTATCCAATAGCTCTTCATCGAAAGGCCGCAGGGTGTAGAGAATACCCCATACGACATCTTCGGTTCCATTGGCACCGGCTAGAGAAGGGATGATGTTTGCATAGCCGCGTTCATTAACGAACCATCGGTGATTGCGAAGCACAGCTATACCGTGGAATGTGCTGGTGGGACATTGGGATTTCATTTCAGACGTTGAGAGACTGGAGCCATAGGCGAAGTATAGCCGTGGTGCTGGAGAGAAAGCCATACTGGCGACGTTTTAGAGGCTCAGTCTGTCCAGCACGATCGTCGTAAGCTTCAATCATCAGAGGTCCAGCTTCAGGTCGAGCTTGAAGCCTTGCCTCGGCTGGGATTGCGCAATAAAAGTTTGCAAGTTGTATCCTTGGCAAAGCGATACCCCTGAACATGCGCCACGCAGTGCAATGGGTTGTGGCTTGACCTGGCGCCTCAAATTTATTGGTTGATGGATGAACTTGGAATGACAAGAACCATCATCTGATATATTATGTGATGACCCTTCCCAGGCCCTTTACCGATAAGAGTCTTTTGGCACGCTGCCATATTCTTCTGCTCGAGAAAAAGTCAGTCGTAAGTTCTAGATGGTGCCATTGGTTTCAGTGTCAAAGCTCACTCTGTAGACCACTTTCATCGGTAAAAGGTGCTTTGATGGATTGGATATCTTAATGCACTTGGCCCAATCGTGCAATTCCAGGCAGCAATCCCTCTTCCGACTTCAATTTCCTATCATGATCAAAGCATATTTCCCTCTTTCGGAACCCGAGTGCGGCCACTACTGCCATACCGCTGTTTCTCGGTAGTACAGAATGTGCTCTGTCATCTGGACTAGGAGCACTCTATTCAAGACAAGATCTCTATTTGGATCAGGTGGGCCAGATCTGGGACGCAAACGCTACAGTTCCGCAATATCTACGCCAATATACACTCATTTTTCGTGCAGCAAATGGCTGTAAAATGTCAAAATACCAGATGAGTTATGACTCAAGACAGACTTCAAAGGACATAGTTTTGGGTAATCATAGCCAAGCACGCACGAAGTTTTTGCAAATGAGCGTCCGCTTCGGAGCCTGAAATTCAGTCTTCAACCACTTGACAACTATGCATCCCGCTACTAATCCTCTGGCATTTTATCTCACTGCCTTAGCCATGCGCAAAGGGTCATAAAGGACTGTCTCGAAACATTGATGCTGATTGTGGTGTACATGCCCACTTCAACATGCCTGGCTACTTCTTTCCGGGAAGAGGCGATATCTTGTGGCTAAAAGACTCCCGACTTACGGATTTCAAATTTTGCCTTGGAGGTATCTGAAATGACTACCGCAATAGCGACGAAGTGTACGGTCATCGGCAGGAGGACGCTTATGGTCAGTCAGAGACCTACTATTATCGTGGATCTAGACGATGATCGAAACTCTTACCAGGCGTCAGGCATTACATAATTGCGAGAGAGTTTGAGGAGAATTGCGGAAGTGAGAGTCTGAAGACGATAGGCTTACAGACTTGCTGGCAGAGGCGGAGGAGACTTGGGAGAACGGCGTGGAGGTCAGAGAGCCAACAGAGCACATAGATTTAACAAAGGACTAGCCAACGTCGACAGGGCCAACCGGTGTGGACGTACAGACTATTGAAATAGCTCAAAATCGATGAGCAACCCGAACCAGTATACGATTATGTAAGCGATATCCGTAGGCTTGACACAAAAAGTGTGTATTTTTCCTGCGGTAATGCCAAGAGTTGATTTTTAGTGAAAGGGGATTGGTTAACATTTCCATCGAATCAGATTGAAGGCCATTAATTAGCGTGGCACTAGGTGGCTTAAGCAGGGAGGTACCACACGGAGGTGTACTTTATCCGCAGCCGGATCGTTAATACACTAATGCACACTAATAAAGGCCCGGCTGCGGGTAAAGTACACCTCCGTGTTCTACCTCTGTTCTACCTTGCTGCATATCTTCATGCATGCTGAGTAATTTCACCGTCGTAATGAAACCAAGAGCACTCTTTTGGTCTTTTGAACATGGCTTCAAGTGGGCCTCTTCCTGCTAAGTACTCTTAGTAGTACTGGTAGATGATGAAGTTTGTCCGGGCCTGGCGAAATCGTCGATTTACGTCAAGGTGATGGGTATTATTCATTGGGTATGCGCAGGGTACACGCGTCAGCTGAAGAGTGTGGACCGGATGTCACGTGATATATAGCGCTGCAACAAACGCTACTGGATTCTGCGCGTCTTCGATGAATTTGCTGGTTATCAAACGGTGGCGTATCGTGCGACGTTTTGAATGCGTTTTATCACAGATTTGTTACGCGTTTCGCCTCGAATTAACATGTATTTTTAGTATTGACGTTTCGCGCTATTTCGCATGGATTGGCAGTTTGATATAGCAATTTGGTATGTATAAATAGGCTCTCCTTGCGCGGTCAATTAGATAGAACAACTTGCTATTCAGATTCTATTCTCCTGATTAGTCAGCAACGTTCGACAAAGAGTCACCAGGTGTCTCTACGCAGTAACTTAAAGGATTTTCCTGCCCTCGCTAAGCCAAATGTCCGATTAGGGTACTTGATTCCATCAATACAGGGTAGCCTTTCCGATATGGCTGTGCATTAGGGCTCAGGGTAGGGCCATGGGATCCTAATGGAAAGTGTATGGTCAGGGGTGTCCGAAATGGTTGACACAGGGTTCGCTCGGGCCATATTTTCTGTAAACCCGGCTTGGTATTTGTACAGTATGTACTAAGTCTGAACTGCAATTATTTGTATTAATATAATTAAAATTCTGTAGACAATGGAAATTGATGAAATTCCATTGGTCATTTTGTTAGGACACCCAATACAAATCATTCTTGGCCAGTCATCTTCTGTTCTGTCTTGTAAGCAATGCTGTTAAAGATAGGGCAATTCAGTAAAATTACATATCAGGAAGCTTATTACATATACAGTCACTTATCTCGATCCCTGATCATATCATGTCAGACCTTGCTTATAAATAGCTCGGTGCCTTATGATTAAAATGACATTAAATTCAAGGATATCCAGTATAATTTGGTCTCAATGCATGTATTCGGATTTAACAAGACAAAGTGATGAATTACGAGATGTATTACATTATTCCCGTCTCCCACTCCGCATGCACAACGTCCATCCATCCGTTTGTCCTTCATCTTATACGGAGAGGTCGGTTACACTTTCTTCACACAAGCGATTGGCAAGCCCAAGGTATTCTAGGACTATCTGATTCTACTATTCTGAAACGAGGTAGTTGAGGTCTGGTGGACCCCTGCTTTGCTCATGTGGTATGCTTGTCTCGTTCCAGTCGGCGCATCCTACTGAGTAAGCCTAACTCCGAACCCTCGCGCGGCGACACTCTGCACCGGATGCGGATGTACTTGTGCTTCACTCCTCCCTCTCATCATTCAAATCACGTATATCCTCTCGATTTCAGCCAGCTGACACCGCCCAGAAACAGGAACACTAAGAAATCCAACACTTACAGGCTTCTGCGGTCTCCTGCAGTCGTGAACGTCTTTCCTCTCGCCCAATCGATCAGATAGCTGGCCAAAAGTGACCCCCCACCTTCAAAATGGGGATGACGCGTCTCCTCCGCCAGCCCTTCTCCCACCCGGCTCTTCCCAGTGTCTCCTTCGCCTCCCGCACGATCATTGTCACGGGCGCCAATGTCGGCCTCGGCCATGCAGCCGCGGCGCACTTCGTACGACTGGGCGCCACTCGCGTTATCGCGACGTGCCGCTCGGAATCCAAGTGCGCGGCTACGCTGGCCGGCATCGAGGAAGCCGCCGGCAGGAAGGGCGTCGTGCAAGTCTGGGAGCTCGATTACAGCAGCTACGCGAGCGTCCAGGCCTTCTGCGCGAGGGCGGATGCCGAGCTCGACCGGCTGGACGCCGTGGTCCTGAACGCGGGGGTCGCCACGCGCATCTACGAGGTCGCCGAAGAGGACGAGAGTAGTCTCACGGTGAATGTCGTGAGCACGACGCTGCTGGCGGCGCTGCTGCTACCTGTGCTGCGCCGCTCGGCGGACAGGTTCTCCTCGGAAAATAACCTGACCGTCATCAGCAGTGAGGTCCACCAGTGGGCCAAGTTCCCGGAGCGCGACGAGGCCAACATCTTCGGGTCGATGAGCGATCCCAAGACCAAGACCATGGCGGAGCGGTAAGCAGCCGGCTTCTCTCTCTCTTTCTCTCTCTGTCTCCCTCTGTCTCTCTCTCTCTCTCTCTCTCTCTCTCTCTCGCTCGCTCTCGCTCTGGGGGCGTCACGGCAGACGAAGCTCGCGTCATTCGCAGGTCCCCCATTTCCCATCCTCTCGTTTCGCCGGGAGCTCCACTGACAGCTGCCGCGAACAGCTACCCCGCTTCGAAACTCCTGCAGGTGTTCGCGATCCGGGAAATAGCCGCACGAACACACGACAGCACGCCCTTCGTGACGGTCAACATGGTCAGCCCGGGCCTGAACAAGACGTCGCTAACACGCTCGACGAAGGGCCTCGAGGCCGCTGTCATAAAGATTGTCAACGCTCTGCTCGCCTGGGAGCCTGACGTCGGGGCGCGCACGCTCGTGCATGGCGTGGTTGCGGGTCGGGCGAGCCACGGGGTGCTGCTGGATCATTGTGAGCTCGAAAAGTAGGTGCCGCTCCCTTTTAAACACTTGTCCTAGCAACTGGCTTTTCGGACCTTTCAGAGCCATCCTGGCCACCGGCCTCGGCTCACAGAAATCGTGCTCAAAGTAACCTCTCGGGGCCATCGACAGCGACTGACTGTGATGCAGCGACGCACTCGCGCCATGGATCGAAACGGACGAAGGGAGGAGACTTCAGAGAAAGGTCTGGGCAGAGCTGGAGAGGAAGCTCGAGGCGATCCGGCCGGGGTGCGTGGCGGCGATGGAGGGGAAGGAGGCTTAGCCGCGAGCGAGGAGGGCGTGGCCGCGTCGAGCCGAAGGCTGGTCGCACGGACTGCACCGGGTTATCTGGTCGAGGAGGGGACTGTCCTGTGTCCATGAGATCGGAGTCGAGGGGTCTGGAAAGCTCGGCCGGGTCTGGGCTCGTCGAAGGGTTCAGTCGAGGGAACGCCGTCCGTCCAGGGTTTTGATTGCACCTACTACGTAGTTGTTTTCCTTATTTTACTAGTATCCGGTGCGAATACCCAGCTGTTTGGCTGATTGATTGGATGATTCTGTGCAGGATTCTGCGTGAAATAGCTGTGGATTCTGCGCAGGATTCTGTGTAGAATCCTGTGCGAAATAGCTGCGAGTTCGGTTGATTTCTACGGAAAATTACAAGGTACTAAATAATACTGTTAATGCGTGAAATTTCAGCCTAAATAAGTATAGCTCCCTTCATTTTGTGGGCGGGAGTGACAATCAGGCCGTAATTTTGATTCATGACCTCAGACGTGCTAGCGCACATTGACTTACTACGTAGTCTAGGTTTCGGTGCGCTGCCTCTTCGGGTCTAGCACCACCTGATCAGGGTTGGCGCTCCTCGCTGCTTTACCCACTCATCTAGTACCCTATTCCCTCTCCTTTCGCATGGGGGCGGCAAGCCTCCCCCTTCTACGCCGCTATCTCGGCCGCGGACAGCGTCTTCCACCCACTCAGGAGCCCTCCCTAGAACGTAAACGAGAAGGAAATCAATGAGAGACACCCAAGGGTAAGAAGACTTAGATCCTTGGTCCGGAGGTCTAATCCTAGTATGCTGTGACATGGCTTTGACGCTGGCGCCAAGCTGCGTAAATAAGGCAAACCGTGAACCCACGGGCCAAATTCGGCTGAGGCAATACCGCTTCGTGTCACCGCCAGCTCGTCAGGCAATCACGTTGAGGGTCAGGCAAAGCAGCAACACATCTCCATCAGGCCTAGCTAGTGCAGTATGTTTCTGAATAATATCTTGGTTGACTTCTTTTTTTGCTTTTGTCCTCTGCTTCGCCTCGCTGACTCCTGTACCTTTTAAAGCATCCCAGCGTTGAGCCTTTTGACCAGTAGCACGTGTAAAGTACTGGCAGCCTGGGCAGAGGGAACGCCCTAGTAGTTCAACAATATCACTGGTCCCGATAGAAGCTTCCAACCGATGTGGCTGACAATTGAAACCAATAATGTCGCGGCGCGGAACGGACCTACGACGCAGCGTCAATCCAAATAGCACGGTAAATACAATGATGGCGCAAACGTGGTGTTTATGAAAACTACATAGGTCCTCGCGGGGAAACGAGACTCTTAGGGCGCTCGCTAACATATTACGCTGCCCTGATCCCTGAGGTACGAAGCAAATGAAGACGCAACGAACAAGCATCGCTAGCTATTTTCAGGTCTACGCCATTCCCTTCATTGCCCTTGTCCCTGACAGCATAAACCAATGCGCCATTCTCATAACCAATGCTTTCAAAAAGTCGGGAACCGTTATCTTTTGCCTTCCCTTGTTCCGTGATATTGTTGACCAATTTCGCTACCAGCTGACGGATTCAGAGATTTTTTCAATGGGATGGCTGTGTCGTTCAGTGCACTGGGAACGGGCGATAGGGCCGGTTGTCGGAGGAATATGCTTTCATTGTTGAAGCAAGCACTAGGTATGCAGTACTGCCATGGTGGGTATCTGCCTTCTTCGCTGTAAGGAGTATATGCGGTTGATTCTGTGAATTCTGTGCCCTCTGCGCTCTGCGGACTTTACGTATTCTGTACCTCCTGCGCTCTCTGCGGATTCTTTGTATTCTGTACCCTCTGCGTTCTCTGCGGATTCTGCGTATTTTATGCTCTCTGCGCCCTCCGTAAATTCTGCGGTCTTCCTCTGTGGATTTGAGCCTTCCCTGAATTCTGCGCCCCCTGCAAATCTTGCGTTCTCTGTAAATTCTTCGTTGTTCCTCCGAGGATTCTGCGTCTTCTGCCACATACTAGGGTAGTCAGTCTGGCTGACTTTCTAGTTAACGATGCGGGAGCAAGGGCTTGGAATGGGGCACTCCTCGGAAGCTACTGATGATATGCAGACGCACTGGTAGAAGCTATGGGGTATTGAGGCGACAACAGAAGAACGCAGACGAGACAGAGGAGCACATAGCCAAATGTTGGACCGGAGGACCAAAAAGGACCGTAAATTAGCTTCTGTCTGACACCAAAGCATAGGGGAAACTCGGACAACAATCGGCGTTGATAGTGAAGATGGATGGTGGGTTTTAGACTCATGCAAGAGCCACTGGGCTGCATTTCGTCTCGTCGAAGGCCTCACCCTGCATGATGCCATGAACATAAGCGTCGCCGACCAGCTCGTAGAGCTCTTCCGCTGCCTCGGTTGTCCTTCGTCTGAGCACCAGGGGAACTTTGCTTCCCTTTGCAAGCACGACTCTATCACCCTTGGAGGTATTGAATGGTCCGATGCCCACGTATCCTTTGTCAGTGACGAGGATGTTTCGTTCACGAGCTATTTGCTCATCGTATGGTCCGTCTCGAACTGCGCGGATCAGCTCGATGCCCATCATTAATATTTTCACTAAACGTCTGGGTTTGAGGTAAGTGGCAACGCCATTTGCTTGCGATACAACTTCTATGTACCGTCTAATGACATCGCGTACTTCGTCATCAGTTCTGTAGTTTCTTGTCTGCAGTCTGGTACGGAACCATTGCGACTCATAAGCGAGACGGGTGGCTGAGAAGCAGGCCCAACCAACGTCTTGGAAGCCTTCTCCTGTGTGATAGCCTGCGTCTCCGAAGTGTTTCCTTTTCCAGTCTTTGAGTGACGATGTCCACTTGCCATGGACAAAGGTGAGATGCAGAGGCTGAGATGTATAGGGGAGGTTGACGACAATGCTGCGGAGCCGTAGATCAACGACGACATCCTCGATTGTGCCAAATGTAAACGCCTCTATTTCGCACCGTTCAAGTGAAGGGAGTCTTACACTCGCCAGGGAGTCTTTGCTTGCATTGTACTTACCAGTGGCAGCTAGTGAGCCAAGGCTCTCGGACCCTTTGAATGCAGACCAGTCAGCAACCCATGAGGGAAGGCCAGGGTGTCTGTTTGGCCTGAGGCATGGCTGAGACAGAATGTCTAGGCTTCCAGTAGTTAGACAAGCCCGAGCCGCAGCCGTGTACACTTCGGTGACATCCTTTCTATAGTCTGGGATTAACCCACTAGCTTCAAAATAAGTCTTTAGTTCGGCCTGAGCTGGAAGTTCAGATATACCATACAATGAAAAAAGTTTGTCTCGGGGATCAGAGCATTGTGATCCGGCAAAGCGCTGGAGATACTCAAGCAGACCTTTGCTTGTACTCGGATCTTGGCTTTTTATAGCATACATCTGCAACGCTGACGACCAGTTTCCTGGCTTCCTGTAGCCCCTGTCGATGGTTGCGAATCCTGAAGGAGAGTCAGCGGCGAGAAGTTGTTTTTCTACTGCAAACTTAAGGCCGATGGCGAATTGGTCGTAGTCAATCCCAGATCCATCATCACAGACTATGGTGGCTTTGCGGGAACAACTGATTTCTTGCACCACCCACGCTCGTTCGAACCATGTGCAATGAAATAAATCGCTGACAACTCCCTGGTGGGTGATTGGTGGTAAAAGTCCATGAGAACGGAGCCATGAGATCCTTCCACTCCACGATAATTTTTGCACATCAAGATCTGGTTGTCTGATGGCAAGTTCATGGTACCGATGAATAAGTCGAAATGCAAGCGCAGGGTCCCAGCCCCGTGAACGATCCAACGGGCGACACAGCCAAATAATCACATTGTATGCCGATTGGTAGACTCGATGCATTTGTCGCACTTGATTAGTCCTCTCGTCGATATCTTTTTGATGGATGCAAACCGCATCGACCCAGAGCTTGCGAGTGCTTGTCTGGCTCCTGAGGCCGACCAGGGCTTTTTTAAGTGATTCGGTAATCAAGAGCTCGGCTTCTTCATCGCCCATGTATATGGCAGCAGACAGGGCTGGAGAGCCCCAATGATAGGAGAGAGCCTCATAGTCGACGCTTGACCCACCAGCACCAATCGTGAGGATGTCAAGATGTCCTCGTAATGGGTCCTGCCTGTTGCCTGGATGCAAAGTCAACATTCGGGTTGTGAGAGTGTCTCCATTTTTGGTGGGTATTTGCTGGTAACAGTATGCAGGCCGATCCAGTTTATGACCGTGCATCTCGGGATCATACCTGAGCACCGAACCAGTGAGGCGTCTGAGCATTCTGAGAATCCAAGTTAAGCCTTGTCTTCATGCCTCTTTTCGTTTGTTCAGATGGGTGGCTAATCAAGCATTATCCAGCAGAGATCTCGATATCATCATTAATATGTCATCTGATACACATATTATAAGTCTGGCACCCGTATAGTTATCATGAATGAGCAGAAACAGATTGATTGAATGATTATGAGTTTCAGAAGTTGAGTAGCGGGCAGCGGAAGCTACTTACTATCTAGTAAGCGCCAAGCGTAACATCCACGTGATTATAAGTTCCTGGCAAAGCGGTCAATAATTTTGTATATGTAGATCTATCCTACGTCTAGGGAACTAGTCAACAGAAGTGTGTGATACTCGCCGACGGTTTGCAGGTTTAGGTAAACAAAAACCTCTATAATGCTATTATAATACTAAGACCTCTTGACAGAAGTCTCGTCATCTGAATCGATTTTCTTTGTATCGATCAGGATAACAAGCAAGAGAAGAGCTGGCAAGTTGAGCTTATGAAAGATATCTACCATCAAGCTATGCAAGTCTACGCTTAGCTCAGACCTGCAGACAATGACAGCGATCAAGTCATAAGATTTTTGAATCTATTTGGTGAGTGATCCGGTTCCTATCCAGCCACCGCCCTCATGATCATGATTCCCGTCCTCCTGCAAAGGGCGCAGAGGGCACAAGGGACTCCATAACGTAAGCAATTGCGTACTCTGTACTCCGTACATCTGTCAGCTTGAAGCCAAAGGCGAGCTAAGTCCATAGCAGAGTGAGATACTGTTGGACCAAAAGGACCGCGGCCCTTAGAGGACCGTTTACTAGCTTTTGTTTGACAGATACCTTGATTATGCTTGACGCAGGTTGGCCACTAAAGAAGCTTTCAAGTTTTATGCTGAATCTCGTGAAAGCAGGATGTCCCTAATACAGTAAGCCTACGTCTTCCCCGGTATACGTGCTAAACTGGTGTTGGACCAAAAGGACCGTAAAATAGCTTTTGTTTGACAGTAGGCGAGATGCCATGACTAAGGCTACCCTCTATGCAAAGCAGTCGGTTCGGAAAAAGGGCTTAGCCCCGGCTGTGAGACTTTGCGGTCAGGATGCCATATAAGGCCACCTACTGCTACTCGATGGTTTGTTGTTAGTTAGCCATGGCTGCCTTTGGCTATGGGTATTTCCGGAGGCAGATTCTCTACCGCTGTCATACGGGGTTAGGCAGGAGGGATCTGGCCACTAAGGCTAGTCCTGATTGGGCATAGCGCTGTTACCCTGCTATTTCTACTTCTCTTTCCTTCTTCGAGGCCTATGCTCAACTTAGTACCTTCAGATAGATCACCAATACGAACAGTTGCTGCTAGGCATTGCGTCCCTGAGCCATCAGACCTATTGTAGGCCTGACATCCGCAGTTGTCTGAGCCATTCGCTCGCCTCGAAGCCGTCTCAGGCTTCTAGTTCAGGGCCAAAGCTGCGACCGGGCAGACCTTCATGAATTGCACCGAGCTTGATAAGTTGATCTCACATAATGAACAGGAAAAAAGGGACACTGCCTCCTTATATCTATGCTCTTACTGTGTAGCCTCTTCTTTCCAATCAAGACAAATTGTAAGACGCATATTTGAGGTCTGAAAAGTGAATAAATAAATCGAGCATTCAGGCTCTACATTACGGCTGCGAAGGTGACGTGTCAGGACGTCTATTGGTTGATTTGGATCGAATTGATTGCATTCACAACGCATCGAAGTTGCTGCGCCAGGACAGGTTGATAATGCATTGTTGGAGCCTGCAGTAGCACTATTCTATACTCGGCGTACGTGGACCTCAGGGCGTTGGTCGGCGTGGGGGCTGTGGTATACCTTTCCCTTTGCTGGTCCTAGATGTAACGTACACTACCACTTGGCGAGACACCCCACTTGGCGAGACACCCCACTTGGCGAGACACCCCACTTGGCGAGACACCCCACTTGGCGAGACACCCCACTTGGCGAGACACCCCACTTGGCGAGACACCCCACTTGGCGAGACACCCCACTTGGCGAGACACCCCACTTGGCGAGACACCCCACTTGGCGAGACACCCCACTTGGCGAGACACCCCACTTGGCGAGACACCCCACTTGGCGAGACACCCCACTTGGCGAGACACCCCACTTGGCGAGACACCCCACTTGGCGAGACACCCCACTTGGCGAGACACCCCACTTGGCGAGACACCCCACTTGGCGAGACACCCCACTTGGCGAGACACCCCACTTGGCGAGACACCCCACTTGGCGAGACACCCCACTTGGCGAGACACCCCACTTGGCGAGACACCCCACTTGGCGAGACACCCCACTTGGCGAGACACCCCACTTGGCGAGACACCCCACTTGGCGAGACACCCCACTTGGCGAGACACCCCACTTGGCGAGACACCCCACTTGGCGAGACACCCCACTTGGCGAGACAGTTTTCGAGGCAGTAATACTGAAATTCGCCAGTAATATGACTCTTTTGGCTATCAAGTATCAGAATGATATGCTTGCTATTTGACGCAATTGGAACGAATATTCGACGCAGCCAATCAATGGCTAGCTCTTCGTCGGTCCATCCCTTAGGAGAAAAGGCCCATATAACGTCAGGGAGGTCCTCATGCTCTGGAAACATATGATGCTCAGGATTCTTGCCAGTAAAGATAAGATAGGGCTTAATAGCCTTTTCTGTATTTATACACTCGATAATAGAGACCCATTGAGTATTGTCTGATGCTGGAGCCACTGGGCGACCTATAGCAGGGTCAAAAACAACGTATTTCGACGCTATTTGCCCTATCTGAAACCCTGTTTCGTCTATATTGTAGATATCTTGCAGCTCAACTGCGTTTTAGCTGCAGAGCTGTTTAAATTCGGCAAAAAAGCATTTAATAACGCTAGAATCAAGGGCCATGAGTCGTTTGATATCCATTAGTCGATTTCGCCGCGTTTTAAGCTCTGGATGGCGAGCTATTAAACGCTCCACGTAGTGTTTGCCCAATTGAATCTTATCCCCCTTGCTAAGTAGCAATTTTGTAATCATTCGACAGATTTGAGCGTAATTCAGGCATAAATGCTGCCTTTGTAGGTCTCGGAAGTATTGAATCAGCACTTTTTCTTCTTGTTTTGATAGCTGTTGTGAAATGCGATCAGTTTCTGCTATAGAGGGTCGCCCTGCGCGTCGATGGGCCAGGGTCGAATTTGGAACGTCGTAATAGCTCGCAGCTTTACGAACTGAGTCAAATAGGCCTAGATCAACGTCATTTGAGGCCTGCTGAATAGAATGCTCCTTGTTTGAGTCCATTTCGAGCTATTTTGGTAGAGCTATAGCTGTTCGAAATTTGAGTGTTGCCGAACGCCCTGCGCGAAAAACTGTCTCGCCAAGTGGGGTGTCTCGCCAAGTGGTAGTGTACGTTAGTTAGTAGGTACGGAGTAGTAAGGCTGAAAATAATGAAGTACGAAGTAGTACTCCGTACTCCGTAGTAACTGTTTATTAACTAGTGCTCAGACTCCACCTTTCGCCAAGCATCGTAGGCTGGCGGCCGGGCCTCCCAAATTTGGAGGAACTAGTCGTCCTCTGTCCAGTGACAGCTGATCCATGGCTGAACTACTACTACGTACTATGCAGTAATGCAGAACGCCTCTAGAACTGCGCCCACATACTAATAAGGTATATACGAAGTACCTCACGTTGTCAATACGACCGCCTCAAGTATATTAGGATCAATTGTTTCTCAAATATGTCTCCCTTTCCTATCAAACATCTCTCAAGGTCAATTCAATTGTTCACTCTTATACTACCCCTTTTACACACTGCAATTGACAATTTCACTCATACATCTCCCTTCTCGGTCTTCAAATCCACTCCATCACCATGAAACTCCACACAGCGACCGCTTTTCTCGTCGCTGTCTTCGCCAGAAGCACCCTTGCCACCCCCATCCCAGGCGCCCTACAACGCCGCCAGATCACCGAGCTCTACCCAGACGTCACCTCCCAGTATAACGTGGGCACAGGGGCCATCGACTACGACATCGGGGTGGGGCTGATCAGCAAGTCGCCCACCAACGGCGGGCAGGACATCACCACGCTCGTGACTTTCGACATCCCCGCCGCGTGGTCCTCGTACAACACCTGCCGGATCGTTTTTACGTCGGCAGCCACCTCGTCCGTCTCCGGCTCTGGCCGCGCCGATGCCTTCCTCTCCCTCGCCCCCGCCACAGCGTCCACCGCCTCCTGGCCTCCCGGGAACCTCCGCGACATCCATGTGGGCCGCTTACTCGCCGTCCCTGGCGCCGAGGCGACCTGGGAGCAGAGTTATGTCGGACCCGACATCCCGTGCGCGGAGCTGGCTGGCGAGGTTTACGGTGGCGAGCTAGTCGGCGTTTATGATACCGATTACATCACGTGGACTCCTGGCACGGATGGAATCAAGATTGTTGTTGTGGACTGACGAGACCCCGTATGAGTATTGGCGTTGGAGCGTCCAGTAGATTTCTATCGTCTCAGCTTAATTAGCGTTCAGGGTTTGGATATCGGCTTTGAAGTCACGCTTTGTATTTTGTCAAGGCCATCCTTAATACCTCTCTAGTCCAACATCACTTCAGATAGCAATATATGCCAAATTCTGCCCTGGTCTGATCTGGTAACCAGAGGTATCTCTCTAGACTATACTAAGCCCTATGTCGAGATTTACACATCAACAATAGCCACTCTGCTTGAGCAAAGGTCATATGTCCCTGCTCTCGCTGTGTCAAAATCCCAGGTTGCAGCCTGATTTACCCTCTTAGGTTCTAGACTCGTCTCAATTAGTGACTATATTATAGGACGTCAGGAATCTCATTCATCTCATTTATTTAATACGTGTACACCGCCAAGCCCGACTGATTGGCTAGAAAGTCCAGTAAGCTTAAATTTCAGCCCCACCAGAATCATCTTTCTGATTAGATACATTTGAAGTCTTCCTTCCTTCTTGAGTTTAGCTGCAAATAAGCATACTTTAGTGCGCCAAGGCTGCAGAATTTCGCTAAGCCATATCACATCAAAAATCAGAATGTGCAGAAAAAGCGCACAGAATTCGCATGCAGAATGCGCAGAAAGAGGGCAAGAATTCGTATGCAGAATGTGCAGAAGAAGCGCACAGAATTCGCAACGCAGAATACGCAGAAAAAGGGCATAGAAACGTCGCAGAAAGAGAGCACAGAATTGGCACGTAGAAACGCGCAGAAAGAGGGCACAGAAATACGCAGAAAGAGGGCACAGAAATACGCAGAAAGAGGGCACAGAAACGCGGCCGTGTCGAGGGTCCTCAATACCTTGCAAGGCCACATTGTGGCTCTTATCCCAAGAAAGACGACACGATTCGCTACCTTCTTGACTACTCTCTGCTTGTTCGTTCTCACCTCTTCCCAACGTCTCCAAAGAAATAGCAAATGCTTGACCTACTCTTCGCTGTCCGACATTCACACTTTAGGTTCTCCACTACCCCTATCTTATGTAGGTATTAGTAAAGATGATTTACGTAATGTTCTGATTTTATATAGCGTTTCTAGCGCCCTTAAGGGAACTTATTATGAAGAGTAAATATAATAAACAGAGACCATCGTGACTTTATAGTTGAGAGGAACTCCATGACTATTAACGACGCCGCTAACAAGGTGCGAGTACAGCACACCAAAGGGAGCGGTTTCTGGCGGTCAGGAAACCAAAGGTAGAGAAGGGGTGGGGTGATTTTCAAGGGTGTAAAGTTGGTAAAATTAAACTGGGTGACAAAAAAGGTGATAGCACATCACATGACCCGCGGTGCAACAGACGCCGAAAGCGGCGTCAAAGACTGCCTGAAACAGCGTCCTATGTCCCGGAATCTAGAGTTGTGAGGTAGTCATCGTCCAAGCCACATAGCACGGCTGAGAACTACTATAGTATGGCAAAACTCTTGGATTTTGAGCGTTTATTGAGCGTTCTGGCACGAACTACTAGTCGACCCACTCTTGTTTTGCTAAGCGGCCCACTCTACGGAGTATTGCAAATTTGAAACGCATTTTGCACCATAACGGCGAAAGCGTTCGGCTCCAGATTTATATGGTATATTCATACTACCTATCTCTACATTCCATTCAATTATCAGTTTATAGGTTAGAAGAGCGTCATGTGACACGCTGTAATCAGTGCTCGGCCAATGATAACTGATCCAAAACAACGAACCATTTACCCCAGAGAAAGACGATATCCTAATCGACATAAAATGAAATCCAGTGCTCCGGACACAGGTCGCATCGCTGCGATTCATGCCATCCCCACAAAACAATCTAAGAAACAGACAAAGAATATAAATAACATCTCAAATGAGCGCGCACGCAACCACTAATATGTGATGGGGTTATAGAAGTTGAACCTCCCGTTGGGATCATACTCCCTCTTGGCTTCCCGCAGCCTCTCCAGCCGCCACGGCTCATAGCCATAGACCTGCTCGAGAGGCTCGTCGCCGAAGGCATAGTTGACGTAGGCGTTCAGCCGGCGCTCGGGCTGGCCCGCCTGCCAGATGTCCCGCATTTCTCGCGCGAAAGTGATGGCACCTTCGTCGAGGGCGGGGTCAGGCACGTACTGTACGTTCGTGGCTCTGGCGATTGGAACAAGTGTCAGTTACCGAATCGTCAACATCAGAGGATTCCATGCTTGTTTTGTGGGGGGGGAAAGAGAAAGCGGGAGAAAGATTGGCAGCGAGTGCTTACACAAGGATGTTATCTTCCCGGTGCGGATAAGCCGAGCTGTCTGAGGGAATAGCCTTCACACCCGCAACGGAGTACGTTTCGAGCACAACCGAGGCGTTGAAGTACGCCGGTTGGGCTGTGGTGACTTCCTTGAAGTGCTCGTATATCTGACGCTGTGTGGTGACGTTGTACCTCACAAGACCAACTGGGTACTGGACGTGGCTGAAGCCCTTCTGGCACAACGGGTCCGCCGAGCTGCTTGTCGTTCTGGCAAAAAGTTCGGGATAGGGTGCGTTGCCCTCTTCGCGAGAAACGGGGCCGAGAGCATCGAACGGCGCGTACAGTGCAGTGGCTTGCTCTTTGCTCCCGACGTATTGGAAGGTCATGTAGATGAGAGGCTGCCGAGGCTAAGCAAGACAGGAACTGGCGGTGGAATGAAGCAACTTACCTCCGTGGTGCTGATCTGGGGAACGTATGCTATGATCAAGCCGGTGACAAGCTCTCTCGGTTGCCTGCCGAGGTCGTTCTGCGTGTTGACGGCCTCCGTTAAAGCCTCGAGCTTATCCTGTGTGAATAGGTATGAGACGTAATACCAACTATCGACGGTCCTTGGGTGGATCTCCTTCACGAAGCTAGTCACGACACCAAAGTTGTGGCCCGCGCCTCTCATGGCCCAAAAAAGGTCGGGATTCTCGTCCTGGGAAACCGTGACTTCCGTCCCGTTGGCGAGGACCAAGTTGAAAGATATGAAGCTGTCGGAGACCATGCCGTAGAAACCCATGTAGCGACCGAAGCCACCACCAAGGCCGGGTCCTAGAAGACCAACGCAACCACAACTCCCGGTGGCTACAGGTTGAGTCAATCTTGGCATCAATGGCGCGAACAGGAGAGAAGACCACTAACTTGTCACGTAGCCTGCGTCCCATAGCGACGGGATGATGTTCTCGCCCCACACACCGCCTTGTGCTCTCACGGATCTCCCGTCGTCTGAGATCTGGAACTCGCTAAGAGCTCCGATGTTGATCTCGAGTCCGTGCTGCAGACGCCCTTGAGTTCTGACAGTTCCGTGCCCTCGGTTCACCGCGAGGAACGGAATATTCACATTGTTGGCGTATTTGACCTCGTTCGATCAGCGCACTTTCCCCGAATGATCAGACAGGAAGATCTACTCACGATTACAGCAACGTCTGCTTCAATCCCGGGGTTGGCGACTGCAACGAAGGTCGGCCTGTCGAACTCGCTGTATCGGGCAGTGAGATTATCAAACTCAGCGTCGGTTGGAAGGACTATCGAGGCTTGGGGCGACAGCTGTGGGCCAAGGTCATTGAGCACGTCGACGCCACGAATCGCAATGTTGGTATAGCCATCTCGAGGGCGTTGAAATGGGTATGGTAGTGCAGACGCATGCGGAAGCACTGCAAGAGATGCCGCAAGGGTATAGCCAATGAAAAAGCGCATGATGACAGGGCCGATCGTGCGTTATTAAGGTGGGTAGAGGTTACTCAAGCAGGGGACGGGAAACAAAATGACAGGTTCTACCACCCTTTATGCATCGAGAGCAGCGATCAAGGCAGGCGGTCAAATCGTCCTCCCGCGCTCAAAGCCACAATAAAAAGGACAAAAGAAAGAAGACTGGAAATAAGGGGAAGAATAGCGAAAACTGGAAAATATAAGGATATTACTCTCCATAAAGCCGGTTTATATAAATAGCTTGCCACAGTCTGTTGCTATTCGCCTACGGAGTAGCCGTGCGATACGATTCAATAACAATAACAAACCACCTTTTGCCAGCCTCGTAAAACGCCACCAACTTCAAGGAAACATACTGTTAGGCAAAAGTTAGTTTGCGGTCCTCTGAGGGCCCGCGGTGCTTTTGAACCAACACATACGGATTACAAACCTCGGTGACGACCAGGGGGGGTAATGCAACACCCTTTGTAATGTAAAAAGGCCAATGCCTTGGCATTACCCTGGGCATTCATACAGTGCTAGTAATCTCGGGCTAACTGAATCTGGTAATTACCGATAGGATCCTAGTATGTAAACTCGGAGTGCGAAAGAAAACCCACCAAGACACTAGCATGCTGTATCACATTCCTGCTCTGCGTTGATTAGTTACAGTACCTGCATCTTCCCCTGCATCTTTTCCAATCTTTGGGTGTTGGGGTGGTTCGAAAGAGAAAGAGTTTAGCACTAGCCGACTTTGCTTCAGCTCCAAGTTTATGTTTATCATGTCTTCGGTGACCGACAAAATGCTGCTTGGGATCACCGACGATTATTGCCCCGTTGCAAAAGTGTTGCAAGATCCTTAGCGCATGCTTCGGAGCTGCTGCTGCTGCTGCTGCTCCTCGGTTTTGCTCAAACGGCTACAGAAAGCCATTTTAAGGATCTAGATACTGTAGTACTTATATTAATGTGTGTAGCTGTCAGGCGCCTGCATAGCAGGAGGCCTATCATACCAAGATAGTTTAGAGTGGATGCCCTGAGGGCGCCCGAAGAGCATATTAGAGTATACAACTTCACTCACACTTTCGAAACCGTCTTTTGTTCGTCTTTTGCGTGTCTCCTCTGCGTCAGGCTGTGGAAGCCTGATAGTAGCTGAGCTTCTTCTGATACTTTGGACGTTAATTTTATGCCAAGAGAATCTTTTTTGACTAAGTACACTTTTTACACATAAAACCCTAATTACTTAATCTCTTGAATTTAGATTTCAAAACCAGAAAACTTTACTTTCAGTTATAGGTCAACAGATCTATAGCTACTGAATAATGTAGTTTTCTGTCATTCTACTGGATATCTATAGATTCAATATAAACAGCTCGCGCAGCAGCAGCTCCGAAGCATGTGTCAAGGAATTGCAACACTTTTGCAATGGCCAATAGCCCAACTCTCGGGTACCACACGATGTCCATCGCGATCCGGCAGCCTCCGCGGATCAAGCAGGTACACAGTGAGCCCCTACCTAGTCATGGGGTCATGTGATAGATCAAGGCGACGTTCGGATCACCCATCATCCCAAGAGCTATCCGAGTATCCCAAGTACGTGGTTGAGCTTTCTCCAGCCTCATCGCCACAATGGCAACCTCACATCAGGACGACACTTTCAAGGTGGTTATCGTGGGCGGCGGCATTGCCGGACTGACGCTCGCCAATGCTTTGCAGCATGCCGGTGTGGATTATGTTCTCCTGGAGGCCAAGTCTGAGATTGCACCGTCGTTGGGTGCATCCATCGGAATCGCTCCCAATGGAATTCGAATCCTCGATCAGTTATCGTGCTACGATGCGATAGAAGGCCTCATCACGCCGGTCGAGACTGTGGGACTCCACGACGTCAATGGGAAAGAACTCGCTCCGAGATCGGATATGTTTAAGCTTGCCCGCGTGCGGTTTGTGCTCAGGGTTGTGTGCCGGAGAGGATCAGGAAGCTGACTATGGCTGTAAGGATGAATTATCCCGTCTGCTTCCTGGACAGACAAGCACTACTCAAAATACTCGCCGAACACGTATGCGATCAAAGCAGGATTTGCCTCAGTAAACGTGTGGCAACCATCGAGCATTTCGTGGATCACGTAGAAGTTTGTTGCACTGACGGCACCTCGTACAATGGCGCTGTTGTCGTTGGCGCCGATGGTGTCAACAGCACAGTACGTCGGGAAATGTGGCGTGCTGCCGAAGCTCTCGAGTCGGGGCTGACAAGTAAGGAGGACCGGGCCAGTAAGTGAACCTCTGATCCCTACAAGAGACTTTTCTGACGAGGCTTAGCTCTCTTTGCTGAATACAAATGTCTCTACGGCATCTCGTCTCCAACAGCTGGATTAGCTATCGGAAACTTCGAAGTCACATTCGCCCAAGATGTCTCAACCATGGTCATTTCCAGTAAGGGCGGCCGTGTATTCTGGTTTCTGTTCGGACGTTTGCCCAAAGTCTGCCGCGCTGGTGAGATTCCAAGGTTCAGCCGGTCCGAGGCTGAACAGTTTGCAAGGGAAAACCTGGATATACTGATCACTCCTACTGGCGTGAAGTTTGGCCATATCTGGAAGAATAGGGAAAACTGCACCCTGGTTCCTATCGAGGAAGGAGACTATGCCCATTGGACTTGGGGCCGATTTGCATGTGTCGGGGATAGCATCCACAAGATGACCCCTAACAGCGGTGCGGGTGGAAACGCTGCCATCGAGAGCGCTGCTGCGTTGGCCAACGCCATTAACTCCTTGAAGATCGCTGCATGCAATCCGAGCCTCGAGGATGTGAGTCACATCATGACAGGCTATCAGGAGGAGCGGAAATTCCGTGTTTCCGAAACTATCAAGTCGGCTCACCAAGTGACTCGTTTCCAAGCTCTCAAAGGAGTGAAGGAGCGTTTGATTGCAAAATATGTACTCCCGGTCACTGTCGAACTTGGGGCAGACTCGGAAACGGATGGGTGGATTGGATCGACCATGCTGAACTATCTTCCACCCCCACCCCGCTCTTTGTGTGGTACCATGCCCTTCAATCCGTCGCAAGGACGTGGAAAGCATGAGAGCCTCCTGCGCCGAGCCATCTTCGCTCTACCACTGCTCGCAGTTGGAATATGGTGCTTTGTTGTGATCCTGAAGCATCTTCCATTTGGCCTGTTCACAGAGATACTTGAATCCGGACGTATAAGCTGGGACCACGATCGATCAGTGTCTGTTATCAAGACTCTGTTTCACATCGAGTTCCTGGATCAGATGCTCCGGAGTGCTGCACTCGCTATGGTCCCTTCGGCTCTCGCGATGGACAAACCCAGCGCTCTGCAGATGCTCACGTTCATCACCGATACTGGCCTTGTGTACGCAATCATGCTCGTCGAAGGCGCGCGCCGCGCAAATCTCTTCAAGCCAGCATCCTTGCCCTTTATATTCGGACTCCTGGCGGTCAATGGCATCGGAGTTTTCTTTCCTTTATACTACTACCTCTTCTACGTCCTCAGTCCGATCGCCACATTCGCGGCACTGGACAAACGCCTCACGGACCGTGCTTTCACACTCGGCGTGTTGCCGGTGTTGGCGCTTTCGTACTATACGCCCCTCTTCGTCGCCTATTGCGCCTCGAGTCTGGAGCTCCGCTACCGCGCACTATGGATGTGGCATCTGTTCCCTGTATGGACCGTGGTCGGCCAGCATGTGCTCGCTTGGACGGTGATGCCCAAGACGATCGTCACGGACCGCATGCAGAATCCGAAGCGCGACCTGTGGGCAATTCGGATCACCATTGGATCACTGACGGCATTATCAGCGGCCGTCTGGCTCTCGACTCTTTACCAAGCATTACGTTTTGGGTTCTCGCTTTCAGCTCTTTTCTTTCCCAATGATGACATTCACACGTACCTTGGAGGTGTTCGCAACATGCTGGTCTGGGATCAGTTGTGCTTCTCTCTCAGCTCGCTGCTCTGGATGCTGTATCTCTTCTCCGACCTGAAGCGAGCAGGAATGGTACGACGAAGTTGGTCTTTTGTGCTGGGGGTGCTCATCGGCGCGTCTGTTTTCGGAGGGACCGGAGCAGCTGTTGGTGTGGCTTGGCTGTGGAGAGAAGAGGTGCTGGCATCGAGAAGGCACAAGGATGCAGTTGTCAAAGCGAAGGGAAGCTAGATGTCAAACGGCATCAAGTACCCTTTTCTTTTTTGGCCCTACTACCTGGCAGAGTGAGTCTTTGACACTATGATAGGTACATTATTCCCTTCACGACATTACTGGCTTTACATAGCAGGGAATAGCCGGGAGATTGAGGTTATTATTACTACGTAGTACGTAGTAGTACGAGTAGTAGGACGTGACGTAACTTACCTATCAACGGAACATCCCCCGTGAACGGAATAGGCGTTAAGCTTGGCATAACCCCAAGGCCTACGAGACCTAAACTTGGTGCCTAGAGAACATCAAAACTCTCAAAAACGCTTGCAATGCCTCTCCCCATTCTCTACTCCAACTCGTCACAATTCAACCCGGATAGTCTTTTACGTTCATATAATAGAACTTCTGTACAAATACATTGTCATTTATATCGCAGAACTATAGATCAACAACTTTCAGCCAGTCTGATTACATTTTGATATTAAATGTGCAGTTTATTCCGCGTCCAAATTTGGGTTAAGACCGATCCTTGTTCCGTTGAAGGGGGCCAGGCCGTTGATAATATATGTCGAGCGGCAGGAGCGCTCATTGGTTGGATTTTCTACGCGAAACCCATGCGTTTCGCCTGCGTTTGATTGGTCAATTTCTGCTGCAATTTCGCAGCTAATTTCGCCGTGCTGTACAGCAAATTTGTACATATTTCTGCGCTCTGCGCAGCTTTTTTGAACGAACAGAGCCACTTCTTCTACCTCCTCCACAATAAATTACCTACTCTAGTCGAGGGTGCGGCGGGCAGGATCCGGAGAGCCCCAATTGCGGTTGTACAAGCCAAAGTAGACATAAACATGATCTGGTCGAGTATCCAACGTAGATACTTCATGTCCGCTTCAGTCGCGGCTCTTATCTGTTATAAACGAGGTGAATGCACGGGCAACAGAGCGGTTGTATTACTAAAACTGACCGTGAAGAAACTGAGATTACAAGGACTATGACCTTGAAAAATATTCGAGGTCTATAAGCAATTCAGACCTGGCACATACAAGTAATTCCTTGTATACAACTACATCCACAAGCATTTCCTGTACTATGGCATCGAAAATAGCACATGACCAGGGTCACACTCTAAGCCTATTCGGAGCTAGTGACACAGGGGACACTATATACGTACTACACAGTCGTACGTACTTAGCAGGAAGAGGCCCACTCGAAGCAATGTTCAAAAGACTATGCAGCTAACCCGTCAATAATCAAATCAGATTGTGTAAATTCAGCCATCTAACTCATATCTAACTACGGTATTTTGAGAAAAAGACGGCTGAGCGACGGTCTTACAATGTCATTACATTTCCAACGGCACTTTTCGCATCGCTTCAACTGGGCCTTTTTCCTGCTAAGTAGTAAGTACACAATCTTAGAACCCTAAACCCTATTATTCCATCCCCGTATGACAGCTATCGAGAACGCGCATCATAGGATGGAAGTCGATGCAGTCTGTCCCGGCCCTGTGCACACGCCGATGATGGAGGCGGGGCTGGTGCGCGCGCCGCATCTGACTGAGGGTATCAGGCACTTTACGCCCTTGGACAGGATGGCCGTGCCAGAGGAGACCGCACAGATGATTGTGTACCTTGCCAGCCCGGCGGCAACTTACATCAACGGGACGGGGCTTCTCATCGATGGAGGCATTACGCTCGGGACGCATACTGGGTAGAAAAGTGAAAAATTAACAAAAGTCGATTTGGTCTGTAAGATCTGAAAATTCATGCAGATGGCAGTCCCGCGACGCTGGAAGTTGACGCCCGCTTCTAGACTTTCGAGTTTGGATCTTGGTATGCCTCCATAAGCGCTTGCTTGCCATCTCCCGCTCGCTCTCCAAGCCTTTACTCTCACAGTAGTGGCAAATTTGAACAAGAACAAGAGGCAACTCGAGGCACGTTCATGCATCAAAGTCCCAAGAATTATCATATATCGCCATCCGGCAGTTTCCGTCTTCGTATCCCAATTTCTCGTTCAGACCCTCTTCTTCAGGCAAATCACCTGCTCCATATCCGGTCTAACCGCATCGGGCGAGTACACGTTCGGCGGTCTTTTGGTCTGACCTTCGGGAAATGCGATATCGTACTTTATCAGCAATTCCGCGATGATCAATTTGATCATCGAGCTCGCATACCAACGCCCTGGGCACGTCAACCGTCCAGAGCCCCACGCGATATTGCCGGGCTCGATGCCCGTGAACTCTTCCTCAAGCGTGGGCTTGTGGTCGGGCTCTGGCTTGTACCAGCGGTACGGCCTAAATACGTTCGGTTCCGGATAGTTGGCGGGATCTCTCGCGAGGGGATCCGCGGCCATATTGATGTAGAGCCCCTTGGGGAGGGTGACGCCGTTAGAGAGGGGAATTGGTTGGAGCACCTTGCGGTGAAAGCCGACTTGATGTGCGTGAGTTGGTGGAAATGTGGCAATAAGTATTGGAATATTCACGTACGGTAGTCTGGTTGGTTCAAGCGCATCGTCTCCTTCAGGAAACTGTCCAACTTTCTCAGTTTCTTAAGGCGCGCCAGGTCCCAGAATTCGCTGTCTCTCAAAGCCTCGAGTGCCTCGGCGCGCAAGTCGGCAATGTATTCCGTTTTTGCGCACATTTCGTACAGTGCTTGCGTGGTGACCATGCTTGATGTGTGGAGCTGGATCCGGACGATCAGAATAGAATGATGTGGAGTTTGGGGGGGATGATTGAAGGGGGAGGGTCGACAGGAGAACTTACCGCTGCTGTCATGAGCCCCAGTAAACGCAGTGTGAGCGCCGGTTTGTCTATGCTCTTGGATGTTAAAATCAAGAACTGTAAGAGGTCTAAATGTTTATCTTCGCTCCGCAAGCGCTCATCGATGAGCGGGTAGAGGACGTCATGAGCACTTTTCAAAATCCTATCCAGATGAGATTTTGGAGCCAGAAACGGGCGAAGGATGGGCCGAAGCCACGCGGGATATGGTCTTAGTACTGCAGCAACTTGCCAAATCGTCATCTGCCAATCCGTGGATGCCTTGAGCCATTGAGGATCACGGCTTGTCGGTAAGCTAACAAAGGATCGGGAAGCGACGCTCAAGACCATCGTATATGCAAAAGCATAGGTCGGAATCGAGGTGCTCTCTATTGGAATATCAGATCGAGGTCATAAAACTTGGTACACAAGCTTACTTTCTGTATTCACGTCCTTTAGGAATTCAGGCATCGCCAAGCGCAACTCCTCGTTCATGTCGGGTACGAAATAAGCTAGCAACGGCTGTCAGCAAGCGCGCAGTGAACCATCACGACCGAACATGGAGAGCAGCATACGAAGCTTCTGAGTTAGCTGCACTCTGCACACATCAGAATGCTGACGGCTCTTGATGAGCTCATCCATGCCATTGTATTGCCCCAAGAGCCTTTCGACCAAGGAGGCAGAGTGACTGAGCTTTCCCTCTGGTATCACGCGCAGTTCCGGCAGGAACTTCGGAGAAACAATCAAGCGCTCCATGTCCGGCGTTTGCACCCAGAAATTCTCGTCTTTGCACTACAAGATCTGGTAAGCTGAAGCTTCGCGTGCATTTCCAAACGCTTTTACTTCATGGTAGCCTCGATCTAATAACCTATGGCCGCTGGCCTGAAACTCCTGCTTCGCAGCCCAAAGCCTGAATCCAAAGATGCCCGGGTCGATACCTATACGGCCCGATTTCAGATTCGACCGCCGTCTGGAGAGAAATGCTGCCACCAAAAGCACGATACCGTAGACAAAGAAAGACAGAGGAGAAGGCATGGCGACAGGAACGACTCTGCAGCTTTGACGGGGAATTTGCGCTATAGGCAACAACAAGGTCCGATAATTGCGAAACACAGGGAAGATTTCTCAATAGGTACACTTCAGACCTCTCAGGCGCCAGTTTTGGCCGGTGCTACCAATTTAGCGGTCTCCAATGGGAACAAGGCAGTGCGCATCCTATCATCCGAATAACCGAGGCTCAAGGGAATCCATGCATACGGTCCTTGCATTCATTGCAAACTCAATGTACCTTATCCGACGAACCGTTTGCTGGGTGCCGTAGGTCTCGACGAGATTGCGGGCAAATTTTTGGCATAACGGCGATACAGTATGGCCATTGTGAACAGCTTTCAGAACGGTAACACCAACGTAAGTAGCAATAGTTTGCGGCTGACCGTCGCCATAGGTCGGTCACCGATGTTGTAAGAACTCGATCTTCGCGAGAGTTGCAGTGAGATGTGGTACGAGGTAGCCGAGATAGCCGAGCCAGCCTAGTTGATTCTGGTTAGACGGGACTTTGGTATCGGCGCGGACCTCAGGGAGGACCTGGGATGATACTACGGGAGAAGACCCAGGGTTTTCCAGTAGGCTGCATTATTGGTGAGCTCTCTTGATGGCCTGCAGGGGGTATTTGTATGTATGAACTAGTACTAAGGGTGCTACAGCAACGTATGGTACTGTAAAGCAAGGGCCACACTATGTACTCATATGCTCAATGTAGCTTGCTTAGCCAGTATACTTACCGGGAGAAGGCTCTGAAAATGACACGGTATTGGTCCTTAATGATTTTGCAGACATTTCATTTTTTAAGGACCATCAGGAGGTGTGGAGCAGGAGAAGAAAATGGCTCTGTTCGTTCAAAAAAAGCTGCGCAGGGCGCAGAAATAAGTACAAAATTTGCTGTACGGCGCAGCGAAATTGCGGCAGAAATTGACCAATCAAAACGCAGGCGAAACGCGACCAAGGAGCGCTCCTGCCGTTTGACAGGAGGCTTAAATGACCATAATGTAGTCATAATTTGACTGTTATTTCCTTAAAATGACGTCTGAAATAACATAATTTGATTAAATTCTAGATTAGCTGCATAAGTTTATGTAAGTTAGATTGTATCACGGTTAGGCTGAAACTAAGCACATATTGATGGTGACTTAGACATAGTTTTTAGAGGGCCTTCTCTTGCTAAGTATGCTGGGTTGTTTCTGATGAAAGTGTCGACAGGGATTGAACTATTAAACGTGAGAGGAGGTGAGGAGGTGAGTGTGGTGAGTTCAGACGTGATGTACTCTAGCCGCGAGCATCCGGACACATTTATCTTCTACTTTCTAGTTAGTTAGTACCTAGTTACAACGCCACATTCTCCTAGTCACGCTTCGGGATATCAGCATAATCCTTCGCCAGATCGCCCATGTCTTCCTCGAGGACCTTCATGTTGACAACCAGGGGTTTGCCATCCACCAGGATGAACAGCATCCGGCCGTACCTGTCCTTACTCGCATTCCGCCACTTGTGGTTTGCACAACAGTTCACGCTGCAGTCGCCCGACAGCATCCGCTTGACGTCGCCGCTGTCGAGTATGAAGTCGAACTCGCCCTCGATGAGGATGCCGTAGTCCAGCGACATGGCGCGGTGCATGGGCGACTCGACGCCCGGGGCGAAGTCGATCAGGCGGGCGCAACTGCCGTGGGGGACGTGGACATGTGGCTAGTAGATACTGGCTTCACTCGTTTTGTCGAATTGTTGCTGGGATCTTGCAGTGGCACATACCTCGTTCTCACAGGCGAATTTGATGTCGACATCGTTGTTCATGTCGACTTGATCGCCCACGGTGGTGTATATGATGTTGGCGACGCCGTCTCCGTCGCACAGGGGGCGGTGGTGGTCTCCATCATCGTCGCCGATGAAGACACCCAATCCTTTTTTGTTGTGGCCCGTCATGAAGCGGCGCGCGTGGCACAGACCATCACCGGGGAATTTGGTGATAGGTCCTCTGTGTTCGCGCGCCATGTTGTTGTCACCGAACTAAAATTCCTTGATAAGAGAGATATGGAGAAGCTATATATTCTTTACCGTAAAAGTGAGAAAAACAAGCATACACGGGCTAAGGAGCTTCAAGACAGTGTTCGCATATTTCTATATATCCTCCAGCGGGCAGACCAAAAAGAAGAGGGAAATCGTCAAGCACGACATCTCAGGTCTGCAGCTGCAGCGTCGTCCCGAATCTCGTGTTTCGACGTTGATCCACGACCGCCCACGCTCCCACCCTCGCCGTAAGTACCCAGACATCCTCAAGGACGCTCCGGAACTCGAGAGCGTCGGTTGCCCTCTCTCCAAGGGCAAGGCTCAAATCACGATAGCGTATGGCACTGAAGAGGTCGGAGACTTGAACGAGTTCAAAGATGATAATATTATTGTTGTTGATGGCTCTAGGAACCCATTGGGCGACGCTGTTATCAGGAAGCCATCTGGACTCTTTGATCGCACTCCGACTCGATTGAACCTCGGTGAAGTTACTGAGGGAAGCATACCTTCAAGCTCCATGGTGTTTTGTCTCGCTCAATGCCAGGTGCCTTTGATGTCTACTATTTCCGACGAAGATATGGCAGGAGTCAAGTCCATCACAAATAATGCCAAATGCATTGTGTGGGTGACAGGCGGGAACTTAATCGAAGGCTCCAGACCAGAGTTTGCCTTGATTTCAGGGATTGCAAGAGCTTTGGTGCTGGAGCAGCCTTCTGTGCGCTTCCACACTTACGATCTTGATAATATCTATACCAATGTGGAGGAGACTGCCGACAATTTGATAAAGGTCCTTATTCAGAGCAACAGCGCACCGGACAAGGAGTTCGTTCAGCGCCAGGGTGTAGTGCATGTCAGTCGATACGTTCCCGATGACAATCTCAACAGTTGTTTCAGGCAACAACGCGGTGATGAGCTTGTCGAGCTTCTCTTGGGTGATGTCAAACCGGCAAAGTTATCCTTCAAGAAGCCTGGCCAATTCAGCAGCATTTACTTCAACCAGATCGAGCTCCCGGGTACTCTGGATCCCCATGACGTGCAAGTCCAAGTCAAAGCTATTGGACTGAACGCCAGAGACTATGCTGTTTTTGCCGGAAAGGTCGACTCGCCCAACTGTGCTTGCTCGCCCCAATATAGCGGTGTTATGGCGAGAGTTGGTGTCGCGGTATCGACTTTGAAAGCTAGTGATCGCGTTATTGCTATGGCTCCCTCGCAGCTTCGAACGACTCAAATTGTTCCCGATTGGTCGTGTCAAAAACTGCGGGAGCATGAGGACTTCCAGACGGTCGCAGGTCTTGGCTTTCCCTACAGCTATTTACGCGCTCCATGACCGAGCCCGCATGCAGAACGGCGAGAGCGTCCTGATTCATTCGGCTGCAAGCGCCGTTGGAAGCGCAGCGATTCAAATTTCCAAGCTGGCGGGCGCCGGGATCTTCACCACCGTCTCATCGGCTGGGAAGAGGGAGTATCTGATCAAGGCCTTCGGCCGCAAACCCTCCAGTATCCTAAGCTCTCAGGACGCTACGTTCCTACCAGCCATATTCGACCTCACTAACGGCAAGGGCGTCGATGTCGTGCTGACCACGTTATCAGGCGACTTGTTACATGCCAGCTGGCGGTGCTGCGGGCCGTTTAGACGTTTTGTGGAGGTCGTCTCGAGATGGATCAGTTCTTGCGGAATGTAACTTTCACCGCCTTCGACCTGACCAACCTTTACGATACCACCAATCCTGCGCACAAGCCAAATGGGCCACTCTTCTAGAGCAAGTCATCGTGCTCTACAGCGAGAAGAAGATCTCGCCCTGCAGCCTTTGAATGCGTATCCCCTCCGTGCATGCTGCCTCAATTAGCGTAATTTTCCCAAATTAAGGTTTTAAGCTGCATAGGATCGCCGCAGCTCTTTTTTCGCTCGATATCTTCAACCACAAACTATGCTACGACCACAGCGAAATATCCAAATCCCTCTGAGATATAGATCGACCTCACCTCCGCGATTCTCTCAAGCCAATAACGAGTCTAAAAGACGCAAAATTGATACGAAAACCATTGACAGAAACAACGTCGATCAGGCCTTGGCAGTGATTGCGCCTGCGTCAGAATGCAGCAACGAGCTGCCCACCTTGATTCCAACACAACTACCTCATTTCGAAGCGAATAACGTTCAGAAGCGAGGAGGATATTCTGCATATACAGATCTATCAGAGTCAGGCTTTTTCTCGCTATTTTTTAGCCAATTGGTGATAGAAATCATCTCAAAAGAGACCAATTCATATGCCGAATCTCAGCTTCAAATTCACCCTCCCCTCCTCCTCCACGAGAACTACCATTGGATACCTACTACAGCAGCAGAAATACGCGTATATCTAGGTATACAAATCTACTTCAGCTTGTACTCATTGGCAGTACGAAGAGATTACTGGACTATCCATAACCTTGGTCAATTCATGGGCATAAATCGATTCGAACAAATCCATCGATTTTTCAGTCTAAATTCGAACTCTGCTCCTCTTAATGCGCCCTGGTTTTATCGAATTTAGCGCGTTGCTGACCTTATTCGAAAAGCCTGTCGAACTGTCTATACCCCCTCCTCTCATATTACAATTGACGAAGCAATGGTAGCTTTTCAGGGGCGTTCAAAACATACAGTCAAGCTTAAGAACAAGCCAATCAATACAGGCTACAAGCTATGGTGTATTAGTGATCATGGCTATATCTAGAGCTGGTTATTCCATTCAAGAGTTGACGGTGTAGAGACGTTTACAAAAAGTCAACAGACGCAGTGGCCACGGCAACGATGCCACAAAGGAGAGGATTTTCAAGAAAACGTTGCTCTTGCGCCTACATTTGCGCTTGTTTTACGCCTTGCAAAACAGCTTCCAAAACAGCTTAAGTTCTGTATCTTTCTTGACAATCTCTTCTTGAATCTACTAGTCGCTCAGTGCCTTTTGGCGATGGGTATCTATTGCATGGGAACAACACGCAAGAAAGCAGTAGGTGTGCCTCTTCGACTTCAACGTTATCTTGAGAACAATAATGAGCTACTTTGGGACTCTACTATAGCAGAGGTCATTGACGAGAATACCCTTGGCTTTATTTGGCAAGATAATAAGCCTGTTTGTGCTTTATCAACTGCTCATAGTCTCCACCGCACTAAGGATCGAGTTCAACGTTATCACAAATGCCCTAAAATCTCCTCCGAAAACGCACGCATTCTCAATCCTGTATTTAAGGGCTTGCCATTCAAGAATCTCTTCATTCCAAAGGCAATTGATGATTATAACCATCATATGAAGGGCGTTGATCAAGCTGATCAACTCCGCGCCAACTTTACGTGTCATCATAAGCAGAATTATCGAACTTGGTGGCCTTTATTCTACTTTCTTATTAATGTTACGTGCGTTAACGCTTATTTGCTATGGAAATGGAGCTCTGAAGCGAATTCAGCGTACGATTCAAGGACTCATAAGGGCCATAGAGCGTTTATGAGTGCCCTTTGCGATCAATTACTTCATTCGAATGATAAATCTGAGAAAACCAACAACCCAAAAGATTCACAACCCCTGCCCTCTGCAGCACTTCATCACTACCATAAACACATACAAAAGAAGTCGTACGGACGGTGTCAATGGGGGAAGCTTCATCCGCCAGGTTGTACGCGTAAAAGGGCACCGAAACGCGCATTTGGAACGGATATCACACAGTCAGTCAATAATGGCATTTCCCTAGCTATTTTAGGAGGCTCAAAGACCCATTATGAGTGCTCAAAGTGCCAGATTTGGCTGTGTATCGAAGGAGACTGCTGGGCACAGTATCACCGCTCAATTGGAGTCAATTGCTAGATAATACAGCCCCAATTGGCTGAAATAGGGTGTTTATTGACATTTTGACCCCCGCGCAGTGATCGACAGCGCTAATTGAGGCATTCTACACCCCTGTCTATGCACGGAGGGGATAGCACACAGAATACGCAGAAAAAGCGCACAGAATTCGCATACAGAATGCGCAGAAAGAGGGCATAGAATTAGCACCTAGGATGCGCAGAAAGAGGGCACAGAAACGCGGAGAAAGAGGGCACAGAAAGTGCACGGAATGATCCTTCCATCCTTTCATCCTTTCATCCTTTCATCCTTTCATCCTTTCATCCTTTCATCCTTTCATCCTTTCATCCTTTCATCCTTTCATCCTTTCATCCTTTCATCCTTTCATCCTTTCATCCTTTCATCCTTTCATCCTTTCATCCTTTCATCCTTTCATCCTTTCATCCTTTCATCCTTTCATCCTTTCATCCTTTCATCCTTTCATCCTTTCATCCTTCTATCCGTCTATCCGTCTATCCTTCTATCTCTTTTTGTATTTAAAAAAAGTTACATTTAATAATAATATTGTTGAACGGGTATACGGATTAGGAATAACTTTAAGTCTATTAAATTTATTATTATTTCTTTATTTCTTTTTAGGGGCCTTTTAAAGAGAGAAAACTAATTAGTTATATAGTTAGATATACTAGTATTAGTAATCTACTTAAGAGTCTTATAAGTTGACTTTTCTAGTATTATAAAATAGACTTCTGCTCTGTCTTTAAAGTTAAAAGAGAAGTCTTTTATACTTATGCTCTCTTTTTTAATTACTTTTATCTTTAGCTTATTCTCTTTATATTAGCTTGCTTAAGCTTTATTAATAATCTTTTTAATCTCTTTTATATGCTTCTTAATATAAGGGCAGTTCTAATATTTATAATTTCCTTAATAAGCAAAATATTTTAGCTATTATAATAGGCGTTCTTAAAGTAAGGTTATGTCTTCTTAAGAATAAAAATAGTATTTATATATTATAAATCTTTAGGATGATTATCAGCTAGAGGATGACTAGAACCTTATTAATAAATAATAATATTACTTAAAGATAATAAGAGTGTTATTTAGTAAGGATTCTTTTTTAAGGAGTCATTACATAAGAGGTTTAATATTAAGGAAATGCTCTTTCTGACTATTAATAGCATCTCGTACAGTATTATATTCCGGAGAAAGAGAAGCAAGAAGCTGTTAGAACATCTAATATTATGTAGTGAATGTTTTGAGTAAGTTATTAGTCGCTTTGATACGTCTTCCTAAGCGCTAAATCTCTATTCACACATTTTTTATGCTCTCCTTAGGCTTCTTATAATAATTAATATATTATTATAGATAATATCTATTTATTAATAGTCTTGTCTTTATGTATTTCTTCCTTAGTGTGTCTCATGCTTCCTTTACTAATATATATCCTTTTATAAGCTCCTAATCTCCTTTTCTAATATAGATATAAATAATGTATTATGCCTTCGCATCTAGCTTCTCCGCCTTTTTAATAAGTACTTTAATATATACTAGTACTAGCTAGATTTCTTTTACTTAAAAGTAAAAGGTAAAGAGTTTAAACTATTATTTATAATTAGTATATATAAAGATCAGCACTAGTTATTTCTTTGCTATAGTGTCATCTATTTTGATAATAAAATAAGATAATAATTAATATAGAATTAAATTAACTAAGATAAAAAAAATATATACTTTAATTATTATAGACTTTTAAGTAAAGAAGAAATATATTACTCACGTTCCACAATTAAGTATGACACAACTGTACCTTGCCACAAGAGTAGCAGCTCGCTCAGTAATCTCAATTGGGCTTTCACTCACTGTTGATGTCTATAGCTGTTCTGCACCGGGCTCATAACCTGTTGAACGGGTATACAGATTAGGAACAGCTATCGACACTATCAACGGTCACAACTTGTATGCAGAGTGAGATCACAGTGCATCTGCACGTCAAGTGCAGATCCTGCTAGCGCACAGATCACGTGGTATTTCCTGTGCTGGTGGCACAGGAAATCCTGCACTATACCTGATTAGGAATAACCTGATTAGGCAATATTTGGCTGTATATGTACAGCCAAATAGTGCAGACTATAGTCTGCTGATTAGCATGCATTCTTAACAAATATAATATATTATTATAAAGCTTGTTACAGGTATAAATAATTAAATAGGAATAATTATTACATCTAACTCTTTTATAGCATAGCTGTTTTGTACATCTTATACTATTTACCAGCAAAGATACTAGCGCTGAACTAATAATACTTTAAACCTCTTGTAGTAGAGCTCAAATATCAGCGCAGTTTAACTACTTTTGGTGCACGACTCTTCAGAATAAAAGAATGAATTCTTCCTTTAGTCTTTGGTATTTGTTAGTTGACTAGTATTCGTACATTAATGGTCTTCTCTCATAAATGTTTAGTTTTGTGTATCTCATCTTTCTTACGGAGTCGTGCTTCAAAAGTTTTCAATAAACGCTAACTAGGATAAGTAAAAGCTAGCTTTCCTGTACTAGCGTACTTCCACTAGACAGTGGGGGCGTAAAGATTCTCAGAGGGCGTATGGCTAAAGCTCAACTGGTGTAGACTTAATTGGGTCCCTAGGTGTCTCTAAGATAAGAGGGGATAGCAGTAGCTCTAGGGAGCCACCCCTATAACGTATCTTCTACGCGCCGCTAAAGCTTAGATCGATTGTGCTAGTGACGCTCTAAATTTAACGTATATTGAAAACTTTTGAAGCACGACTCCGTATTTTAGGTGTGTAAACCCACCTGAACTTTTGTACCAGTCAGGCTGGTAGAGTAACCATATGTATGATGAGCGACACTTTGAGGAATCATTACTGTTCTCAATTCTGATTCATTCCGCATCGGCCATCTGGTAACGTGCAGTTGACCATCAGCAAGGAAAAACGCTGAGAATGAACCCACCAGCCGCGCATTCTGTGTGTTCATGATTTTGATGGGGTTTTTGGCCCCCAAGGTTCTGCAGCCTTGGCCGCCTTAAAATAATCTGTACGTACAGAAAATGGCGAAAGACGACTTTGATTGAGCGAGAGGGAAACATCCGGGAGAACTGCGAGATAAGTAGTACTTAGCAAGAGAAGGCCCTCTTAAAACTATACCTAAACTACCATCAATATATGCTTAGTTTCAGTCTAACTATAATATAATCTAATTTATATATTATTATATAAATATATTATTTCAGACATTATTCTTAAAAAATAATACTTAAATAATGATTATATTGTACTTATTTGAGCCTCCTGATGATCCTTAAAATAATAAAATGTTTGCAAAGTCACTAAGGACCAATACTGCGTCATTTTCAGAGCCCTTCTCCTGGTAAGTATGCTGATCTTTCGCCAAGAGGCTAGTCTACTAGCTGAGTCAGGATCTGATGCGACGTTGCGGGGGAAACGCAAATCGGAATCGCTGGCAGTTGTGTAACTTGTTTCAATCGACAGCGTCACCAATCAAACCTATTTGCTGATCCCTTCACTGGACCAAAACATGCAGAATCAAGGTAAGCCTGTCTGCATCTTGGCTCTCAACGACAAAAAAGTTCAATGCATCACCTTGCAGGGCTCGCATGGGAGGCGCCACTCATGCAAAAGAAGGATAGTTGAAGATACATGAAAAGTCACTCGTCGAGCAAATATTCGACTGACTAGAGTCATATACATGCTAATAAGCCTACTAGAAAAGTATTCGGGAACGTCAGACCCAAGCTCTGTGGCCCAAGTATCATGTTAGCGCTCCAGAATCTCAGCGACGAGCTTGTTGCCAATGTCACATCCAACGGGAAAGATGAGGAACGGCAGCTGACACTCATGCAGCTCAAGACAGGGCTTAGCAGTAAAACCCAGGCCTAGCCATGAGACACGACCGAATCACATCTCGTGGAAACAATGTTCGAGTGCACTAAGAAGGAGGACATCAATTGGCGGTCTGGCTTCCACCCTGGCGGATGTTGTGTCAGTCCACTTGCAGCACGCGGAAGGCCTCGTCAATTAGGATGATTAGGACAGTTGGTGTAATGGGATTGGGATGTATGGAAAGGATAAATAGATCCTATGTCTACACTATCCTTCTTCTCTCAGGCAGATCCACTTCTCCTTAAACTCCTGTCAATCTCCTGCAGGACTTCATCTACCTTCTGTTCGAACCTCAGCAGCTCCTCTCATCTCAACAATCTTCAAGTCTCTCCCACTACGTCATCTTTCCGTTCTTCGTTATGGCCAACACGACTCACCGGGACAATATTGACGACAACAAGGAAAATGTTCTCCAAAGGGAGTATCCAATCGACGAGGAGAGCAAAACCGTACAAGCAGAGCTAGACTATTCCGGCGCCCATGAAAAGACAGACCCTGCCGAAATCAAGCTGGTCAGGAAGCTTGACACTTGGATCATGGTGAGTACTATCGTTCGATGATATCTTCAAAGTCACCTAACATTATCCAGCCCACGCTCTGGATAATGTAAGTTTTACCTTTTCTCGAAAGTAAGCGCATCTGGGTAGTCGGGCCTATGTCTATTGAAGTCCTGATCAGATAAGACAACTTCTTTTCATTGCATCTAACAAATTACAGGTGTAAGTCGAATTTCTTGTGACGGTCCAGATCGGTCCCAAATTGACGATGCATAAGATTGGCTCAACTACCTTGATCGAAATGCCATTGCCCTCGCCAGATTGAATGATCTGGAGGACGACCTCAACCTCACCGGTGCCCAGTATCAGACTTGTGTTTCTATCCTTTTCGTTGGCTATCTTCTCGGCCAAGTGCCTTCCAACATGTTTCTTACCCGCACCAAGCCTTCGTATTACATGGCCTTCTGCATGGCCTTGTGGGCCATTGTCTCCGCCCTTACTGCAGTCTCGAGGAATTTCACTGGACTGCTTCTCACACGATTTTTCCTTGGCGTCACAGAGGCGCCTTATTACCCAGGAGCATTGTATATGCTCTCTATCTTCTACACCCGCAAAGAGATCGCCACTCGCATTTCCATTCTCTACACAGGCAACATATTGGCCACTGCATTTGCGGGCCTCATTGCCGCTGGGATCTTTCATGGAATGGATGGCGCTGGCGGCTTGGCCGGATGGCGCTGGCTGTTTATACTTCAAGGCGCCGTCACCTTTGTCGTGGCTATTGGCGCAGTATTCACTCTACCCGATGATCCTCTGTCAACTCGCTGGCTGAGCCCAGAGGAGCGGCAGTTGGCCCATGCTCGCATTCAACGTGACACAGTGGGCAGCAAGGAGGCTACCAGCACCTTTGCTGGTTTGAAAGAAGCGGCCAAAGACCCAAACTTGTGGCTTTTCGCATTTATGCAACACATGCATCTTGCAGCCAATGGTTTCAAAAATTTCTTCCCGACAGCCGTTGAAACTCTTGGCTTCAGTCAGACGATCACCCTCGTACTCACTTGCCCACCCTATCTCATCGCTGGCCTCACATCCATACTCTGGTCTGCTCACTCCGGTAAAAAGAATGAGCGGACATGGCACATCACCGTTTCCAAAGCCGTTGCAATCTTCGGTTTCGTCCTCGGATGCGCCACACTTAACACCGGAGCACGATATTTCGCCATGGTTGTCTTCGCTATCGGTACTTATGCCGTCAACAGTATCATTCTAGGCTGGGTCGGGAACACATGCGGGCAGACCAAGGAAAAGAAAGCCAGCGCTCTCTCTATCGTCAATACCATCGCCAATGCTTCTTTCATCTGGACTCCGGTATGAACACACACCCTCTCTCTGTTCGTGTAAGAACGAATTGCTAATATCTCGATGGCAGTATCTGTGGCCTTCATCCGATGCCCCTCGTTACACTATAGCCATGGCTTCTAGCGCGGGTTTCTCGTTCGCCTGCGCAGCGGCTGCATGGGCCATGAAATTCATCTTGATAAAGAAGAATAAGACCATCAGGCGCACCAATAATGAGGCGATTTTGTACTATGCTTACTAGGTACGAATGGGCTGTGGGCCTTGTTCAACTCATTATGGGCCTGAACAGCCAGCGTCAGCCTTGGGAACTATGCGAGCCATTTCGAATACACTTTCCACATTTCATGAAACCAAATCTGGATTCATCCATCTATTCTGCTCTTGCCTCTGCGTTTCTTCCTACCTTCCCTCTGCCAGCTTCACCTAACCACCCCAATCTGGAAAGATTGGAAATTCAGTAAAAGATGCATATATGTTTGCAGGCTAGAAACTACAGGTACATGTTTGGAGCGCGAATCATCAAGGTCACGGTTGAGAAAATGCGAGGCTTGCTTCTCTCAATATTCCGTACAGGCAATCCTTGTTGGGCCTGTTGTGATCCCGACGCGAAGAATATGACTCTGCTCAGATCAATAACATCAGCAGAAGCCGGCCTGAGGAGTGACAACGACTAGGTGGTCAAGATCTCATGTTAGTAAGAATACAAGCTGACACACTTTTCCAGCGATCGCAAACAGCACCACGATTGTGACAGTACGTGTGATAAATTGATACGCAACAGCCTTATTTTACAGTTGCCAAATTATCCTTGCCATCAGATATATGTTTAGACCTGGGCCTGTTGTCTCACTTGTTATCTTGTAATTTGTTATGTACGGCACATGCATTCATACACCTGTCAAACGATTTTGATACTTGTCTGTGCATAGGGCTCTTTCCTTTGTAGTTGAAATAACGTATAACGCCATCGCCGTATAGATGGCATTGTCTCAATAAAGCTACGCTCTTCTTTCTTTGCATGTCGTTGTCCAACAAAGGCCTTTGACAGTTTACAGGGACATTTGCATGAGTACCTTGAAAGAGTCACACGGTATTTAAGTATCCGTCTCCCGCCCAAAACCATCTCTCCCCAGGTTGAAAAACTCCATACCGATACAACTAACGCATCCACATCACACCACGTTACAACGTTACACAACCGTCCCACCATGGCAGTCAACCCAAAGAAAGGTCTCCTAATGTGGCCGGAATACAGCGACAATGATATCGATTTCTTCATCGCCAACGCCGCCAGCACCATCAGCGAGAACCGCACTCTGATCTCGAGACTCCGAGGCACAATCACCACCTACCACCGCCGAGCCGAGCAAGCTCGAAGTGATGAGGAGCGGGACAGATGGGAGGGTGCGGTGAGCGCGACGAGGACTGAGATCGAGAAGTTGAGCGATCATGTGAAGCGACTGGATGGGAATAAGAGGGCTGCGGTAAGGGAGTTGGAGAGAAGGAGGAGTAATAACAGATGGTTGAGCGGTGGTATTTGATGCAGGCGGTGGACCCAGGAACTTCGAATGTCTTGGCACGGCTGCCCGTTTTCACAAATCGAAGCGAAGAATTGCCTTTGAGTGCCATATGGCTGTAACAATTGCAGACGGTCAAGAAGTGAAGTCCATCATTTTGAGAATATCGGGCCGGTCGGTGCATCAATGCTGCAGATCTTGTAGAGGTCCAGTGCTACAGAATTGGGGGTGGTTGAGGGCTTGGACAGTGCGATTTTTGAAGTGGAAGGTGGTGGTGACTGTCCATCACTGAATTTTCGAGCGTGTTACCCTGATGAGCCTTATGTAGTTTGGTTGGGTGCACAATGTGAATGCATCTCGCTTTCAGGTCAAGGAAGTGATGATGGAGGAGGTAGACGGTAGGGTATTGAAATGAAGCCAGATACTAGTAACGATGTTGGGTTGTGACGAGCTGGATGTTATCCTGGCTGCGCAAACGGAGTGGTTGGATTCTTGGGCTGCATGGATGTTTTGCATTGTACCCGTCGAGTATGAGAGGTTTCGATGGACGAGAAAAATGCTGATATGAGATTGACCTCAGATGCATGCACGAGATCTGCCCCAAGGGGGCGAGATGAGATGAGTAACATGATGTTTGATTAATGGTCATAAACATTAAAAGAATGCCTTTTGACAGAAGAGCAGCGGCCATAATACTAAAAACGCAGAGAAAGAGCAAGTTGAGAAATCCAATCTCTGGGCAAGGGCTTCAAGGCAGTGTCGCGGCGAAAAACAACAACAACAGCAGCACGAGCTAGCGGTAGCAGGCTCTCAGTAAGGCGGAAACATTTATTGAGATTGATTAGTTGGTGCATAAATACACCGAGAACTGCCAGTTCATAGTGCAAAAACCATGAATATGACGACTATGGAGTATTCTCCTAGTACAGATATGGTAAGGCCCTCTTCAGATACTCGAGATGAGGTACAGAATAGGGCCTGTACAAGTACACAGCGCTCCAATCATTACTACTCAGCACCGGATTGAAGGTCTTTAGCTAATCCGCCACGACAAGAAGGTGGCCGCAATATGTGACTTAACCAGAGGGGAAGTCGTGGAATCAAATTGGTATCGTAATAATGCAAACGATGCACTTTCATCACTCCTCTGAGGACTCCATGAGTATGATCCAGAAATCGAGAACAGGCCATGCCCGCATCACAAGGCAGGCTGTTGGGCTGGCTGGCTAATCAAGTTTGTACCTCCATTTGAGGGTTTCTCTTGCTTCTCCCGCCGTTCCGCGTTCGCATGACATGCATGATGGCCATGATAGTCGTGGCTGTGAAAAGAACCCTATTGCAACCAGGCGTCAACGGAATGCAAACATCAGATTGCTAGCGGAAGAAGGACACTCACCACTCGAAAGCAGCAAAAACAGTGGCGGCCTGCGCGCACCTGCACACATTGCCTCTGCAGAATAGCAGGTTGGCAACGAAGACAGCATGCGCGATAAAACCAGCGAACCAGAAGACCATCGTGACGGCTTCGATGGCCAGGATCGCAAAAGGATGCGCAGCTCGGGGAAAGAATCGTGGCGTGAGCGTGAGGAAAGGGACAACGATAAGGGCAGTCCAGATTCCGGCGAAGATCAGGAAGTTGACGCGGTCAGGGGAACGGTATAGGGTAAATCTGTTCCACCATGAGGCCACTGATAAAAGTAGTGTCAGTTTGGGACTTCGAGTATGAATATATCAATTGTCGTACCGTATGCTTCCAGACCAAGAACCAGTAATCCAAGAATAAATTGCGTGATGCGCAGAGGAAGCATGAAGTTGAAAGCCATATCGCTGGATAATTGTTATTCGGTGTGTTGTGCAAGAATCTGGCTTCAGGAGAAAATGTGTATGTCTTTTCTGATTGAGCGGGGGAGCGAGCAAAGACTTGAAGTGGAGAAGGAGTCGTATCAATAAACGTTCCCAAGCAGTGACGTTGTGGTGTGAACTTGGTTTAGCTAGCTGCGATGATGCTGTGAAGTACTACTAATCCAAAAACAAGAACGAGAACCCACTCCATAGTGATTGGCGTTCATGTGCACAGGCCTTAATTTGGATTGCGAATCCACACCAGATCATGGTCCGCGCCACGAATAGGAGCTAACACATACGCGTAACTACGTCAGGGATGGCGCGTCGCGGGCTCAGAAGAAAAAGGGTGATGAATGTGGTGCCAAGAGTCGAATTGGTTGGCTTTACTGACTGCCGCCGCCACCGGGATCAGAGGTCACAAGGATGCCAAAGAGCTTGCCCCATGGCAATCCAAGGCGACCGGCAGGAAGGATTGCTACTACGTATCAGGCGGAAATTTGTACCCCACCCTTGATGAAAACGCGAGTATTCGTAAATAACTCACTACGCAGAATTGAGTATGGACGCCCACTAAATGACCCAAATAGGACTTGTCTCTAAAATCGAGTCTGCATTTCCTTGGCATCTATAACTGCTTGACATCTTGTCTGCATCAACTGAAGCAGCTCGTAGAATATGCAGAGCGCGTAGAATTCGCAGGATGCGCGCAGGATGAGCGTGTAGAGTAGCGACGGGGATGCTGACAGGGAAGTGTAGGTAAAGAGGGCGGTTGGTAGATATTATGACCCGGGGGGAGTACAAAAATTCCGCCTCATACTGTACTAACTCAGCGCTAATCATTTTTACTCGAACGGTCTTAATCCCAGATCAGATTAAACGTTAATTTTAACCCGTTTGAATGGATGTATTCGAGTCAAGGTTTGCAATACCAAATCACAGCCCTGTGTTAGAGTAACGATAATTAGCCACTACCAGTATCAGCCTAGCAATACTTACTACGTAATACGCCTTCCCCGGTAGTAGTCCTAACCAGCCGAGACAATTGGAGATTGGAGCTTTTTATATTCGTCACAGCGCCAGCCGTGAAATATACTAAAGGCCCACAGGCAACCAGCTGTTGATTGAGTGCACTGCCTTCAATATTTCTGAGCGCAGTTGCTCAGAAGGCGTCAGGCTCGACTCGAACAAGCTGTTTGAAACTGCTTGTCAGCCCTTCGTGCCAGCACGCCAGACTCAACTGGCAACTCATCGTCAGTCAGTGTTTCGTCGGTCCCTTCTGCCCTTGGGAAGTGTCCACAATACTCCGTATAGATGATCAACATCTTGACCGCAGGTGGGCGTTGCAAGACTGCTGTCCCTCGCTGGCATCTGGATGCTACGAGCTGAAAGATGATGCACCGCCTGTCCGGAGATACAAGATTCTTCTGATCACGCCATCTGACTTAGTAGTGTTTCTCCCCATTGTAGACCCGGTATGCGGGGTAGCAATCGGAGAGATAGATATTGTGCTTGCTCACAGACATTACTTGTTGTTATCAAGAAGCAGACTGCTTTTACTTTGCATTAGCTGTGCTACAAGTTGTTGTCTTCCCTTGGGATACTTTTTGGTTGAGCTTCGTCTCTTTCACTTTGCTGTTTCACTCTTTACGTTGACTGCAGTTTCGCAAATATTTCTTCCATAGTCTCAAAATGGGCTCTGCAGAGGACACCGATTATGTCCAGCGGTTTGAGACGCTCCAACTCCATGCTGGGTACAACCAACCAAGGTGGCGCCTACGAAGCAACCAACTAACAACGGATTAGCCAGGAACCTGATCCAAACACCAAGGCCAGAGCAGTGCCCATCTATGCAACCACAGTGTGTATGGTCTTCGACCTATCAGCGAGCATCCACTGATACAGAAGCAGTCATTCACTTTCAATGACTCCGCTCATGGCGCCAGGTTGTTTGGCCTTAAAGAGTTCGGCAATATCTATAGCCGAATAATGAATGTCCGTTAACTTCAGTTCCTATCCTTATCCTTTGGAAACTCATTTGAATTAGCCCACAGTCGAGGTGTTTGAGAAGCGTATCGCTGCTCTAGAGGGAGGCCTGGCCGCTGTGGCAGCTTCTTCCGGACAATCTGCACAGTTCATGGCTATATCTGCTTTGGCACATGCTGGAGACAATATTGTGTCCACCTCGAATCTATATGGCGGCACTTACAACCAGTTCAAAGTGCTCTTTCCACGACTGGGCATTCAGACTAAATTTCTGACCTCCGAAAAGCCTGAGGATTTCGAAAAAGCAATCGATGACAACACTAAAGCTGTGTATGTCGAAAGCATTGGAAATCCAAGATACAACGTTCCAGATCTCGAAGCGATCAGCCAGGCTGCACATGCCAAAGGTGTGCCTTTGATTTGTGACAACACATTCGGCGCTGGTGGCTACTTCTGTCAGCCGCTGAGACACGGTGCTGATATTCTCGTCCATAGTGCAACAAAATGGATTGGGGGACACGGTACAACGATTGGTGGTGTGATCGTGGATTCCGGGAAGTTTGATTGGGCAAAGAACGCAAAGCGATTTCCACAATTTAATGATCCTGCTCCAGGATTCCATGGTCTCAAATTCCTGGACACATTTGGGCCGATGGCATTCATCATACGTCTCCGAGTAGAAATTCTCCGAGATTTGGGTGCATGTATGAATCCCTTTGCCGCACAACAGTTGCTGCTCGGTGTCGAAACCCTGAGTCTACGTTGTGAAAGACATGCAAGTAATGCATTGAAGCTAGCGACATGGCTAAAGGATCACAAAAACGTCGCCTGGGTGTCATATCCAGGATTAGAAGATCATCCGAATCACCAGCTTGCGAAGAAGTACTTACCGAGAGGCTTTGGTGGTGTTCTGTCTTTTGGTGTCAAGGGCGGATCTGCCGCCGGATCCCAAGTCGTCGATGGCTTCCAAATGATCTCCAATCTTGCAAAGTGAGTCGATCACCTTTCAATGCTCATCTAGGCGCAAGCTAACAGTCCCGCAGCGTTGGAGATGCAAAGACACTAGCTATCCACCCATGGTCAACAACACACGAACAATTAACCGAGCAGGAGCGACTGGACTCTGGCGTCACAGAAGACATGATCCGCATATCTGTTGGCATTGAGCACATCGATGACATTATACATGACTTCGAGCAGAGCTTCGCGGCTAGTGATGCTATGAAGGCTGATGCAAAAGCAACTCCAGAAAACGCAACCAAGACAGGAAGTTCAGACACTGCAGCAAGTCTGAGTGGTGCTACCTGATCAACGTTTCGAGCCTCGTGACTCGACATGATATCTGGAGTGAATCTAACTCAGAAGCATGTTTGCAAACGAGCCACCTAGCCGAAAAGGATATAGCCTTGGCCTGGAAATTTCACTGTTGGACCTGGGAGTGTTTTTCCGTGAGATTTCAAAGACAGGCAACTACCAAGAGCAGAATAGAAGTCTCTTTTGCTTGCCCCATGTCGAATACAGCCATTGCTTATCACATTTGTAGTGGATTCTTTTGCAGTCAGACGTTACATGTTATATCTTCCCCCCTCCTCTGTTACACTCGAAGACCTCGCAGATATTCACATTGTTGTTTAAAGCGTCCGACGGAACCATGGTTGTGATAATCCAGATTGAATAACTGTAGCGCACATTTGATATTTGATACTCTGTGCTACTTATGTACTAACTTAGTAGCCACTGAGGACTGCTGTGGGGAATCCTAGTTCAGTGTGCATGCCAATGCCGAGGCACAACGCGAGGCTCGTGTCGTTCGGACACTCCGAATGCCATCCTGCGCACGAAGCAATCGTCCCAACCTCTGACTTTACCAGTTCTACTCATACAGGCGCATCCAATCTTTCTGCATGTTTCCCGTCATTTCCCGTCATTTCCTATCCTATCTCTCACATATGTTATTCGAAGAACATACTCAAAGACCTTGCACCAGATCTTGACAATCCCTGTTAGGGACTCAAACATCGATCCAGCGTCAAACTATCCTGCTGTGTTCCAGTCTCAGTTAGAGGCTCGTGGAGGCGATGTCTTTTTTCTCATCGAAACCAATTCTTTTTCAGAATGTCGAACCGTTCCGCAAGCCTCCTCCAAAAGGACAGCCATACTCGATAGCTCTTCCTGGCACAGAGAAGCCAGACAGGAGTAAAGTGTACAGACACTGGCTATGCAAGGATGGACTTTTAGAGACATTGGATCCTAACGTCAGGACGGCACATGATATCTTCGAATCAACAGCGCAATATTCACCACGCAGCCGCTGCCTTGGCAAGCGTGCATACGATTCAACGAAACAGGTTTGGGGCCCATATGAATGGGAGGACTATGGTACTGTTCAAAAGCGCCGAGCGGATTTTGGCGTTGGCCTCGTTGAGCTACACAGAATAGCGGGAGTTACAGATACGAAATATGGGGTTGGATTATGGTGCCAGAACAGGCCCGAATGGCAGATCACGGACCTAGCTTGCATGTCGCAATCACTCTTCTCTGTCTCGCTGTATGATACACTTGGACCAGAGGCCAGCGAGTACATTATCCGACATGCCAATTTGTACTGTGTTGTCACGTCGCTGCCACATATTGCAACCTTGCTCAAGTTGAAGCCTCGGTTACCCTCACTTAAGATCATCGTCTCGCTAGACCCACTTTATGCCGGAGAGGCTCCCGGGTTGTCCAAACAAGCACTACTATCGGATATGGCCTCAGATCTTGGAATCACCATTCTATCTATCGCCAAAGTAGAAGAGCTTGGAGCATCCTTAAAACGGCCCTACAATCCACCTGGGCCTGAAGATATAGTCACCATCAACTACACCTCAGGTACTACGGGTCCACCCAAAGGTGTCATTTTGACACATTCGGCAGCTGTAGCGGCAGCAGCTTGCTCAGTGTGCACTATCAAACAGTCAGCCGAGGACACTATTTGTTCCTACCTTCCGCTGGCCCACATCTATCAACGCATGTCAGAGCACGGCGCCTTCTGGGGTGGTGTCAAAATTGGCTTTTTCCACGGTAATATCCTCGAATTGGTTGATGACCTCAAACTTTTACGCCCGACCATTTTGACTTCGGTCCCTAGACTATACAACCGCTTCGGTGGTGCAATTCGAGCGCAGACAGTAGAAGCACCGGGCTTCAAGGGTGTGTTGTCTCGTCATATCGTCTCTACCAAAACCGCTGCAATCAACGACAAGCATAATCCTACCAACAAACACGCCATCTACGACCGCATCTGGGGCAGAAAGATCGGGGCAGCCCTTGGCCTTGACCGTACTAACTCAATGGTCTCTGGATCTGCACCTCTTGATCCATCCTTACATCAGTTCCTTCGCATCGTTTTTGGGAATGATGTCGTACAAGGTTACGGGCTGACGGAGACGTACGCCATTTCTCTCGCTCAATATTCAAAGGATCTGAGCTCAGGAAATTGTGGTGGACTTGTTCCCGCGGCCGAGGGTTGTCTGTTGTCAGTGCCAGATATGGAGTACTTGGTTACGGACAAACCATATCCACGTGGTGAGTTAATGATCAGAAGCAAGACGCTGTTTAATGGCTACTACAAGAATGAGGAAGAGACGCGTAAGGCCATGACGGAAGATGGGTGGTTCAAGACTGGTGATATCTGCACCGTTGATGAGATGGGTAGATTCAAGATTATTGATCGAAGAAAGAATGTCCTCAAGCTTGCTCAGGGAGAATACATCTCGCCTGAAAGGATAGAAGGCGTGTACCTCGCCGCTTGCAATTTCCTTGCTCAGGCATTTGTTCATGGCGACAGTGTGCAGACATTCCTTGTTGCTATCTTCGGCGTGCAGCCCGACTTCTTCGCTCCTTTTGCATCGAAGGTCCTGGGTAGGGAGATATCGGCAACTGACATCGAAGCCGTCAAGAAAGCCGCTGCACACGACAAGGTTCGAGCAGCGGTGGTGAAAGAGTTGGACAAGGTAGGCAGAAAGAACAAATTTGCAGGATATGAGAGAGTAAAGAACTGTTATCTATTCGTGGACCCATTCACGGTCGAAAACGAGCTACTTACCCCTACGTGAGTGGTTTTCCCTCTCATGCTTCGGGAAATTTGCTAATCAATGATCAGTCTGAAGCTGAAACGACCACCAACAGTAAAGAAGTTTCGCGGTGAACTAGATGAACTATACAGAGAGGCACTAGCAAAGGAAAAGACGGATCCGAAAGCGAAGCTGTGAAGACATTTAATCATCTTGCTCGACTTAAGATTTTCGGTGATAGAGGTCAAGCAGATGATTGCAATTCACTTCCTACTTGGATACTCCGTATTTGTACATATACTACCGAGAGCTGTCAGATTACCGTAACCAGTCGGTCATGGCAGATGCAATCATATCATAACCAGTCTAACCCATACCCAATCTATCAGCAGTCTCCTAGAAGATCACTCTATCACACATCCGCTCGGAGTGGAGAACAACTTTGCTCGAACCACTCGCGGCAACATGGAAACTTCAAAAAAAGAGGGTTGACTTGAGGAACCCACGGCCCGGGATCCGACAGGTTGGGCATTGGAACCAGGGTGCTTGAGCAATCTGATTTGACCGAAGCTAATTCACGGATCATCGTTATTCAGGAGGGGACGGGCAAAATGAAACGTGCTGCATTGATTAGACTAACGACAGCAGAGATTGATCGAATCCAATCGTTGAGAGCTGTGGTAACATGAAATGAGATCTCGAACGCATCAGGTCAAAGGTTGCATGCATATCGATGAGCAGAAGGACCTCGGATATCGCGAACATCTGACAAACAAAGGACGAAAAGTGAGACGTTTGTGATCGACGGCAAGGATGTTTCCATCAACTAATGGCTGTCAGCATTCCTTGTTCCAACGCGCTGCTGTGCGAGTATCCTGACTTGGCCTAGCGATGTATGTAAAAGAGCGTCGCTTCCATCACGCGGCACACCCATCAAAAGTCATCCCGTGTCCAGCTGATCCTATAGATATCATCTCCTGCCTTGATTTTGAAACTTTATGAATCAGAGGAGTCGGGGAAACTCACCTGGCTCTTTAGCCAGCAAAGGACCGCAGACGAACACCTGCTTGCATCAGAAGCTGACAGATGCAGTGTCCTTCTAGCTGCAGCATGCAGCCTCCATCTCTAGGACAAGGTGAGCTGCACTGGATCATCGTTGGCTGCCGGAATTGCGAGGAAGCTTATGCATGGAGGGGTTTCTGTACTTCTTGCAGACGCAGAGAATAGTCCTGTTTAGTTCCTTCTATTGAATTGTAGTAGCATTTTGATCTTGGTGTTGCTACGGGAGGGGAAGGGTATTTGTTGTCTTAGAAAAGCATGATCGCTGACGTCTGCAAGAGAAGTGGGACTATGCCTAGCTCTTCTTCAGATTGCATTAACTCATACTATCTGTTGACCACTTGAACTGTACGAAGTATACGAAATAGTCGACCCCTTTTTAGCTACTGGGCTCACGAACGCAAATACTGTGAGGTGCTTCTGGGCATAGATTTTGCTGCTATGGTCGCTCAAGGCACATCTCTCTCACCAACGGGTCTTGATGGATTGACAATCTTACTGGCACCTTGTTGGAGTAATTATTCGACTACGCCTCCTGCAATCTCTGTCATTTCTGAAATGATTTGTGCCGTTGTGGTCTATTGATGTGTGGGTAGTACGGGCGGTCTTCCAGAAGCTCCAGGCCCGGCATGTCAGATGTGGCCTAGCAGCGATTTAGATTTGGCTTAACCGGTTAGTTATTTCCTACTGGTCAGCTAGTGGTGGATCTCCCAAGGCAAGAGCCCGGCCTTTGCTCATTTCGTTTTGACCTCCAGGTTCTGCTCTTGTTCTGCTGAGTGCTCTGCTCTGATCTGCTTTGCTTCTGCCCTTCCTTCTCATGATGCTAATGCTTTTCAGGGCATTCTGTCACCTTTCAGCTACCACCACTAACTGCTACGCGACTATACACAGTCTGTTTGGACTAAATCTACATCGATAGACCTACCATATATCCCTTACCCCTGTGCAAAAAAAACTGCATAACTCCTCGTTGTGTGACCTGAAGCCCGTCCTGCACCAGCGTCCACTCGAAAAATCTCACCTGGAGGACCTCGTACCTCCACACTTTGCGACTTGCATTGGCCTCCTTCACGAGCTCCTCCTTTACAGCTTCTGACTTATTTGGGACGATTGCATGCCTTGCGCTGCCACCTTCTATCTGCATAATCTGACGACTTGACGCTTTGCATGATTCACGGAGACGGCCTGCTTTGGACTTTTGTTCCATCCCCCAAGATTTAATTATACGACTTCGAGATACCCTTGTACCGTGCAGAATCATTATTCGCGTACCTGTTCACTCCAGTCACGCTTGAAGAGGCTAACACCGCTCTTGCTGAGGACCTTTCGTTTGGGAAGAACACAGCTCTACGTGTCAGATATTTAGGAGGACCGTTTTAAGGACTCGATGAGATAAATACCCATATCTTCCCACATTCTGCGCACTGCAACTTCACTTCGATCAGCAAAAACGCGACATGACAAACTATCCTCCCTCATCCGACAATTTCATGGAGAATCCTTCAGCAACGTCTCCTCGTTCATTCCGCACTCAGTTCCAACTACCCCGACAATCGTCCAGGCAGTTCGACGCTTACGGTCCTATTACCTCTGGCGGCTCTCTGTACAACACTAACGACTCAATGGCGCGATATGACACGAGAAGAATGGACAACCGTTTTGGGCCTCCCATGCAGAACACACAAATGGCCGGTGGTCCTTTCTCTTACGACGTCAACAATAACTCCCAGACATGGAATGCTGCTGCAGCTAATGCCTTCGCTGGAGCTCCTCACACTCTGGCGGCCCCAGCCATGGGAGCAATGGCGCCGATTGGAAGTCAAACAGGTAGACTGAGGTCAAGTCGGCCAAGGGTCGGACTGCCAGGAGTAAGTTGATTGACCTGTAAAGTCTGCTTTCTCACCTCTCTGACTCTTTTGTTAGCCTTGGCTCGAGCAGCCTCCCATGCCACAGCAGTTTACGAACATGGAGCAGCCACGCCTTGGGCAGCAAATGCGTCATGACTCCTACACTGAAGCTGAGGATGAACTGATCCCAACTGCAATCGTCATCAAGAATATCCCCTTCGCTGTGAAGAAGGAATCATTGGTCCAGCTCATGACCGAAATGAACCTACCACTGCCTTATGCTTTCAATTATCACTTCGATAATGGTGTCTTCCGAGGTCTTGCCTTCGCAAACTTCACCTCAGCCGATGAGACGGCTGCCGTCATTGCTAACTTGAACCACCTCGAATTACAGGGCCGTAAGCTACGTGTTGAATACAAGAAAATGCTACCGGCCCATGAGAGGGAGAGAATCGAACAAGACAAGCGATGGCGTCGAGGCCAGCTTGAGGAGCAGCACCGCTCAATGACCACCGCTCAACTTCAAAACCAGCCTTCGGTATCCTCCCTCGCATCGCATCAGCTTCCCGGATCGTCTCCATCGCCTGTATCACAACATGGAGCGAAGCCCAGTAAGTTGTTACTCGAAGCAAAGTGAATTTTGGCTGAGTGTTACAGACTACGATTTGAACGATCAGCAGACCTTGAATTTCTACACGGAGCTCGTCGTTTTCAAGAACGATCCCAACCGAGAAACCTTGGTCATGTCCCCGTCACTGAGTCCAGAGGTTCGACGCACGATCCATGCGCTCGCCCACAATCTGAATCTCTATCATACCTCTCATGGCACAGGTGACCAGCGTCAAGTCCACATTATGAAGTATCCCACTGGCGCCAAGGTCAGCCCTCCCCACCAAGCTTTTTCCAACAACATTCATGGCGGCGACGGTATGCGTAGCAGAGGATTAAACCGAGCCGCAACCACCCATTTCGGAGAACAGAGACAACAAGAGTCTGCCGCTGCTTACAATGCCCTTCGCGGTCAATCTTCCGTAGGATTACTTGGTGTTCTCGAACCCTCTACGGGATTTGGCAGCTCTGCTAACCTTCGTGCTGCCAAATCTTTTGCAGACTTGAGATCGTACACGCCGTCGCCAGCTCCATCCAACGCAAGTTTTCCTCCAAATCTACAGACCAATGGTGCGCGCTACCAGCAGGTAGATGGTGCCCCAAGCTCTGGTACTTCTACCGTGACACCAACCACATCCAAGCTTCACGAAGAGAATCAGTTGAGCAATGGTATTGGTAGTTTGTCACTGGGTACCGGACTCGGCAGCACTGGGAGTCCTCGTAGGATCCGAACCATGTTCTCATGGGATAGTTCGCACCAATATCCAGCTACAGCACCGATCGGTAGCAACCGTACTATTGGCACCGGTTTCGACACGAGCTCCCAGGATCGTCTTCCATCTCGTCAACCTCGTGGCCCAACGACAGAACGCGGCTCTGGATTCCGCAGGCAGAACGGTCATCACGGTCGAGGAAGCGATGAGCTGAGAGGCAACCCGGAGATCATCGTCGAATAATGCGAGAGTCTACGAGAGACACGACAAAAACGAAGAAATGAGACCAAATTGACGTTCCTATTAGACACGTTGGGGCAGCCCAATTGCTTGGATTGAAATTGAAAGTCAAAAGAATTGATTCTGCGGCGCCAAAAATACGGATGCTGTGTTGATATCAGACTTGTCTACACTCAACATTGTATCATCGGCATCTACAGGCGTAGTCACGGATTGGGTTTGGCAACTGGAGGGAAGCGTGAAGGGATCGTCAGATCCTGCTGGTGGTCAGTTCTGCGACCACGACCACTTGGCGGGGAGTAACGGGATTGTTCGGCATCGTTCGGCATCGAAGGATTCTTGTAGCTGTCAGAGCTTTTGCCGTGCTTGGCTGAATGTCATTACTGTTTTGTTGGAGCTACCTATGCACTCGTTTCCGTGGTTGGACAGTCATTAATAGTGCACCTCTCAGTCTCTGTCTTTCCCTCTCGAAAAGCAGTGCCACAGAGTCTGTTATGTCGGACTGCTGTTGAGCTAGTTTAATCAATGCTACACCATACCTACTGCATACCTATTGCACTTCCTTCCATTGGCTGAATCCATCCTGCACATTTTCACAGACCCATCCTGCCAAAGTCTGTCGCCAACACCTTTGCCCCTAGGACAATGCCAAGACGTTAGTCAGCTAGTGGCATGGCTTTTGTAGCCCCGAACTTCACTGCTCTACTCATTACACTCAAGAGGCAATCATCTTAATCTTGCTCACCTCGGCCAATGAAATTGCCACAGGCTGTCACCAGGGTGGTGTATAGAGATCATCGCACCTCTCAGCATCATGAGCAGGAGCAACAACGGTGGACAACATGACGAGGGGCGGCCGGGCTTCACGGTAGGTCAACATGCTGCTGCTGCGTCCTTCAGTCATTCAGGTATCTGGCATGTTTCCAGCTCCGTCTCTCTTGGAATACACCGTCCTCTTCACTTTCTTGCCAACATCATATGTTCTTAACCCCATCCTCCTCCAAGCGAGGCATGATCATTCTTCCAGCCATAGACCGGCATTCTATGTCTATTTCTAGTCTAGCGTGCATCTGGCACTAGCCCACTATTACTTCCCGTTGCAAAACAAAGTTCCTTCCTGCCTCTCTGACTGCTGCCACACCACCGCGTCGTTCACTACTCATCTCCACCACCACCTCTTGGATTGTGCCACAACGCCCAACTCACTCCCACAATACACCCAAAAACAAAATAGATCACACTCTTCCAAATCGAAATCGTCAATACAATGGCTGGAGGCAAAGGCAAAAGCATCGGTGGGAAGGGTAGCGGCGCAAAAGATTCCGGGTCGAAGAGTCAGAAATCACACAGCGCAAAGGCTGGCCTGCAGGTGTGTCATCCCTTCGTGGTGTATCGTGTTTGCCGTGGTGATACGACCTCCGATGTGTGACCCCCGACTCCATCATTATCGAATCCATAGCGAGAGCGCCTCGACGCGTTTTGCAAAACATCAGGCTACGCTCATACAGGGATACTGTCGGCTGTAATTTAAACCAACATCAAGTTTGCCACGTATACGCCTCGAAAGACTTCTTGCACATGCGCCAATGTCACAACGTCGACATCACACGTTCACTGAGTCATAGCTAACTGTTACATGACATAGTTCCCTTGCGGTCGTGTCAAGCGTTTCCTGAAGAACAACACTCAGAACAAGATGCGCGTTGGAGCAAAAGGTTCGTGCTCTTCACTAAACCTACTTCAGCCCATTCACTAACTCCTGGCTCTATCCCAGCCGCCGTCTATGTTACTGCAGTCCTCGAATACTTAACCGCCGAAGTCCTCGAACTTGCAGGCAATGCTGCAAAGGATCTGAAGGTCAAGCGAATCACACCTCGCCACCTGCAACTCGCGATTCGAGGAGATGAAGAGTTGGACACGTTGATTCGCGCCACTATCGCGTTCGGTGGTGTCCTACCGCATATCAATCGTGCACTGTTATTGAAGGTGGAGCAGAAGAAGAAGAGCAAGGTGGATGCTTAGATAATGATGACGATACCCGGAATTTCTTGGGATTGCAAGGGAGAGTGAGCAGGAGCAGTTCGAGATGTGATGTGGTGAGAATCAAGACGCACTGCTTGCTAGGCTAGAGATAGCTCCACTCCTAGGTGGACAAACCAACATACCCGTGGCTATATGGCGTCGAGATTCCTCGCTCAGATATCTTTAGCCGACAGTTTCTGACTCTTTCCATTATCTTGGTTCTGGTCTCCTAGAAGTGCTCCCATCTCTCTGTTGCTTGTTTGTCTCTGCTCTTCCTTTTTCGGCTGGGTCGCCAACGTGGGATTGCTGGGAGCACATCGTGAGACGAATAGCATATTGAATCTCGTACCTGTTGTCAACTTTTATCCATGTCGATTTGTTTCACGGGTCTCGTATATAAACGTACTAACCGTAGTTTTTTACTTTACCAAGCACACTACTTGCTCCACAGCCAGAAAAAGACCGTAACCAAGGCGTCATTGCTGTGTCCTCCCTTCCTCTCCTTGCTCGTGGCCACTTCTCTTCAGATGTGCAGTCATATAATGCAGAGGCTGAGGGCTAAGGGCTGAGCCTTCAGACGGCATGAGGCCAACTTTCAACATCGCGCTAACCGTCCCAGAAATCAAACACATTAATGCTTTGATCCGCGACAAATTTCCACACCAGCTCCCTTAAACTCAATCATACCAAACTACGGCTCTGGGGTAAATGGCATTCGAGTTACGGGTTTGACCACCAACCGCTAGAACTTCAAATACCACAGTGCAACGACCGGAAGCATTATGTTGGACCAAAAGGACCGCGGCCCTCGGAGGACCGAATGATAGCTTTCATCTGACACATTATTACTCCTCATCGAACTCGAAACATACAAAACAGCCGCAGTATGACAAAGTTAGGATTTACCTAGGTTTGAAACTACCGTTGGATAATAGATGGTAGATTCTCCTTTTTTGGGTGGGAAGCTACCCAGTCCGTGGTTTTCTTTTAAATGCATACTAATTGCTTCCAATCCTGCTTGCTGTTACGATGATTGACATCTTCCTTTACACTATGATACTCTATATGTTGTGATGATGTGTTTGATTCTTTACCCAGGATTTTTGGCAGTTACGTTCAATTCCTGCAGAGAATAAAGTGATGTTCGGCAACAAAAAGGGAAGAAAGACTTCATGAGTCTGGCATAACGGCAGGCACATAAACCACAAGACAGATAAAATGACACCTCCGTACCTCTTCAGAACAATGAGATTATCTCCTACTCGGCGCACCCAAAGGCCCAGGAGCCGCCGGTGACACTGACTCTCGCAAAGTTGACGAGATGTTGTTGACCGCTGGACGGTTTGCCCGATCACGAATATTCTTCGTCGCGCCAATTTTGTTGTCAAGTTTCTTCTTGGTCGTCTCGCGATCGGTCTTCACGGAGGTAGAGCGGTTACCTGGGATGGATCACAGAGTACATCGTCTGCTCTGAAAAGCTCTTCCGGCTCCCGGGGAGCGATGCCACCATCCTTGAACACCTGAATTCACTGTTGCTATCTCTACATCGAAGCTATATATATACTGGTATGGATACTATCAAGCGAAACGGTAGGCGTGACTGTAAGGTGGAATGAGCACCATAGTTAGTGGATAACTGGGCTCTGAATAGTCCTTGTAACCTCGCTCTTACTTTGATAATAATTGATATACGAAAATGTCCAGAGATGTACCCGAGTAACGAATCGACCTGGGCTTTAGGGGCGGTAGTGTAGTAGAAAGCCTGATTAGGTGTTATCCTGTCAAGTGAGTTTTGAAAATCTTAACTTCCCTTTTTGTGACTGTCTCTCGCGCATACTAAAATAAAGAGAACCCGCGAACGCAGACTTTCGTTTCTGCCTCTGGGCTGTAGCATAATATTCAGTCGTTTACTAACTAAAAACGTTATCACAATGTTTGACCATACACACAGGGGTCAAGGGGACTCAAAGTAAGGCGTTCCGTTTCTGTTTCATGCCGATTTGCATGCATGACCAGAAAAGGTTTCACCAATCACTATGAGCTGCATACCGAGGAGATGAACTGTGCTGACTAATCAATGGATAGTGTGTAAATAGCAAGTTGTTCTATCTAATTCAGTGCGAAAAGAGAGCGCATTTCTACGTACAAAGTTGCTATACCAAGCAAAATAGCGTGAAACGTACATACAAAAAATACATGCGGGGATGGGACGAACGCGTATCAATTATGTAACAAAACGATGGTGACACACGTAGCAAAGTAGCGCAAACTGTATTTTTGAGTTCAACACGAGATCATCAAGATCTGTGTACTCCGTATAGGCACCCACAGTGTCTCTACTGCAGCCATGAAGAAGATTGACAGTTTGATGATACATGGTGGAAACAGGTTACGAGCTCGATATACCTGGCTGCACAACATACAATCATGGTGAGACTTTAGCTGCACGCCCTAGTTAGATGGCACACATACTACTCGGCCCTGTTTTGAGGCAGTTAATATGCCTCTTTGGCCATGAGAGAGTCTTGTTAGTAACAACATCAGCACGTCACCTGCAAGCGGAGGACCAGACCGACAGAAAATTACACTGATAATAAGCCGAAGGACAATATTGCCTGCACTCTCACGTGTCTTTGTTCAAGTCATACACTACTGCCTGCTGCAGAGACAACGTCCAATATGTCCGAGAGATCAGTTTGGGGTGCTCAGGGTATCCGAAATACTTCAGGTAATAGCAGTGCAGGGCTAGGCATACCTGGCTACATGGATCTGAGCAATTCTCCGCAAGCCACACTTGCCGGATATATGGAGTTGCTATCGTTGCAGTCGACAAGCACGGAGCAGCGGACAAGTACTGGTCGGTTGATTTCTGGGCAGCCGTCGTCGTCATCACCCGTGGAGAGACGTACAACTCCTGGGCGTTTGCATTCTGGTCTACAGCAGTCATCAACATATGGAGAGAAAACACCCACTCGAACCATTCCCCAGCCGCGCTCACCACCGTGTAAAGAAGGTATGGCTTGGCATTCACCCCTTTCGCAGCAGCTACCATTACCCGCTAGGGAGGAAATATCTGGCCAATCACCCTCTTCGCCGTTGAGAGACTGGGCAGGTACTATGGAGCTGGCCTTATCGCCACCGAGGCAGACAGCCCAAATCAGGATTCCGCGGAATCAAACAGCACGACCAGGAAATAGCCCTCCCAGCCGAGCGTCCCAGCAGAGCAATATCGCCACATGTCCACCAGCTCCGCCATCAGCGGACGCCATAGCCCTGTTTCTCGCCGTTTTTGAGCCTCCTGGAACCATCCCGATGTCATCTCTGTCACGATCATCGCGCCGTAACTGCTCCATCATGGTGCAGTACCGACCCAATGTCGACAAGTTCTCCGAGTACTGTTGCATATCAACTCCCAAACGGCGGCCCAAGCGTCACCTCCAATTCTTCTCAACGCATGGCCTGCCGGACCCGAGAGACAACGCACCGGGTCTCATCGCCATGGGTTTCGTCGCCCGCGTTCCCCCGAGCGAGTCTTCCCGATTGAACGATCTGATGATGGAGATGAGACGAAAAATGGACGACACTTGGGACCAGAACACCTGGATAGATGTCTATCTTCGAGACCTGGTGGACCGGATGCTCATCACGCGGCAGCGAATGCAGGATCTGTTGGATTTTCTACGCCGCGCTCTGGAAACTCCGTTTACGGGTGTGCTCCCGAATGCACAACACTGTTTTCCCGGCGCTCATATCCCCCGTATTCATGTGGGGATGGATGACTGAGACGGCCAAATACTTTAGTTTCGTTGATTCGGCTTCGGGGGTGATGCACCTAACCGTTCATTTCTTTTCCTCTTCTTTGATCAAGGCAAAGATCCCTCCAATCACCAACCATGGGCCCTTAACAACATCATACGCCATACGCAGACATAATTCAGGGCACCCCATATTATTCGTCAGGGTTTTAAGCGGAATATATATCCTACTACCACCCTAGTCATGATGAAAAGGCAGTAGGAAAGGGGGGGGGGACCTCGTTACCCCCCTCCTCGTATTGAAAACTTTCTAGATCTAGTCATCTCATGATCATAACGCCCGTCCTCATCCTCTTCCCACGGGATTCGTTTTCACTCCTTTTCCGACTACGCCAGAGCGCGCCCCTCCTCCCCGAACTAGTGAACAACTTTGTGCTGAACCGAACCTCCAGAACAACCGTTTGAAGAGCGCCCTCTGAACGCTGAGCCCGCTCCCACGCGAAGCTGTTGTTGAATGAATTCAGGGATTTTTGGGTTCGGGTGAAGAGTGATAGCAATATCAGCTGGCATCGATCTCGCTGGCAGTTCGGTGAAGTAGTACATGTATGATGTGCAGCGGGAGTTGCGAGGAATCCTGACCACACTTTCGGAGTGCGGTTTCGAAAAGATCAATCTGGCTCTACCTACTTGACTCCCGTCATGTCATGTCATGTCATGCCATGCGTACTGTAGAGATCCGAATCGATACGTCCAGGACCCTTTCAGTAGTCGCCCGCTAATCCATCCCTGGAGTGCATGGAGTAGTGTAGGGTATACAGCTCAGCTCAGCTCAGCTCCGCTCCCAGATGGCGATAGTAACTAATGAATGGCTTGATAGATAGAAAGATGATGGACCTTGATTTGGGTGGGTTCCGCGTAGTACTGAAATGTGATATACATTATGCGTCGTACTACTTCTACTACACGGGGGAAAAAGCTTCGCAGGCAACATCCATTCATCCACCCACAATGATGATCATAGTACCCTTACATGGACCTTCGCATGGATATATATAAATCTACCCTATCTTCTCCGCGCGTGGCCGATCAAGCGGCCCTTGCCCCTGCCCCTGCCCCTTTCCCATCCCCAGCTCCGGCTGATCCCCCGACGAAGAGGACTCACTCCTCAGCGGCGGCACACCGGAGTGTTCCTCATCGGGGCGCCAGAAATCCCTCTTACCTCGCGCGGCACGCGTCACCCAGGGAGGGAGAATGCCGCCGGGAATATGGTAGGACCACGGATCCTTGGTCTCCTTGTCCGGGGGCACGATCCGACCTCCCGACACGACCTCGATGAGCTTGATGAGGGTGTTGAGGATGATGTAGGTGACGATGCCGGCGATGAGGCCGTAGGCGATGCTGTAGGTGAAGGGCATAACGGCGAGGGTGACGAATGCGGGGATGGCGTCGCCGGGGTAGCGCCAGTTGATGTCCGCGGCGGCTTTGCACATCATGGCGCCGATGAGGACGAGGGTGCAGCCCGTGGCCCAGGGGGGGATGGAGGCGAAGATCGGGGCGAAGAAGATGGCGATGAAGAAGCAGAGGCCGGTGAAGACGGCGGTGAGGCCCGTTTTGCCGCCTTCGGAGATGCCGGCCCCGGATTCGATGTACGCGGTTACGGGTGGCGAGCCGAAGAGAGAGCCGATGGAGATGCCGAATGCGTCGACGAGATAGGCCACGGCGCTGCCTTCGAAGTCCTGGGTGCGTTCGTCGATGGCGCCGCAGAAGCGCGCCATGGCGTAGAGAGTGCCGGTGCAGTCCAAGATGTCGACATAGAGAAATGTGATGAGGGCAAGGCCGAATTGGCCGCCGTAGTCGCCAACATTCCATTGTTGCACGACGAGGGTGCGCTGGATCGGGTGGAAGGCAACGACGTTCTTGAAGAAGTCGAACATACTATTGCCGAGAGGGGTGTAGGGGAAGTAGGTGACGGGCGTGGTGCGGGGCCAGGAGATGATAGACACCAGCAGGATGCCTGCAATGATGGCACCTTTGACCCGATACATCAGCAGCATGGCCGTGAACATGCCTCCACAGAAGAGACCGATCCAGAAGGTTGGATTCCTGAATCTTTGAGAGGGCGGGCACGTTCCATCCTCGAGGAAGAACTCCGGAGAACAACCGGCAATGTCGATCGGAGTAGCTGTTCCTCCAGTGATGGCGCCGATGCCGGCATTGTATGTGAGTCCGATCAGGCTCAGGTACAAGCCAATACCAACGCCTGTTGCCAGTTTGATGGATTTGGGAATCGCCCTAGCCAGCCACTGCCGGAGTCCCAGAAGCGAGAGCCCCACAAAGACGAAACCCTCCACGAAGACAGCCGTGACCGCAATCTGATATGGAACTGGGCCGGAGCCGTGGTATCCCACCACCTGATAGGTAAAGTATGCATTCAAGCCCATGCCGGGAGCCAACGCAATGGGCCTATTCAACCACATCGCATTAGCGCTGGAGCTGTGCGAGCAGGGCAAGCCCGGGAGTGGTATCTTACATGTTGGCAAACAATCCCATGCAGAAACTCGTTAATGCCGAAATGGCGGCAGTGGCGGTGACCAGATCCCGGTTTACTTCTTGCACGCATAGCATGTACTCCGGATCTGAGTCGCAAAGGTCGGGACTATCGGGCGGGCAGACACAAGTACCGCCGGATTGGGATACGATGTTGGCATTGACGGCGATGATATAGGCCATGGCGAAGAAAGTGGCTAGGCCGGCTCTCAGCTCGGTGAAGAAGTAGGAGCCGGCACGAGCTTGGGGCTTCATCGCTCAGCGCTCGTCAGCACACAGTACAGCTCCAGCTACAAGAAGCTTGATCGAGGGAGGAGAAATGGGAGAATTGCTCACATGGCTAGAGCCATCCAGCCTGAACCAGCGCCCCACCAAACTTTTTGCAACAGCTTCGTTGGCGGAGTGTACCCACGCCATGATTATTCTCTAGAGCCAGTCCTGTGCGATAGGTGCCAGATTCGAAGGCGCATAAAGACGACGAAAGTTCGGGATGATGCCGCGCCTTAATATGCTCCTCATTTCTGACATGGAGGCGGCATAGCATGATCGATCCTTGCCTCTTTTCGGCCTTATCAAGGAAGAGGGGGCAAGGGGCGAGAGCCGACGCGACCTTTGACCACGATAGCGCTAAGATGGATGGCACATTTCTAGTGGTATTAGTAACCCGGGCTGGATACCCTCTCCACTTGCAATCACGTTTGGGACAGGCGGACGGTGCCGGCCACAGCGGCCAAAAGCTGTGCTTGGTGTCCCAACTAACCACCGGGTACAACGCAGTAGGCCACGAGCCTCGACGCTGGTGGTGTGCTGCGGATGTTCAGCAGGGTGCGCTAGACTGGGATCTTCTCCATCGTTACCGCTGTTGGTTTTTGGTTCGACAAACTTGAAGGACACAAGATACTCTTAGATACTCTTATCTGCCCGGTTCTCGAGTGATGATCAAACTTTATACGGAGTATGCCACCTGGCCTTATCTGCCAGCCAGAAAATGAGATCGAACATATCGCGTCGGCTAGAACTAAGGGGGATGGAAAGGAAACAAGCATGGAGATGTTCGTCTGCCATGTGTCTGGTCCAGCCAAAGAGGCAGACGCACCGCATCCGATCTTGCAGGTGCATCTTGCATGTGCACCTCGCTTGTCCCGGAGCAATTGGTAGGGAAGAACAGGCAAATCAAAAGAGAGTCCACGGACCGATGGACCTCGGGGCACTGGTGTTGTCCATCGGGTAGTTAAAGCTTGGACCACTGGCAAGACTCCGGCAGCCCGGTTGGTGGTTTGACTAAACTTCTCTTTACCATGTATGTTGTACCTATCCTCATCCATCAATCCGCTCAACACAATCATGACTACTTTTACCGGTGACCCTTTCTTTAGCAAGATCGAAGCAGGAAGAGCTGAGCCGACCTGGGTTTGAGCATCAAAGTAGCTCGCTGCAGCTAAGATGAAGTTGGCTTTGTTAATGGCAGAGAGCACCCAGGAAAGAATGGCCGCAGGGAAAGGGTAAGAGGGAGAGAAGGATGCAGGCAGGAGGTGGAAGTGAAGAGACGACAGGGTGGCAAGGCGGGATAGATGATAATCTCCTTGAGGAACATTGTGACCAATCCGTCATCCATTCGCTGCAAAGTGGACCAGCAGAGGAAGACAACAGATCATAGACGGGGGGCAAACGAACATCTCCAGGAGGAGAAGCAAAGGACGGTGGAAGAGCGATTACTTCGAAGCATGGCAGGTGCACTTGTCTTGCAGGCCTTGTATTGCGCAGCACAACAAGCATGATTTGAGTCTATGCTGAAGCAAAAACAGATTGGCCACCATGCTACGAGTGTTCCTTGCCTGTGCGTGCTCATGCTCATGCCCACGCCCATGCTCATATGCTCATGCCCACGCCACGCCCATGCTCATGCCCACGCCCATGCTCATGCCCACGCCCATGCTCATGCCCTGTCACATCGTCACAGCTTCATCAAAATGCCAATTGCGGTCCTCACCGAATCGACCTGCACCTAACTCTTGGTTGCCCTGGACTGAAGTTGGTCATCACGACTTGCGCCTGGTCAAGACCGGTTTCTGCACGAAGCAGATGCCATGCTTGATCCAGAAACCGCGTGTTGTGCAAACCATGCCCATATCATCGAAAAAACAGTAGAAGTGCCTGATAGGAAGCATAGTTAAGCATGTGTAGCACCGTAACCCATATTTAGACCCTCCCAATAGTCACGCAGCTCGCATTCGTATGCCTTCAATGCTTTCACACTGCGGTCCAGGTGACCAAGCAACGATAGAGCTGATTGGCTTGATGGATATCCTTCGGCGACTGGAAGTCGAGGAGGTCGAGGATATCAAGATGCATCTCGGATGGAAATGAGGTCAGAGTTGCTGGCATCTTAAGTACAGCAGAGAGACTTGTGTCTACAGATGAGAGGTCAGTCTGGAAATCTTGCGTCCTTGGTCACTACGTACGCTATGGGCGTGAGGTCTAAAAGGGGTGTAAATTTCGAACAGCGCGACAAGACTGGAGAGATTTGATGAGGGTAATTATGCTTCAAGAGGGTAGTGGCGATCTCCATTAGACGAACTCTGGCATTGAGAACGAGAGGTAGGTCGGTGAAGAGTCGCCAGGTTCGGACTCGCTAGATTGTACATCAAGGCCACCACTTTGCAGATAAAGCTCAATCATGCGTAGGGAGTATGCGCCATTCATCCATGCCCATGATCCACGCCCATGATCCACGCCCATGATCCACGCCCATGGCCCATGATCCACGCCCATGATCCACGCCCATGATCCACGCCCATGATCCACGAAAAGATACATGCAGAGAGACCCATGCCATTCAGGTGGTGAATGTTGGCCAGCCGCCACAGATATGCCAGCGCAGAAATTCCTTCCTTCCTTCAGCCAGTAACGGCTTCTTCCTCCTTCAACACCTTCTCCTGCATCTTATCAAGGTACATCTTCCTGGTGTTGCCTTCCACCAATATAGCGGACCATGTCAAGCCCATAACACTGGCCGCTGCTATGGCACGACCAACCCGCCTGGCCCTTAGCGAACTGATGATGTAGTACAACTGCAGAACTGTCGTGGACGCTCCAAGATATGCCCAAACCAGGTTATATCTCCAGAAGGACTTCTTTGCATATATATATTGGGCGTGCAAGGGATTCTCGGTGCGATATCGGGTGAAGGTTAAAGAAGGAGGGCTGTGGAAAGGAATGCCCTTAGGTTTGATGAGCTCTTTCCACTGTGATTCGGCGTAGAGATTGGGGATTGTGGATGGCACGAGGTAGCCTTCGTGGTAGGCCAGATCGAGGAGCAGTGGGACTGAGATGCCCAGGCTGAAGCGGAAGGGGTGGAATATTGGTCGAGTTGAAGCCATTTGATCGAGGCCAAAGGTGAATTTGGATGTTTCGGGGGTGGGGGGAGCAAGCAATCGCTTCCACCATCAACAACTCCCTCAGACAGCTTGCAACAGCTTGCAACCGCCTCCAGAAGGACTTAGGGGTTCGAGGTGATATGAAGAACCACGAACTAAGCGGTGATGACCCCGGAGAGTAAGGCTAGAAAAAGTCTGGCGGTATTAAAGTCTGCTGTGTGACCTTTTGCACGGATTGAAGCAGGTCGGCGAATTTGTGATCAACCAGCAGGTGAAAAATTATTTCAACCAGGGACCTCCGGACTTGCAGCACGACTTGGGCCTCTGGGCCAGGGCCAGGGGAAGAATTCGCGGCCTCCAAATCGACTTCACGTCAGCCACAGTGAGCTACCATGCTGCCCGCTCGTGCTTGGAGAGTTAAGAAGCCGGTGTCATCCATCCACCCCCCCGGCCGGACACCCTCGCTCAAGTGTGCCTATTGGATTCATTGCTCAACCACACCCCTGGTGGGAAATTGCATGCTCGTCCCTGCAGGATACTGATCTAAGAGAGTAGCTTTCGACCCCACACCCTCTACGAACAAGGCCACTCTATTATCTATCCCGATATGGCCCCCCAAGGCCTTGTTTCATGTGGCTCCAATGTCTTCTCTTGACGTCTTCTTACTGTTCTCGGTCTTTCCTTGCTCTCGTCCCTCGTTCTCTATTTTCATGTCTATTGCGTCTTCACTCTCGCTTCCATGATCTCTCGCGCTCCTCCAACTCCTCCAATGTCTGAGACCCACGTCGCAGGCATCGCATCAAGCGTCTTGGAGATCTCGGATCTGGCGGCCAAAGTGTCGGTAAGGCTATTTGCTTTATCTCGTAAGGTCAGAGATGCCATCAAACCAATAGAGGCCTTGTCCAAGGATATTGCATCGACTGGAGCTATTTTGAACCAGTTGGGCCATCGATTGAAGAAGGGCGAGGATCTACGGGTGGGTACCTCGACTTTGGTCACTTCGGTCGATGATCTTGTGGAGGAATGCAGCAACATGTTCGAGAGTATAGACAAGGCGCTGGATGGCAACAACACGGGCAGTAAAGCTATCTTGGGTCTTCAGCATTATGTACATGTCGCTTCCCTGGAACCTCAGCTTGTGGTCTTGGAAACCAACCTGGAAAGATTGAAGACGCCGTTGGCATTGATGCTTAACGTGCTGATATATGCTGAGCAATTGAAAAGGTATGTGCCCACCAAACCCCAGTCCTGCTAGATTTGTGCTTGAACACCACACTGATTGCACAATCTGAATTCGTATAGTGAAGAAAAGAGCCTGCTCCTCAAAGAACAGCAAGAGCTCATCAGAGTGCTCAACGAAGAGAGAAAATACAACGAGAGACGATTCCACAAACTTACAACAGAAAGCAGAAGTCCGCCCGAAGGCATCGGGGCTCCCGAAGCACCAAGGATCGAGGCTACTCTCACGCAGTATACTCTAAATGAAGGGGTACTAAATCAGGAAAGGCCCAGTCAGGAAACTAGAGAAAAAAATTCAAAAGCAAAAGGAAGAGTTTGGATCAGGGACGAGTCACCAGAGCGAGAAGATCGCCCGATAATAGACAGCCCGCCACTTCGTCTGAAGACTTCATTAATAGATCGAGTATCTTCTAAGGTCCGCGGCAAAGTCCGGATCCCTGATCCAGTTCAAGACGAACCACAGGAAGAAGAGGATGATTCGTCGTTGCTTGACATGGCAAGCTTTCTGAAGTCCACCGGTCCCGATACCCCTCGAACTTCTTCAGGGGAAGACACTTCCAGCCCACCTGCAAAGTTGAAAAAACCGCGCCCCAAATATCAACCGCGAGATCCGATTGCAAGAAGCGATACGTCTGATCTCATCGACTTCTTTCGAGAAGGCTCACCTCGTGTCAAAAGAAAGGCCAGCAACAAGAAGCTTCCGGTCATCACCCTTGTGCGGGGCACAACGGAGCCTATAACACCACCACTCACTGCGCAGGAAGACACCGAAAAGAAGTCTCCTCTTCCCCCTCACATTTCTTCCATGCAGAGCCGACTGCGTTCTCAGTCCGCTGGACTACCTTCGCCTTTAGGGAGTCATCCGCCAGCAACCAAAGTCAATATTTCTCGGCCAGCCACCACCAAGTGGCCCTTGCAAGCGGTACTCGCCTGGCTGGAGAAAAACTCCTTCTCGACAGAATGGCAGGACACCTTCAGAGTACTGGAAATAGAAGGCTCAGAGTTCGTCGAGCTGGAATCTGGTCAAAGCATACGGAAGATGTTGACCGTCATATATCCACAACTGGCCAAAGAATGCTCAGACAGCGGCATCGGTTGGGATCAGGCTCGAGAACGCGCAGAGGGTCAAAGATTACGGAAGCTCATCCGCGAAATGCCGGTGGATATCAAGTACGAGGATGCGCCTCCAACCGTGCCGGAAAAGGTGACAGACCGAGGTCCAGCCACGGCACAATCGCCCAGTAAATCAGAAATGGCCTCTGGAGGTCGGCAGAGACCTGTCACTGCCCCAGCCGAGGCTACCTCTCCGGATTCAGCCACACCATTTCAGTCTCCTCGGAATGAATTCGAACGCACAGACATTTTCCCCTTGCCAGAATCGTTGCAGAAGGAGGATCCAGAATTCAGTCTGGAGACTCCGCAATCATCTGCGAGCAAGAACAACGATCTGCCTCGTCTCCGGGTTGAGGTCGACACTTCTAACGTGTCAGACGAATGGGTCCGGAAGTGGACCGTCCTATCAGCAGAGGAGATCGCTCGTGGGAGGAGAGAGGATGATAGACCGTTCTTGATTGATTGAGAAGCCAGATTTCTCTACTTTTCCTCGCTTGGGAAGGCTGTTGTGAGGGGAAAGGGGAAAGGGGAAAGGGGAAATTAATGAGGTGATGCATCATGCCAACTTTGTATGATCAAATCACCCCTGAATTATGATATGATCGTGTTTCGGATCCACACATGGGCATTGCTTCATTCTATCATTTGTACAGCCGGTAAAAGAGAAACACAGCCGATGTGTACATTACACCCCCACTAGCGAGAAATCTTCGGTATCTCTCTCTCAACTAGGTGTCATCTGCGATATGTCATCTGCGATATGTCATCTGCGATAATGATGCATAAATAGTTCAATTCACAATGTGTGTGTGAGTGTGTGTGTGTGACTCCAGTCCAATCCCCGAGCGACCCTGCTGCAGCCCACTCAACAAGGCGCCCTCCACACATCAAAGCATCATCACTAGTTAGTATTCTTCTAAGAGGAAATCCCCCCCCTTTGACACTGTGTACCCACGACTCGACTCCCTTCCAGCTCTTCGAAGCGTCTCTCACACCAAAAAAATTCAGAGAGAAGTCGAGATCATGGGTTCGGATTTTAGTACAGGGCTGGCGGATTCGATTGCTTTGTTTTTCCTTCACACGTTACTGAGTAAAAGGGGGAGAGAAGAGAAAAAAAAAATGAAATGAAATGAAAAGAATGATCGCTCAAAATGAAGCCAGCAGCAGCAGCAGTAGTAGTAATAGTACTCCGTAGTAAGTTAGTCTTACTAAACTCATCTCCATCTCCACCCACTCTACTTTTCCACACCCAAAAAAAGAAAGAAGAGAGAAAGAGAGAGAGAGTGAGGGGTAAGCAAGCAAAGAAAAGTCATTTTCTCAAGATCACGAAACGAGGGATGCAAAAATGAGATAAATATAATTCAAAAGCCCCCCGTCCCTCCTCCTCCCTCCTCCCACCAGAAGAACGGACAATAAAACATGCAGAGCTGTGAAAAGACAATTGATCTGGTTGCCCCCGGCGAAGCCTCTCTACGTGTAAGAGGAAATGAAAGGAGATTTCGGGCCACGATCATTCATTCATGAGGGATGAGGGGGACGGAGGCATGGGCGCGTCTCGAGATCGTCTTCGTCTGCTCCTTCGCTCCGCAGTCACACGTACGAGGACGAGTGGATAGGGGTGGAGCAAGGCCCTCCGGTTGAGAAGTCTACTGCAGAAGATGAAAAGCGAACTGATTGAGAGCTTCATGACGCATTTATGCGGGCCTGCTGTTGAAATCAGATCATGAAGGACAGTTGCCGGCATGGCATGTTTTGCCTCGTTGAGTAGTCTCCCTTTTAAAATTCACTCCGCAAGGACAGTTCCCGAACCAGCAAACCCCCGGTCTAAAAGTCGCCGCCCATGTCGCCTCCGCCAAAGTCATCACCTCCGCCGAAATCATCACCACCGCTCCTCGTGATCGGAATCGTGCATCGCATCCGCCAGCATCATGCCACCCACGACCCCACCACCGACACCCAACGCGGCGGCGCCACCGGCCCCCATGCCCTTCCGGGGCGGTGCGTGACCCATCATGCCGGCGCCGTGGCTTCCGCCCATCATCCCGCCGCCGTGGCTGCCGCCACCACCCATCAGGCCGCCCAGCATGCCACCAGCGCCGTGTCCGGGCTGATGGCCATAGGCACCTTGCTGCGGGTAGCCGCCATAGCCTCCTGAGCTGCCGTGTTGTTGGCCAAAGGGACTCCCACTACTTCCCCGCCTCCGCTCTTGTGCGCTCGGTTGTCTTCACCCGCCTGCGGAGCCGAGGGCGCGCCGGGATACCCGCCGTGGATGCCTGGTGGAGCGGCGCCCTGGCCCGGCGATTGCCCGTGACCGTGACCATGCGGCAGCGGAGCCTGGGCGTAGTAGTCGTTGCTTGCGCCCAAGCTCGGCATGTCCGGTCTTGGGCTCCGCCCGCCTGCCCTTCGGCTTGGAGTCGTGCCGCCAGCGCTGCGTCGTCTTCGGCGGTCGCGCCGGCACCGTACGGGTTGTTCGAGTCGAATGGCTTCTTGGTATCTGAAGCGTGGGATAGAGCAGGGGGTTGTCGGATCCAGCGTAGCCGGGTGGTGGGCCGGTGGGACCGCCTTCGGATGAGAGGGGACGCGCCGGTGAGCTGGGCCGGTCCCATTGCGACTGTTTCGTATGCAGATTGACGTAGAACCTGGATAGGGAATGGCAGCATTTAGTATCAAGTCACGAAGTGCGGGAGTGGTGAAGGAACACTGAGTCTGAGATGATGACGCACCATTCTCTGTATTGCTCGTTGAACTGAGCTTTCCAGCCGGGGGGGACTTGCGGAGGAGGCGGACCAGGTGGAGGGGCGTATTGATCCATGTTGAGGATATGTGGACAAGCACTAATGGGACGATGGGATTGGTGAGATGCGCAAAAAGTTGCACAGTTGAAGTTGCGCAAGCTTAACTTATAGGTAGGAGAAATGGAGAATGGGCAAGGGTGGAAGTGTGGAAGTGTGGAAGTGTGGTTGTGAGAATATGGTGACCGAGGGGAGCATGAATTATGCGCACATAGTTCTCCATATGTAGCGCATATATGTAGTAGTATGCGATTACTGTTGTACATAGTACGTCATCTGTGGCTGTGCACCACGCGGCTACACATCTCACCACCTCACCACCTCACCACCTCACCACCTCACCACCTCACCACCTCACCACCTCACCACCTCACCCTAACTTAGCTGACAGATTAAAGCGCAGATGTTCGGTATGAACAAGCATCTACTCACAAAACCAGATCTGCAAACCGCAGAAAGACTTCCTTATCAATGGGACATGATCAAGCCACTTGATTGAGCTCTACGCGACATACAGAAATCAACCTCTACAGCTCTCCTTGGAACTGAATATGTGAAGTTGCACCTGACCAAACAATCTCCACTTCTAGCCCTTTATCGCCAGCCTCGGGGACAGCGGTAATGTCGCCCTGCTCAAACCTATGTGGCACAGATCTGGCGTAGAATGAGGTATGTTTCCGGTACGACAACGTCCCGTTACTCGTTGTCGAGAAGATCGTCTGCTCTGGAACTTTCTTCCCGCACTGAAATATGTTGTCGATAATCCCACAAGGTCCCTTGGATGAGATCAAGGTGAACATGCGAGGCTCCCTGTGATGGTGTTCCGGCTTGTCCACAACATCATCCTGAACGTGGAAGCCGGCGCAAGTTCCGCTCATATACCACTTGCCTTTGGATATCAGGCAACCTCGAGGACTTGTCTCACCTTTCACAAAGACTTGTAGAAAACCTTTCCCTTTGAAGGGAACTGCAGTGGAGGTGGGCGATGGAATTTGTGTCGAGGACTGGGAGTGTGTTGGCTCCGTGGTGCCAGGGCTTGTTTCTGACGAGCTCTTGGGGAGGTACCTGATGCCTGTACCTGGACAGCTGCTCTTGGCCCCATCCGGCTGTGCAGCAATGAATTTGCCGGTTTGGACCGATCCCCGTACCGAGAAATGATACCATACTTCATTGAATACGTGGCCTCTACAGCGCAAAGTGACCGCCGTACCATGCATTTTCTTTAACGGTGCTTGGATCTCTTCCTCGGTCCAGGTTCTGCTGTCGCTAGGCAGAACGCCAGCAGCCGCCAGGGTTTGGTAGGTGGGTAGCGTCTTGAAAAGGGCGGTGGTAATGTTAAAGTAGTCCACAACTTCTTGCTGAGCCTGGTAGTTGTTGTAGCATTTGGTGTCGAGCGTGCTGACACAGGTGCCGTGCTTCGCCCATTCATGCGACCACAGGTTCTGATCATCACCTTGGTAATCCTTCCAATAAGTTTGCATATAATCTAGTACATCTTCTCCACCTCCTGCGGTGAGGATACTAGAAATATTGCTATATTTACGTGCATGGTCACAATTTGCTTCATAGGTGCCATCGCAAAGATCAGGCCTGGAGACATATTAGGCGAATCTTTCAAGCGATGGTGTGAAATTTGGAACAGACCATAGTCCATGTATAGTCCATGAATCAGACGGGCCCACCGGGGGATTCGTATCCCAGAATTGGGTTTGCAGCATTAGTCCGCCAGGATAGTTGAGGCAGCATGTATCCACAGCGGTGGTGTTGTGACAGCTCAACTGGGTGTTTGTACATGACGCTGAGCTTCCTCCAAAATGGTTATCTGAAGAAGGCGCTGCGAGAACAGAAGCCTGCAGCAGGCTCTTCACATTGACTCTGTTGTTGTTCCAGGGTCGGTATTGCCGAGCTTGAGTTTGAGTCTTCGAAATGATGTTGGACAACGAGTCCAGGACAGCTTGGCGGCGAGACGCAAACCACTGATCCATGAAAGCAGGGCGATCTTTTGAGTATTTCCGCTGGACTGTAGATGGTACGCTAAGTATCAGAGAAAGCGGAAAGATTGTTATCAAATGTATCTGCCTAAGCCGCTAACGAGCACAGGCGGAACGAGGAGACGTCGTTGCAATAGCCCAATGGGTGGCCACGAGATCGATTTGGTTGGGACAAAGGGCACATGGCAGGCTCGTGTTGCGACACAGCTAGAGTCACATTCACCCGTTCCACAGACTTACTCGTCATTCCCTGAAGCGGCTGCACGAACAGGCAGCACAGCTTCTAATTTCGCTATTTTGAAGCATTGTGGCTATCGATACGCCCTAGCTTAGGAAGCGGTGAACTTAAGGAAACAGGCGTCAGGTGAGTCCCTTGTTAAACCCCATATCTCTCGGAAATGGCGCTGCTCTTAAAGCGACGCTTGCAGCATTGTTTTTTTTGACGTGAAACACTGGAACGAAGGGTACGGCAGACATCCAATGGTCGGCATAAAACTCCTGATCGATGGAATCCATAAGTTATTGCTTCTGTACTACTGAATGTGATATTATGGTATCTCAAGAACAACTCCACACCCCTCTTTATTATATCATAGTGGTACAAAACGTTGCGCAGAACTCATTTGTTGCTACCCCGGCTGAATGCAAAGACCGCCACAATGACCACTGCCAGCGTGACAATTGCTCCCGGCAGTAGTAGCTCGTTGGGGACACCACCAATCAGTTGCCCCTCGTTCATAGCTGTCACAGCCTGCTTTGTACCCATTGACCGCTTGGCTTGTACCTCCTCATCACTCTCTGCTGCTGCTGCTGCCGCCGCCGCCGCCGCCGCCTCAGCCCTCTCTCTTAAGACCGATTCTGGTGGCGTCAGTGGCTTGGACACGTTCGGACGGGGATCCACAGTGGCAACAAGAGGAGGTTGTGCAGGATCATGCACGAAGAGATCGACTTTGTCCCGGCAACCTTGTCGAGCAAGCGCAATGGCGTCGATCAAGTCTTGGTCTGTTGTAATGGAAACTGTATCACCCTCATTGTCCATGTAACTCAGCGCATAACCAGATTTGCCAAGTTTGCCCTCGTCCACGTTGGCCTCGCCACCCACCGCATCTACTTCGGGTCCCAGCTTTGAGGTGACATTAGCAACAAGCTCTTCCATCCCGGCTGACGCAACGACTTGAAGACGATGTACTCTTCCACTTGGGGCTTTGAATTTGAACGGAAACGGCATGTCCTCAGGAGCAGCAGCTACGGGTTGCACTGCCTCCGAAAGGTCATCGTCTCCGTTATGTGAAGCAGATTCGTTGGGCATAACGCTATCTCCTCTTTCCATTGGAGGACGACTGGCTCCAGGAGACATCAATGAGCCATGGCCTGGAGTGGTTGGTCGATGACTGCCGTCCCCAGACATCATCGACTCCGAGTCGTTGTCCATGGACAACCAGAATTTGTTCCAAGCCGGGCCTTCGCTTTCTCCACCCATGGTGTTGATCTGTTCCAGAGTGGCATACGTCAGCTTGAGCACGTCAACCATGCCGACGATTTCCCCAGTCTCATTCATGACGGGCAGGTTCAGGTAATGGCCGTCTGTTACTTGTAAGCGTAGATACCAGTCCTGATCAACCGGACTTACCATGCATTTTGCGCAGAGCGGCTTGGATGCTCATGTCAGCCGGGGCAAAATCTGGATGGGGTGTCATGACTCTGACAACGCTGCAATTTGAAGGATCCAATCCAGGGGCAATCACACGCAGAACAACGTCTTTGCTGGTGAATATTCCAGTGATTGAACCCTGGTCTTGAACCAGTACAGCAGTGGTGTGATTTTCCTTCATCAATGCGGCTGCTTCCTTGACGGTTGTCCGAACCGAGACCGTTGTGGGTGGAAGCCCATTCAATACTGACTCTAGAGTTGGGCCCGACATCTTCTGTCTTAGCGCCTCCACGTACTGGATAATCTGTTGCGGCTGACTAGACCCGAGTTCGGATTGCACACCTTCTAATGCATCATAGAGCTTCCGGGAAGAGCTGTAGGCCCGTTCCAACTTTTCCATTGCATCGTAAAAGCATTTGGTGATATCGAGAATACCAGAAATATCCTGATTCTCATCCATAACGGGGAGATGACGGAACCCTTTCCTGACCATGAGATCCAGGGCATCTGTGGCCGAAGTGTCGGTCCGAGCACAAAGCGGATTCTTGGTCATGATCTCGGATATGCTGACAGCACTTGCCTTGATCCCAGCGCCAACCACACGGAACGCCAGATCTTTCGCCGTGAAAATGCCTGCAATCCTATCGTCGTCGTCTGTCACTAGTACACAGTCTTCTCTTTTGGCGGCCATCAGCTGCGCGGCTTCCGCAACGGTCGTGTTTGGCTTGATTTGGAGAGCCTGACTTGGCTTCAAGGCAAGGACTGTACCGGGTGGGGCTTTTCGGGTATGCCGTGCTCGACTTGAAGCATGTTTCTTCTTGCTGAGGTCCGCCTCCATTTTACGTCTGATTGCTTCATCTCGTTTAGATTGCTTTTGTCGACTAGCTGACAACGTAGAGCTAGCTGTCTCGCTTTGCTGAGCCGTGTTGTCAAGCTTTGGGCGGGGAATTGAGGATGCTGGAGTGTCGTTGAAGGGCATCTGTCCTCTGCCCTGGCCACGTGTCGGGGTCGCACGATAAGTGCCCGTCCCTGACATGTTGCTGCTCTTGATGCTAAGGGCCGACCTACGGATTGAGTATAAGCAGGTCAAGGGCGGACGTAGCTGGGAAGTTGGGTAAAGGTTGGGCCAAATTCATTCCTCGCGGTTACTTCTGAAGTTGCCAGTGCCATGGAATCAAAACAATCTTGGCAGGCATTTAGTGCCAAGAACGCGGAACCTGCCGCAGCGCACTTTGAATATCAAAAGCTGAACATTGAATTTTGCCAGCATCAGATTGTAGGCCTCCAGTCCCACAACTGATATTCAGCACCGCCAAACGAGAGACACCCTTTCTTGTCTTAGCGAGGAACTCGTTATCTGTTTCAATCCTCCATAATGGTGAAAAAGCGGGCGTCTAAGTTTGTGTCCCAAACGGCTCACTGGTGGCGCATATTGAATGCTGAGTTTACTACAGTGGACGAAACAAGAAAGGCCGAGGCCATGTCAAGCCAATTCGCTGTTCCAATTGTTCGAGATGTACACCCAAGGACAAGGCAATCAAGCGATTCACAATTCGAAACATGGTCGAGTCCGCCGCAATTCGTGCGTACACCTTGAGGGCCACGTTGACCGAACATGTTCCTAACGTTACGTCAAGGTGACATCTCCGATGCATCGGTCTTTCAGGATTATGCGGTTCCCAAGATGTACTTGAAGTTGCAGTACTGTGTTTCATGCGCTATTCACGGCAAAATAGTCAGGTACGTCGAGAATCTACAGCGTCTTTCTTAGAAGCAGCTGATGTTCTATCTATAGGGTACGATCACGAGAAGGACGCCGTAATCGAGCACCTCCACCACGAATCAGGTACAATAAGGACGGAAAGAAGGTGAACCCAACACAAGCAGCCAAGGTAGCACAGGCATGATGTACGAATCGACGCGAAGGAATGTTCTCGACCGGAGACGTTATGGTCAAGCCGCATCAGCAGCAAGAGTGAGCTGATGCTTCGCTAGAGCTAAGACTCGGCGTGATAGGGAGTGATAGGTATTTGAGAACAATAGCTGAAGAAAGATGCTTTGCTCCTCTAGGCGATTCATAAGCGGCAACTGCATTCCAGGGTCCATGTCTCTCGATGCCCATTGATATGTACGTTGGGCTCTCAATAGGATTCAATTCGTCCTTGGACAGCCTGCATGCGATTCTGGTTCCTAGCCGAGCCTTTGCTCAACTTCCTTCTTGTGTCATCTCAGTTCACAGATTTCACCAGCCTCATCCCCCCAATGTTGCGTATGGGCGGCAGGAAACTATCCGTGTTACGATACGCCAAACCTTGCATGCATTGAATGCTCCTGGAATGAAAACCAGCTTCTCTCAATATGTTATAATTCTCTCTTTAGACCTCTCTTCAACTTCTAGAACTTAGTCTCGATTTATTCCTGCCCTCTCATTATATCGACCCAAAGTGTTGACAGATTGGTCAGTGTTTGCCATCCAGTGAAAGGAGCCACGGACCGAGCTGAGCATAACTGCATGATCAACTCCTTCATTTGCCACTTTACCCTTACGGTCACAATAACATTATGGAACCAAGGTCATATCAATGCTAGCTCAGACTCCTGTCCACAATATCCGACGCTTTGTTCAATAAGAAGATAGCTCCAGATGACGCAACCGAAGATGGTTGTCACCCCTACGAAGCGCAGGCACTGAAGGATTGCTACCACAAGAGGACAAGCACAAATGAAGCAGCTGAAGTCATCAAGAGATCCCTATGACAACTGATATCGTCTCTGGGCGCTCCTCATCGACGCTCTCTTTAAGCTTCCAGCAATGCAGATCCCAATCGCGAACTAATTGCTTGACGCCATCTAATAACTTCCAGGGCGTGAACTGACAGGCAGACAGATCAAGAGCACGCCTGCAAAAGGCTTCCTCTGGCGGTGAATGTCCGGCCTCGGCCATATGTTGGAAGACGAACACAAGCAGGACCACTGGCGTCAACCTTGGCCGTTAGCGATCTAGCGGATCATGCTGGTCTGCGAGCTAAGTGTGGGAAGAACGCGGGAATAGAAGCTTAGCTGGCTCTTGCGTATGTTGGTGGCGTTTCCTTGAACTGGGATTACGAATCTATTGCTGACGCGCTAAAGCGCCGTGACGCGGTGCTGGACTTCGAAATCTCCGCCTCGGCCAATTGGATCTTCATCGTTGGAAACCGTATCCATGCTGGTGCAGGAGAGGGCGAAGAAAGCTGGACTCGGAAAAGCCACCAGGATTCTGGGAAGGAAGCTAAGGCAATGAGCTTGGAGCGATGGTCATGCTGGGAGCAACGCATAAAGAAGCTGGTTGAGCAGTTGAAGGCTACACGGGATGCAGCAAAGGTAAGCTGTCAGCAGTAGTGAATGCCTTGATGGCTCGCTCTCATGGCAGCGGGTAGTATTTCTATATTACCAGGCATGTCGGTATGATATTCAGAGTGAACAGGTAAGGTCAACAGGGCAAGTACAGGCATGTACCCTGTTCTGAGAGTGTATTTCAAAAGCGACAGGAAGGCAAAAGCGTATAGTTTGTATTTTCAGTTATTCCCCTCGCTTAAAGCCATTTGGGGATTCTCTTTAGCAGGCTCTCCAAAAGGGAATGCCAAAAGAGTTGTCTTAACTACTCTTTGAAGGTGGTAGCCCTAATGGGAAAATGCGAATAAGCTTTGAGATATTGCATCATCCTCACCATTCTTAATCGTCAAGGCGTATTCTCTACTCCGTAAGGATTGTCGATATCCAACGGGTATTTTGGTCACTGGCATTGATGCTCGCAGCTCCATCTTTAGAAGACCCATCATGACGTAGTCACGACTGTCTCCTAAACAGCCGCAGCAGCATACCTTTAAGACACAGCTTAGGTGGGTACATACACTAACTCTTTTCTCCAGAGATCAAACGAGGGCGTATAAAAATACATGGTGCATTAGGCGTTGAGAGTTCCGCTAGGTAAAAGCAGCCTGCTGTCTTGGAGGCGGGGCTTACTCCATTTAGCCCGGACCGGGTCAACCTCCCTTTTTCACACTGGCTCAGACGGCAGAGAGCTGACCTAGTATTCGAGTACGTACTCAGTGCTACCGGAAAGTGCGTTTCTTCCTATCCCACGCGCCGGTGGTGAATTTGCTTCCTTTTAGCGTGCCAAGAATTTTGGGTCTTGGCATGACTTTTTTCCAATTTGGAGGATCAACGCCATCAAGGCCAACTTCTACATGGAATTACGCAGGTCACAACGCCAGCGAAAGCCTAAAACTATATGGGAAGAAAAGGGTGCTCCTTATGCAGCTAGAGACCCCAAAATCACTAATAGAACTGACCGAACGGAGCAGAAAACGGCGCTCAAACCTGTTGCTAGTGGACCTCTTCCGAAAACGCTCGAAATTGACGCTAATCGACTCCCTGATCTCCCTGCTTACAAACCGCTATTGAAATTACGATTTGAGCGTTCAAATTCGCTTCTACAAGGTCTCTCGCAGCTTAATACGTTCTAAAAGCTCCTTACGCCCTTTATTATCGACAGAATCGTTGAATCAACGAACAGCTATGCACAAAACGCTCGAAATACGGATTTTGAAGAAGAAGAAGATCCTGAATCCTTTTTCAGACCCTGGAAACCAGTTAATATAATTGATATTTAGCGATATATTAGCTGTTTGCTTTATATAGGATATCACAGGTTATCTAAACACGAAGAACATTAGAGCAAGTCTGGCTATTTAGGTCAATTCATAAGCCTAGTAAGATATAAGCAGATTCATTAATATTTTACACTTTAAGATTGTACAACTGCTCCTTGTCAAGAGCATAAGACGTTTGTTTAGCAAGTAAAACTAATTAGGTCTATAGTCAAGCAAAATTGTAAGAAGAATTAGTATCTAAGCTCTTATTTAGCTATTAATAAGGCTATAATAGCCTATAGAGGCTATAGTACTTATAAGGTCAAGCTCCTAAATAAGCTAATTAAGGAGGGCTATAAGATATGGGTACTTAGTGACGCTAGATACGTCTATAATTAGTTATAGTATAGCCGTATTAAAGGACTAGAGGATATCCCTTAAGAGGGCATCAAATTTGATCAAGTTATTAAAAAAGAGCTTACAGAGCTTACTATAGTACATCTAGCACTAACGTTTGCCCTTGTTATTTTAAGTACTCAGTAACACTAGATACATCTATAATTAGTTATATTATAGCTATATTAAAGGACTAGAGGATATCCTTTAAGAGGGCATTAAATTTAATTAAGTTATTAAAAAAGAGCTTACAGAGCTTATTATAATACATCTAGTACTAACGTTTGCCCTTATTATTTACTTTATATAACGTTTACGTCAAATTTATTTAACGTACGTTTTTTGCTTCTTTTTAGATAATCTCTTTCTGAATATTAATGTTGCTTAATTGTTACTTGCTCTTTATATTTGCTGTACAGGCACTACTTACAAAAACGCTTAAGAAGTCTCTATATAAATTCTGTCACGGCTGCCATGCTTGTCGCCTGCTAGCGCTAGGGCGCCGGGTATTGATTGGCACTAGACGTTAGTAAGGGGCATGCTTGTTATATAGAAGCGACCCCAGGGCCCTCACCGTCGACTCTCCAGTCTTAGGATAGCACTCAACATGGGCTGAAGATCTCGCGCACTCGTCGCCTGCTTCCAACGTGACACGTGACAAATTCTATAGCTAAAGGAGCATAACTATAGCCTTATTTAGAATTCTATGCTTGCAGAAGTTATTAATAATATACTTGTTTTTTTATAATAAGATAATAATGCTATTATAGGCTACATAACTACTTATAATCTTTAAAATAATATAGTTTTATAACTTTAAAAGTGACCTTCTTTTATATTAATAAATATATAAATTATTCGCCTTATATTTAGTAACTTACTCTTTAAATAGCTTTATATTCCCCTTATTATTAATGACTATAATTACTATATAAATAGCATTAATAAAAGTAATTAATTATAAAAGAACTTTACTGCTTATAGGCCTTATAAACGCCGTATTTGGCGCCCTTTATAGTACTATATACTTGATATTTGCGCAGTTAACAGCTATCTCATTTAGAAAAGGGATATAGCAGATACAAAGAAAAGAGGCTAACGCCCGTTTCGAAAAGCACTTATTGACGCCCTTCTCAATATGCCCTACCCTATCGAAACGCTAGTGCCTGTTAAGCAGTACTATAAGAGCAAGCCTATGCCTCTGCTCAATCGAGCAACTCAAGGCCATAGCTGGCAGCCCTTGGAGAAGCGTCGATACTGCGTATGGTGCAAAAAGAGTGCTCAAGAGGAGGAGAAGAGCAATAGGCCAGCGCTGGCAGAAATCGTCAATTACGTCGCTCCTAAGCGTACGAAGATGACGTACGGAGGATGTAGAAGCTGCAACGTATCTCTATGCGTAAAAGGACCTTGTTTCGAGCTATATCATAGTCAATAGCCAAATAATAGCTTGCTGGCGCTGCTTGCTGGCGCTTTTTACTCGATTTCTACTCGATTTCTGTATGCCAAGCAATTTTGACGCTAAAAGGAAGCAAATTCACCACCGGCGCGTGGGATACAGGCCTATACAGGAGAGTCTGGGCATTCTTCTTATAGAGTTCAATATCTCCACCATCAACAGGCAAATCAACCATGACAGATCTCAAAAGGATGCATAAGATAGACTGGCAAGGTTTGAACTAAATCCATCATGTCAGCAAATTCGGAGAGGATGATTACAGTTTTATGGCCATTGTCGATTTGAGCTGGGCATTCCTACATACTATACTATATAAGGAATGATCTGCTATGCTAGAACGGACTTGTTGGCGGACCGAGTACTACTACCCCACAGCTCCTTCCCCTATGTAGAAATTTATCTCCACTGCTTGCGTAAGGCTCCAATTTCAACGTCTTACGGAGTACATAAGGTCCATTTGGTGCTAGAAAAGCTTTTCGGTTCCTGGCATGATGTCCCTCCGAACAGCCAGCAATACAATCCTTAGCCCTGTTGGTGAAAGTGGGTGTAAATCCTTCAAGGCTGTTCTCTTTGCATATAAACTGCTTCGTCCTATCCTGGTCTTGCGCTGCGCTGCACTCTCCCGTGATCCGTGATCCGTTTCTTTTTCAATCATGTATTTCAATTTCCAGATCTCGTGGGCATTAGCTATGTCTTTGTACATACATGAAAGTGTTGCTCAACAACTTCCGCAGGTTGATCTTGGGTACGAGACACATCGAGCCATTTCCTACAATGTAAAGTGCAGGAGTGTCATGAATTGATGTTCACTGACGGCACAAGTCCACCACACAAATATACAACTTCACCAACATCCGCTACGCACAACCACCTCTAGGCGGACTTCGCTTCGCTGCTCCAGTGCCACCAGTTGGTCGCAATCCTGTTGTTCAAAATGGAAGTATTGGAGCTGTTTGTCCTCAGGCTGCCCCAGCATGGAGTCCAGTTGGTGCCGCCTTTACTGCCGCATATTTGACTGGACGACCGTTCAACTTCAGTGCAGTAGTGGCCGCGCTCCAGGCCAGCAATACCTCCGCGCCCGCCCCTGATCCTCGTACAAGCGAGGACTGCCTCTTTCTGGATGTCATTGTCCCCAAACCCGTTTTCGACGCTGGACAACGTTATCACAACCGGGGAGGTAGAAGACAAGGAGCTGCAGTGCTGGTTTGGTAAGCTCGATGGTCTGGCTTCACTTTTCTCGTTTGGATGCTGATCAGTATTCAGGATCTATGGTGGTGGCTACGTATTGGGCGAAAAAGGTGGAGAGTATGACCCGACCGGCTTGATCGAAGCCAGTAAAGTGGATGGCTCAGAAGGAATTATCTTCGTAGCGATGAATTATCGACTTGGTGCCTTTGGTTGGCTCTCGGGGCCAACTCTGCAGTCAAACGGTACCGCCAATGCTGGTCTCTATGATCAGCGACTTGCCATTGAGTGGATTCGTCAGAACATCCATCTTTTTGGGGGCGATCCTCAACGAATTACTGTAATGGGTGAATCGGCTGGGGGAGGATCTATCATGCACCAGATCACTGCATATGGTGGAACCGTCCCCGCTCCGTTCCAACAAGCTATTCCACAATCCCCTGGCTTCCCTCCAGTACCATCGAACTTCGCCCAAGAACAGATTTTCCGGGAATTCTTGGACATCCTCGGTGTCGCAACCATCGAAGAAGCCCGAGGTCTACCTTCAAGTACTTTGATCGCCGCGAATGCCGCCCAGATTGGCTTACGATCCAGGTATGGGACATACACATACGGACCTGTTGTGGATGGATCATTCGTTCCTGGCCTTCCTGGGGAGTTACTCTTGCAAGGGGCTTTCGACAAAAATATCAAGGTGATGGCGGGCCACAATTCGAATGAGGGTGTCTCCTTCACAGACCCTCGCGTCACTGACGACACAGCTTTGGCAACATTGATCCGTGATAACTTCCCTGGTATACAAGATTCGGTAGTGGACTATATTGTCAATTCGCTCTACCCAGCCAGGTATGACGGCTCTCAACCATATAGAAATGGGCTTGACCGCACAATTCTCATCCTCTCGGAACTGATCTTTACATGCAACACGGTCTATTTGGCAAAGGCTTATGGCAATAACACGTACAACTATCAGTTCTCTGTACCGCCCGGTATCCACGGTTTCGATGTGCCGCACACCTTCTACGGTGGCTTCCCATCAGGTCCGACCATTAACACAACTGTTGCATTGGCTCTGCAGGAATACTTGACCAGCTTCGCGCAAAACGGCGTTCCCAGGGGAGAAGGATTCCCAAACTTTCCGTTGTATGGTTCTTCGTCAAATGAGTTACAGCTAAACGTTTCCGGTATCAGGACCATGATGGACTCAACCAACAACCCGAGGTGTGCGTACTGGCAGAAGGCGTTGTATTATTAGCAGTCCCTTTTAGAGTTGTGTGTCAGCTTACAAGAGATCTGGACCAACATAGAGGTTCGCAGTTGGAAGATACATCTGCCTCCTCCTTGCTACAATATGTCTTGCACTGCGACGGGCAAGTCGTGACCTCTTTTGACTGTTGGGCATCCCCCATCATTTTGTACTTTGCTCACAACTTCTAGGGTTTCAACGCTGCGACATGCACCCGGGTAAAAATAGACAAAGCGGGACTTTTTAGGAAACGCACGGCCTATCCCACCTGCAGCTGGTGGGGCCGTTTTGTAATCTAGCACAGGAAAAAGATATCTAACTGCATTTTGCGCAGCCCTACGTAGTACATAGCCTTGCATGTGCAGGAAAATTGAAAACCTTGAATACATAAGATAAACTTGGATATTTGGCTTCGACTGCTGCACAGTTTACAGCGTGCATTTGGTAGTTCGTATGAATAAATAAATCATGCTACATGCTTGCTGGGGGGCTTGTCAGAGCTTCAGTAAGCGAAACAACCAACCTATTTCCCTCGTCTGGCCCGGCAGGATGGGTGCACTATTACTAACTATTACTGATTACAGTAGTTAAGCAGCCACTAAGAGACTAGGGTTAGACTTTCCGGAACCAGGCTCTCCATGCGTAAGTTGAACTGCAGGGGTCAAGGTCCAGGGGATCCTGAGACTACGCCATTCCATTTCCAGGGGCCAGGCATCCCTTATTCCACTTCCAACAACTAAATCAGTCCATACACAGAACTGCGTTGGCTCTCACAAGGATTGTAAAGCAAAGTCACATCCCTTCTGGTCCCCGCGTACATTGCCAATTCTCGCTATCAGACGTGGAAGTCTCGTGAGGCAGCCTTCCCAATGTTCAGGCGATGTTCAAGCCAGTCTTCGAGAGCAAGGGAGATGCTCTCCTACATTGCCTGTCACAGAATTGTTGCCGTGGCCGCACAGACCAGCGGATGCTCCAACGGTTGAGATGCATGGCCCGAAGCTATGAAACCAAACCTATGTGATGACTTCTCCAGTTCGATCTTTTAGCGTGGTGTTGTGCCACCTGGGTCCCAGCATCTTGCTACACCCCACAGCCTCGACCAAATAGATCTTCAAACAGCTCGTTCCTTCGTGACAGCTCTATCGATAACATTGCCCCACTTGATAGCTCGCGGATGAGATCCGTGTCACAGATAGAAGACATGGGCTTTGGTCTGTTGCATCTGTCGCGGCTGTCAAGCTGTTGTGCACTGTCCATGTCGATCGTCGATTCTGCCATAAGATCTTGAATCTGTAGGTTTCTGTTTCTGGCAGATGACCCTTTTCGCAAGGCTTCAATGAAGATCTCTGTTTCCTTCAGACCATCCTCGTCCAGCTACTTTACCATCTCCGAACAGAGGGATGGCACCTGCAGTTATACTAAACGACCGCGACACGATATTTCCTCGCCGCCTTGAGGGAAATCCTGGGTCATGGCGCGCAACTGCTAGCGCAGAGGCCTTTATCATAGAATCATGGAGTCAGGGTTTTATGGTGGCAGCTCTGTTGATTATGGCTTGCATCACTATCTCGAACATGAGGGCGGGCATCTTTCTGCACAAACTGATCTTACTGGAGGCATGTGAGAAACCGAAGCCACGGAACTCAATTGCTAACTTCCTGAGCAGCTCTTCCTTGCCATGTCGCATGGGACATTTTGCTTCATGAGCTTTGACGGGTACGGATGGTACTTATCATCGACAGCAGCGCTGTTATATTCCTCCTGGATCGTACACAATCTGGTAGCCTGGCTGAAAATCAAGCCGTTCTTGACAAAAACCGCAAGCAATCTCTTTGTTGGGACATTGTGCTTGACAATTCCTCCTATCTTACTACAAATCGTTAACAACTTCTTGTTCTTCAACAACATCAACGATTTGTACGTCCGGGTTAGACCTTTCGAAGTACTCATGAGGTAAGCCAATTTACTTTTGATTCCTTCCATTCGCGGGCTAATCAGTTCTGCAGAGATCCATGGTGGATTTTCGCTTGCATCTTATTCTTCTACGTCATTAAAACCCGTTACAAGGTCTCCATTCGAGAACTGATCAATGGTCATCCTCGCTTCGCTATCATGCTTGTGGCAATGCTCTTCTCCATGATCTTCACAATCGTCGACGTTCTCTCGAGCGTCATACCAAACCTGACTGCAGTCGATGGGTAAGATCTCCGCCCCGAAAGATTCTCAACTGTCCATTTTATACTGAGTCCCATCTAGCATCAACCCATACTGGAAGATCGCGCTCGTCTTCAAGGCGCTCACCGATGTCATAATCCTAGATGATTTCAAAACCTGTCTCGAAAAGCTCCGCAGCAAGCTCGTCGACAGCCAGTTTATCATGATGCCCAAACCGCCACCCGTACCACCAAAGGACTCCAAACCAAAAGAAAGAGCAGGGGCGACGACACTCACCGCCTGCGCAACCGCGAAATCCTCTCCCACCCTAGTATCAGGCCAAGGTCAAAGCCCTAAAGACAGCCTCGGTACTACAGAATCAAGAACAGAAGACACCACCAGCACCAATCCAGGAGCACAAGTCCGGGCCCAACGCTCCACATCCGTCCGCAAGACTCTTGGTCACATCGGCACCCTCCTATCCCCTTTACCGAATACCTCGCAAATGCAAACGCAGCACGCCACCTCGCTGACCCCCTCCCCTCTGCCCAGCGAGAAAAGCCCGCACTCAGGCGGCTCGCACACGATCCACGTGAAAATGGACCTGGGGCTCAGCAGATTCGTCAGCAGCGTGGTTGGACGTCGACCGCCGTCGGTCCAGATGGAGAGTCCGCTGGATCCGACGTGGCCAAGGAGGTCTACCGGTAGTGGGTTGAGGAGGGGTCTGTCGGTGCTGAGTAGTGGCGCGTTGAGCAGTATGACGAGGTCGAGCACGAATAGGTCGTCGACTGTGCCGAGTAGGCCGGACAAGACGCCCACTTGGTCCGATGGAATGCTGACGCCTGCGCCGGCGCCGGTGCCAAAAGGGGTATGATTGTGTATGTGTAGGAATGGAGTTAAGGGGGGGAATTGACGGCGTTAGGTAACGAGGCATTGAGTGGTGTCACCGGGGTGGGTACTGGTAGGCTGTCTACGCTGCCTGTGATGCCTGTTTGGCGCTAGGGGCGATGTGGCCGAATGCTTCCTTTTGCATTCACTTTCCCATCCACTGTACATTTACTGGAAGTGATATGGATGGGGGCTTTTTGGGGATCGCGATAGGAGTTATGAGGGAATGAACCGACAGTGTGTCTGCTTGTAAGCATCGGAGTTGATCGGGTGACTTTGACCGCAATAGTTATACTGCCGCCCAACATTGTTCCTCGGGACAAATCGGATGAAGTATGATTTGATCGTTTACATTTCAGCAGAGATTCGTGGTGTAAAAGATTGTGTTGGACCAAAAGGACCGCGGCCTTCAGAAGACCGTAAACTAGCTTTTGTCTGACAGATTGCTATGGAACGGTAATAATAATAATTATAGTGGTGGTGGTGGGAAAGAGATAAGAAGAGCTGGAATAGAGAAGACAGAGCACAGTCGTCTGCTGACGCCATCTCGATTAGATTTCATCCTTAGCATAGGAAATAACTACATCGTTGTCATCGAAGAAGAATGGATTATTGTGAGCCCGATAATGTGTGGTTTTCGTCGTCCGCATCGGCAAACCTTGGTTTGTGACATTAATCACCTTCTGAAATATGGCGCTTTCAATGGATGTCTCCTTAGATTGAGGGGGCTCGCTGATATTTTTCCGCTCTTCAATGGGTGGCTTGTTGCTCGGAAGGGTTTCTTCAACTCTCTTTGCAAGTCGGCGAAGCGAGGAGTCGATCAATGGTTGGAAGAGGTAATCATCGTCCTTAGAGGTATGTATAAATCCCTTAAGACTATAAAGCAAGTGGTAGCACATGCTCGGAAAGAGAACCCTATGAATCTCGTAGATTTCTCGAAATCTTGGAACATGAAGGTAGCGATCCTTTGTTTCTTTAGGGAAGAACTCCCCGGCTTTACAGTTTTCTTCAAATGTCTTAAGATGACGAAGCAAGCGGTCACTCATTTCTCCAAAGAGGGACTCATTGTCCCTGATGATTTCTTCAAATCTCCGGACGCTACAGTTTTCTTCAAATCCCTCAAGATGGTGAAGCGAACGGTCCCTCATTTCTTCAAAGAGGGGCTCAATGTCCCTGCAGATTTCTTGTAATTTCCAGTGATGAAGCGAGCTGTCCCTTGTTCTTCCGTGGAACTTGTCGGCTTCATAATCTTCTTTAAGTCTCTCGAGGGGGCGAAGCCAGCCGTCCTTCATTTCTTCGATGAGAGCCTTATTGCCCTGCGGATTTCTTGTAATCTCAGCGAGCGGTCGCTCGTATCTTCGTGGGACATGTCGTCCCTACGGTTTTTTGTCGATTTCTTCTTATATTGACTAGGCAGGCCGCGTTCTAGCCTCTCCTCGAGATATAACTTGTTGCTCTTAAGGGTTACTCTGGAATTCTCCTTAGGTTTGAGTGGCGCGCTTATATCTGAGATCTTTCCAAGGAATGGCTTGCTACTTTCTGGGGAAATAGGCTCAGGTAGTATATCCCGAGCAATAATGACTTCCAGGTGCATGTATTGTTGGATTCGCTCAACGTCGACATACATATCCCTTGGCGCAGGAGGGTTGATGAAAACGCAGTACCAGAGATAAAATTTGCTCCTTTCCGCAAGATTCTTCTCATCTGATAATCGATTAATCCGAGCTCGGCTTTCCGCAAGATTCTTCTCATCTAATAATCGATCAATCTGAGCTCGGCAAACTGGGCTCATGTTCTTCATGATTTCAACCACTGAGGTGTTTTGATTGCCCTCAGCAACCACAGCCCGTGATTCTTCTTGTGACTCAGGAATCTTCACCCTACTTGCCACCCGCCAATTCTCGCGCGGCGTGAAGGTATAGTGCTCATAGAGCCTTTCTACATCTCTGTGCGTTTGTCCATCCTCCGCTGTAGCGACAGAACGCTGCCCCGCTATCGCAACGGAAGACTCCTCATCGCTATCCATCCTCAACCCGTGTATGTTGTCGAGGATCCGGAGACAGGCTTCCAGATCTTCGAGCATTGACTCCTCTAGTGGTTTCTGAAAAACCAATGGAGGCTCGCAGGAACGACGGTCATTATGCTCCCGAACCGGAAAATCGTCCTTGTCCCGGAGAGGAATAGACTGTTGCTGCACGCTCTTGCGTTCCACTTTCGCCGAGTCTTGAAGGATTGACTGTTTGATCGAAAGCAGGTGAGCACGGAACGTGGCAAGCTCACTATCGGAGCTAGCAGAATCATATTCTTTCAGCACAGGGAGAATGTCAAACAGATCTGTAATGGCGGGAGACATGTCCCCGACATATTTTGCAATCGACGAGGAATCAGGCGGCAGGTACGTGTCCACCTTTACTGTCCTACCATTTCGTCTTGTTAGTCTCTCTCCATATTGAATTGCGAGGTACTTGCAAACGAATCCTGCACAGCTAAGAAATGTAATGGGAGAACGAACTGTAACCTGCAACAATTCAAGGAAAGCTCTGAGGTGACCGCTTTCAGCCCATGTCGTATATCACTCAATTTATGTAGTACAACTTCGCACAACGTGGAGCGTTTGAACTCTACTGTACTTGCCCAGCTGCCAGCTTCGGTTTCAAGCTGAAAGGCGTCTTCCTGCCAAAGCGCCCATCGCAAACGGAGGTCGCGAATGCCTTCGAAGGTGCTCCGGAACATAGCATTCTGTGGGATCGGTCTGATCTGAGACCAACCATCTTCTATCAACAAAAGAATGTCAGGTAGTAATCCAAGAAGGACGCCATAGAATTGGCTCCGCTCAAAGATGTTGTGTCTTTCATCACGTCCCTTTGACTTTTCAACAATTTCCTTCAATGTTTCTAGCTTTTGGAGAATGGCTGTGTGCTGCTGGTATATCTGGGACCCTCTTTTAGATTGTAGAGAAGAGCTTGGAGGATGTTCCGATGAAGGATCCGACAGGTAATCGGTCATACTGCTGACCGGCAACACGTTCAACTTTGTAGCGCCCGAGGTTGTCTTTTTGCTATGAGATCTTAACGTAACGGCCTATTCGCAGTTTTCCGGCTCATATGATACCTCCTTCCTCTACTTATCACTTAATACCTGCAGGCTGTTTGCAATACCTGCCATTTACCAAAGCGTCCGCTTCACGTCCAGGATCCTCGTGAGCATGATAGATTCCTGCTCTATTTCGATCAGGTTGCGCATTGGGAATGGTTCGAGTGCCGCACCTCAATCCTGGAATGGGGCCCTAATGTGCGTCTCGGAAGCGTAGAAGGTAGATCAAGCCACCATAATGACCAGGTTGGGGTTTGTAAAGAGCACCGTAGCTGTAATTGAGTATAATGGCAGAGGATTGATGTTGATGTAAGATATTGTGGTTGCATTGGTAGATTCGGTGGGACAGCTACGTAGATTGGAAGCGACTTCACCCTCCAGCCTTGGCTTGCGGAGCAGGTGGGGATGCGCAGAGCCTCACCCAGGTGCTGCAGCACTCCAGCTGCATGAGAGAGGCGACTGCCACGTCCCTTCCATTGTCTACTATGGGCTCTGTTGGTCGTGCTCAGCATGGTGACAGGATTTGAGGTCTTTGGTGCGGTCAGTGGGGCTCTGGGTACTCTAAATCTGGTCCGACAGCTTCTCGAAAGCGTGTACACTGTCGGCAAAGACTGGGCAGAATCAGGGAGAAAATTACTAGAGGTGCATGATGGTTTCCAGATCTTCATCGTCCGACTCGAGACATGGAGTGAGAGAACATGGTCAATTGACGCAGAGTTTAACGATGATGTGGGCAAAGCCTTCTGGGGAGACTCCGGATGGCGTTCGATTTCAATTCAGCTTGCTCACATTGACAAGACTGCGGAAGAATTTTTAGTCGTGTTCAAGAAGGCCGCCGATCCAGCAATCATCGAAAAACTGCTGCCACAACATGGGAATCTTCTCGCAAGGGCAGAACAAGCACGGTCAGAGGAGGAGCATGATCGCACTGGCCTGAGCACACGTAGAGGAGACAGTGTGAGAAAGCTCCGGGAACTTGGTGATCGTTTGACAAAATGTCTCAGTCCGGTGTCCAAAGTGAATTTAATCATTAGTCGAGCACCAGTTTTGCTAGATATGTTGGCCGCCCTTGATGCCAGATTTCTTCTCCTTGAACGCGATGCAAATGCTTTCTATGAGTCACAGCATCCGACAGTCCCTAGATCCGTGCCACAGCAACAAAGGCTTTCAACGGCAGAGGGCACAATGCTTCTACGCAATATCAAAGCTACTAAAGCTGCTTCCGAAGCATTGTACCGAGCATGCGGGAACCTCAAAAATGAAGTCTGCACGATAGATCATCGTCGAGTTGAAGGAGAAGGTCTACCGAAACTTGAAATGAACCTTCTTGCAGCAGAACCGCGCTTCCACTCAAACGACGACTGGAAAGGCTTTGCAATGAGATACCATCTTGTTTTGACATCACCTGAGATGGAAAACGAACTTGAAGTGCTTGTCGAGGGTCCACTACATGCCCCACAGCTACAAGCGGAAATCGCTGATGACTTCGCTGAAGCATGTAGACACATTCGAGTTGGACGCCAATGTTATTTTGAAGCAGATCTGGAGATCAACTCACGGTCTGCAACAATGTTTCGCTTGAGCTCCCCGCTTGATCCATTGAGGCCTTGGGAGACTAAGAGTATCCATTTGTCCGGCCTGTTGGGAGCTATAGAAGATATGACTTCTTTTCAAGCCTCAGGACAGTTTCCTTACACAGAAAGGTTGAATTTGGCATTCAAAGTGGCAGAATGTGGACTTCTGCTGATTGGCACTTCCTGGCTCTCCAGCATCGACAGTAGGAATGTTCAACGTCTGTCAGACCCCTCTTGGAAGACCAAGCGAAGATTCATATTTGCAGTTAAGGCTACAGAGAACGAGCACCTTGCCAATGTCGAGCCTCATCTCTTCAGGATTGGTAAACTCCTAGCGGAGATTGCCATGGGCCTGCCTGTAAGGCATATTGCGACTTTCGATGGCCCACAGGGTCCTGAACTAGACTTGGTCATCTCTGTGAAGATAGAAGAAACGAAAGAGATGCGAGCTATGCCCGCCGTGGAGGTAGAGCAGCGGGTACGGCAGGCCATGGGACTTTCATACAGCAAAGCAGTTGCATTCTGTCTGCAACAATCCTCAGATGCGCAAAAAGAGAATTGGGGACGATTGCTTGAGTTTGGGACATGGAAGGAAAAGGAAGAGGCGTACATGAAACTACTGGCGAACTACCACAAGTTGGTCTATTTACCGTAAGCGAATGGGAATTATTACTGATGAGATAACACTGACATTGCAGCAGCCTACAAAAGCATCGGAACCTCGTTGACTGATTGATGTTTAACATATGATCCTCTATTCCAAACCCGAAACAACAGTACGATTGATTCTTATAGGAGTACGCGTTATGATTCAGCAGTTGCATACTGTGCGCCTGAATACTACGTCGAAACACTTAGGACTTGCAATGAGGAAGTCCCCCCTGTGTGTGTGGCCATTTAGAAAATAGCTTCCGCGACAGCTTTCCAAGCGAGGACAGGGACGATCGCTACCACGCATATTCAAGACGGTTACCTTGAGACAATGCTAAGGTACTGTTCAATAAGACTTTAGTTTGGGTCTTCAGATCTGCAGACGCAGAACAGAAAGATTTCCGTGAATTGCTCATATTACAGTCAATCAATGCACTTTTCAAACGTCCTGCTAGAGACAAAAGGCAACTCTTCGCTGCTTCTAACACAACTCTGGCAATCTACATCGCAACCACCCACTTGCTTCTACTTTTCTGAGGTCCTCATGCAGTAATACAATTGTCGTCATCCTTGACACACTCAGGATCGAGTGCAAGAACAAACGTCCTTGCCTCACCATCGATGAGAACCTTGTTGCCGAACGGGGCGTTGCGGCTTTGTTGCCGAGAACAAGACCCATCCTCGTGTTGTTTGACCTAGCGCACTACTTATCTCTGTAACGAGCTGATTGCAACCCGGCACGAATGACGGCATGGACTTATCCGATTGACCTTGTGCATCCGCTTGCATGAATCTGGTCGCTCCGTGGTGGCGGATGCGCGCGGAACCATATGTCTGACTGGGTTTTCGGCTCCGGTTCATTACACAGGCAGGAGATCATTTTATCCAATGTTAGGCGAGGCTCAGGTTCCCTCCAGACGTAAGACCACGATCAACGAGGTGATGACGATACGCTGCGCAGAATAAGACCTGGTTTGTGGCTTCAGGATCCCATATACCTTCGGGAGCAGCATCCATGAAAATCTCATTGACCTGAGTTATCACATGAGAGCCACGCTCTGGTGTTGCCGACACGTGGTACATGAGATCTTTCCACCGCGACTGCTTCTTGGAAGAATAGATTAGAAAAGCGTGTTTCGGCGTGGAGAATAACTTTGTATCTTTCTTCTGTCCCATAAGATGTTTCTAGAAGGCGACAGGAGTAAGAATCGCCTGATAGGGTAAGGGAGCCGCATTTGATCTTAGGGCTGCACACTAGGGCATGACGTCGCCTCGAAGTCAAACCGTCATTGATACGTTGCGAACCTCGGTGATGCTTCAGGGACTTTCATGTGAGAGGAAGTTGCTGTAAATAAAGCTACTCCGGATGGGAGCTCACTTTCACTTACTCGTGTCTCTACAGCACTGATCTCTCGTCTTATACTCCCTGTCTCGTCGAACAACCTGTACCCACACTCATCTCGACTTCAGCAGACCTATTGTGACCCTACTTCCAAGAAGGCATCATGGCGCCCAAAGCAAGTCCAATACTCACCCCTCGAATCCCACACTCAACTGCCCCCGGATCCCCCTCTTCCCCCTCCCAACCCGAATTCTGCTAATGTCACTCCCTCCTCCTCCACAGCCCCAACCTCCTTCCGCCGCCCCAACTCCAACCGAGAACGACTCAAACACCTCCTCTTCTCCCCAAGCCTCCCCTCCCAAGGCCCGAAAGGAACCTCGACCCAACAAAAGACCGTAAAACCGGACGGGGCAGACAAGCCCGGGGAGGGAAAAGGAACCCTCAAAGAAGCCGCGATGAAGAACGTGACCATGTTGGGAGATCCTGTGAGCCTGAAGGTAATTGTGCCCTGTACTCCATCTACTCGTTCTTTTTTTTTACTAGAGGGAAAGGGGAGTTTGCGGGGGTAGAAAAAGGAGTAAGGCTTTACGGGAACAGTGAACTGATGAGTGCGTGTCTAGGCGGAGACGAGTGAGCATAGCCCGAAGCCGGAGGAGGATGGTGCCACGGAGAGGTTGAGGTCGAAGATTTAGGTTTGGCTTGAGTCTTTCGTTGAGGGGAGAGGCTTGTCCATATTCATGCGGGTGGTGGTGCTGGGCGGTATGGTGGCTAATAACGTGATGGGCAAGTTCAGGGAAATGGCCATGTGAGAGGATATCTGACGATGAATCAGCCCTGCATCATGATCCGAGGATTTGGACTTCTGAAACAACTGTTCGAGATACTGGAAAACGCAAACGAAGGCGAGAACGGTTCCGATAAGAAACGAGGTGTTACTAAAGAGTAAATGTACATCTATGAGAACTGCATGCTTCGCTGCAAAATGTTATCCTAGAAGAATGCTTAATCGCAACCAACCTGCCAAATGTCAAGGGGTATCAATGTGCCTAACCTAGAAAGCCAACGCCATTCTTTGCCGCGCCGATAGATTGCTCACTCAGATTCCGTCAATTATATCCAGCACCTCCGCCCAATCCCAAATGACATTGACCTCCCAAGTCCGCTCTCCAGCAGCATCAAAACCGCTCTCCCAAGCCAAACATCCACCAAAGTAAGACTCAAGTGTTGTGGTAGATAGCTCCTTCGATCCCCAATGCTGCAAGACTTTCCAATCGAGAAATATGAGGCGACCCTCGCCCGTGCCCTGACCATTTTTCAACAGCCGCGAGATGGATTGATGGAAGGCGTCTAGTCCACGTCCAGTATCTTCGGCATTCGCAACATCAACAATGACGACGTATGAAGTGTCAGCTGATCTTTCTATGCTGTCTAGAACAACGCCGGCGGAAAATGTGAAGGAAGCTTTTGCGTTGGCAAGTTGAGAGATCAGTTCGTGCTGATCCCTTGGCAGCTTCGTGGCAACTGCGGGAGGGAGGTAGACAATGGACGAAAAACCTTGCAACATGATCGGTATAGATGATGGTTGTCTCTCTTCGTTGCTTGGCATCGCGTGTGGCAGGGTCATGCTCAGGTTCTGATTTGCTCCTGTGTCATCTGGTAGCGTAGTACAGGTCCTTTTTGGTTCTGCAACCGAAACAGCTTCAGCCTTTCCAGTTCGGCCTTTCTCAGCTGAGGATATCGGAGGCGTTGGTAGTGGTGGATCTCCTGGTATCTTTCTGAACATAGCACTGGGAGCAGGACCTTTGGTAATTGTATCTTGAACTATTGCTGCAAGGGAGGAGTGGCTTCTCACTTTATTCGGTGGATGGGGAAGAAGCCTGCTCACAATGTAGGGCGAGGGTCCTGCACCGAGTTCAGGCGAAGGCTGTGAATCTGAGGACGGTATGCCTGGTGCAGCAGAACGGTTTTGGACTTCCGAAAATGGCCGGCGCAGCTGTAGACCACGAGCTGGCAGATCTGGCTCATGAATACAATCGTTGTACTTAGATCGGAAGCTACTGTGCTGTGGTGATAACTTCAATCGCTTGGTTGACATGTTTGCTGTTGGGCTTTGTTCGATAGTAACCCGCTTACGCTTTGTGCCATTATCTGCTACTGCAGGCAAGAGAACAGAGGAGTGCTCACTTCCACTAGTTAGAGCTCTCTCGCGATGCTCCTCCTCAGTCATTTCCTGCGTGTCAATGCGTACAAGCAGCGGAGAGATACATGAGCGACCAGCGTTAGGCGTGTGGCTGTTTATTGTTGCAATGCTAGTATTTCTTTCAGTCGTTGTGCCTGCTGAGTTCTCCGTAACAAAATTTGACCTTGGATCCGCCCGAGTGAGCCTATCGATCCATTCACAATCCTCTTGGGAGTCCTCGTTTGTGGCCATGGCTTGGGCCTTCTCGGCTAGCTCTTGCAGCTCATCGAAGCTCATAACATCATGGCACGATCGATCTTCATGTACTTTAGTAACACGAGGGAATCGCAACGAGTGGAATGAGACGTTGGCAGGCTTTTCGAAGCCACCTCCAACCACTTCAACAACGAAAGGATTCTTGAAAAGTTCGGTTGGTGGATCAAGCTTTTGGTCCATAATCACTTCCATCTCTACTCTTACGGACGCGTATGGAATGCGCTCGAACTGGCCAAGTCTATTGAACAAACGTGTGCGATCTGGCGAAAGTGTCTTCTTTGCAGCACTGACCACTCCAACGATTCGAAACTTGGGCCTTGCTGAGAATCGACGCATTTCCTCTCGATTCTCGAGACAGGCAAGATAGAAGACTGTCCAGCTCAACTTTCCAATATTCAGAGCCTGCTCGTCCCTCGCGATTCTCCGCCCACCAACGACAGCTAAGTCCGCCATATCACCTAGGCCAGTAATATAGTCCTTCTTGAGCTTAATGCATCGAGGTGACCCTGTCAGGGAGAAGTATGGGTCATCGCATCCTTTCAATACAAAGCCTTCCCAGCCCTTGCTGATGCATCTTGCAAAGGCAAGACGAAGCAACGACTTGGCGTCAGAAGAGGCAAAGTTGATCTTCTCCCGGTATCCAAGCTCCGCTTGGCCTGGCACCCGCCGCACGAGGGTACGAAGCCGGCTTCGCCGTTGTTCGAGCGACTCGTTAAGGCAGACTATGTCATCATACAAGAGGAGATCATAGAACATGATCATGACTCTCTCCTGAAGGTCTCTGGGAGAGTCCTGATCATTCCCAAGAAAGCGGCCGTTCCTAGTGACATGCTTTCGGATCTTCTCAAACGGTTGGATCCGCTTGGTTCCTTCATGCCAGATCAATAGCTCACCTTCCAGGATGCATTGCTTTTTGACTGGACAATCTCTTTTGCCGAGCTTCAGAGCATTTTCTATCGCACCATGCAGCCGAACACGATCGTCAGTCGAGTCTTTCCCACTTTTTGAGAAGATCTTGATAACCTTCTTGCCTTTTGAAACATCGATGTGGATTTGACAATATTCGCCATCGTATTTGCGCTCCAAACTTAACCTTCTTCGAGTAGCCATGTCACAGCAATGTTGGATACTCCTGGCCTTGTCGTAAGATTGCTGTTGGACCATGATACCAACTTGTGGTTTAAGATGGCGCGCAACTTCGACTTTGACCGCATGCTCTTGTTCCTCGCTTAGCGACGACCTTGGGGAAATATGTGATACGGCCGGATCGTTTAAGCAATTGATGGCAGCTGTCAAGCAGTTCTGGAGGCGCAGTACATCGGGCAACAAGCGGTGGAATTGACGCATCACCAGTCTCTCCGGCAATTCAACGGGTGTGTACCGCTTGAGAAACATTCGGACGAGCCACTTCGCCTCATAACTTTGCAAACGAGGGAATAAAGGCTGCAGAGCTTCATCTGCTGAGGTGGGATCGAGGATACGCTCCTGCAGTCCTGGTGCCGAACCACCATACATTGCCGCTATTCTATCAAACAGATTATCAATTTCTTCCAAAGTGACTTCATGCTGAGGCCTGGGTCGATCGAACTCCGCTTCGCTCATGACTTTCTGTACTGTCTGAGCAAAATCGGCGCCATTGGCAGTCCTCCACCAACTCAGATGTATCACTCGTGTCCTGCCGAGCCCCAGACTGCGTCCGATAATCTTCTCGAGTCGTTTTTCTTGGACGTTGTAGACTCGATCGGCCCGTCGCTCCGGGAATAAGCATGAAAGGAACGCCACTGCTTCTTTGCCACATCTTGGAATTTGTCTGTCGTGCTTATTGAACCACGACACAATGATTGGTATGTCAGAGTTCTTGGACCGTGGATATGTGACCTTCTTGATTCTATTGTCATCCAAGGATTGTAATAGATCACAGAGGTGACGGAACTTGAAAGGCATCACGATCACGATAGGTAGCAAGAGTGATCAATTCACGAAAGATGATAGAATTGGGCAGAAGAGAGACCAAGGATGATGCGGAACAAAGAAAGGCTGTGATGATTCATTATTATACTCATATAGACAGCTGCTGAGGTCTGCCTGAAGGGATCGGAAGCAGCCATCAGAAAGATATGCACAAGAAAATATGTACAGAAGGTGTTTGCAATACAAGCAAGCAAACTCAAGATGAATTGGTGTTTGATGAAGATGTTTGACCAGATGTAACCATCTCGCGATGTGCCCATGTGCCGACATGAGCCCGCGTTCACAAGACGCGCTAAGTGATTAGTCTGACGCCTATCCACGTGATGCTCATTGGTAAGTAGGGTGGCACGTATTACGCCATAATGAGCTGCGAGCTTGTACCTACCAGGCACCCAGGCTCTATGGAGTCAACCTGAAAGGCGAGAGTAGAACCTCTGATCCTTCCGAAGCTTGATTGTGCACAGAGTAAAGGTAAAAGAGGATGATGGGATGTTGGAGGACGAGGTGTGCAAGCTTTTCACTTTTCTCCTCCAAAACCCCTCTTTGTGAACATCAACCAACAACCCTGCCACTCTTGGGCACTGTCTGATCAGCTTCTGTGTTAGCACCGAAGCGGCTCATGACTTGTAACGGTATCATGTCATCCTGCGTGGCATACGCTGGCACGGAAGCCTTCTCGGATTTCAGAAGCCAAGCCCTAGCAGCAAGTATTGGTGCAGCTGATGTTAAAGCTCAATGGTTTCACTATGTTTGCCTCAGTCGAGAACCAAAAAGCACCGAATCAGAAGTCCTGGAGAGACTCTTGAATTATGGAGTACCTGAGGAAACGTTTCGAAGCCCTGGTGTCGCTAGCAGAGAACAAGTATTCTACGTGGTCCCCAGACTTGGAACCATCTCACCATGGAGCTCGAAAGCTACCAGCATTGCTGTAGTGTGTGGTCTTGGCAACCTTGTTAAACGCATCGAACGGGTCATGAAAGTGTCTGTGTTTCTTACGCCAGATCAGGTTCTCGATGAGAAAACGGCTTTGGACTTTCTACATGACCGGATGACTCAATCAATATCAGAAACTGAGCCCGATACAAATGCAATGTTCCAGCCGTCCACTCCAGCACCCCTAATTGAGTACGCCTGGTCTGATGCTGAAGCAGCAACGCAGGTTCTTAAGGATGCAAATCGTGACCTGGGTCTTGCTCTGGACGCTTCTGAGATTCAATATCTTGCTGAAGCATACTCCAAACTAGGACGCGCTCCCACTGATGTCGAATTGTTCATGTTCGCTCAAGTCAATTCGGAGCACTGCCGCCACAAGCAATTCAATGCCAGCTGGATCATTGATGGCCAGAAGATGCCGAATTCACTTTTTGGGATGATTCGGAATACCCATAAGGTTACACCAAATGGGACTGTGAGCGCCTATAGTGATAACGCAGCTGTATTGCAAGGTAAGGAGGCCAGCTTCTGGGCTCCAGACAATTTGACTGGCCAGTGGGCACAGTCGCAAGAGTTAGTCCACTACCTTGCAAAGGTAGAGACCCATAACCATCCTACTGCTGTATCGCCTTATCCTGGAGCAGCCACTGGCTCGGGAGGAGAAATTCGAGATGAGGGAGCTGTAGGCAGAGGCTCAAAACCTAAGGCTGGGCTGACGGGGTTTTCTGTGTCCGACCTTCTCATTCCAGGCAATGTACAGCCTTGGGAGCTGGATATTGGTAAGCCTAACCATATAGCGAACAGTCGGAGCATCATATTGGAGGCCCCTATCGGAGCTGCTGCTTTTAATAATGAATTTGGCCGTCCATGCACCACCGGATATTTCAGGACACTTTTGACCGAGATCGATATTGGTGGAGGAACAAAAGAAATTAGAGGCTATCACAAACCCATTATGATCGCTGGCGGCGTAGGCACAGTTAGACCCCAGCACGCCATCAAAAGGCCTGATGTGGTGCAGCCTGGATCTCATCTTATTGTGCTAGGTGGGCCGGCTATGCTGATTGGGCTCGGAGGCGGAGCAGCATCAAGCCTTGCGTCAGGTGAAGCATCTGTTGACCTTGATTTTGCCAGCGTCCAACGAGGCAATGCAGAGGTGCAGCGCCGCGCACAAGAAGTCATAAACACTTGTACGGCTATGGACGAGAGGAATCCTATCCAGTTCATCCATGATGTTGGTGCGGGCGGCCTTTCAAACGCATTGCCCGAGCTTGTTCATGATGCAGGTCTGGGTGCAAAATTTGAATTGCGAGAAATAGAGAACGCCGACAAGGGAATGAGCCCTATGCAAATCTGGTGCTGTGAGGCTCAGGAGCGATATGTTGTTGCTGTTGGAAAGGACGGACTGAACAAGTTTCGATCAATTGCTCACAGGGAGCGTTGTGGCTATTCTGTTGTTGGCAAGGCCACCGGTTCAATGCACACGGAAAAGCGTTTGATTTTGACGGATCGGAATAGCAGAGACCATCCGACGGCCATTGATCTGCCAATGTCAATTTTGTTTGGGAAGCCGCCGAGGATGACCAAAGAAGCAGTGTCTCGACGCTTGACACTTCCGTCATTCGACAACAGCTTGTCTGCTTACTTGCCAAAGCTCAGCGGGACAGACTTGTTGAGTGAAGCTGTCAATAGGGTACTAAAATTGCCGGCTGTCGGATCCAAATCATTCTTGATCACCATAGGAGATAGGACAGTTGGTGGCCTGACCGCAAGAGATCAAATGGTTGGTCCGTGGCAAGTTCCTGTGGCAGATCTATCAGTCACAGCAACCTCATTGACTCAAGGGATCAAGACCGGCGAAGCAATGGCCATGGGAGAGAAGCCTACGCTGGCTTTAATTTCCCCTGCCGCATCTGCAAGAATGGCTGTTGCCGAGTCGTTGATGAACACTGCTGCTGCAGATCTTCCAGAGCGGCTGCATGGGGTGAAGCTGTCTGCCAACTGGATGTCAGCTAGTAGTCATCCTGGAGAAGGAGCCGCAATATATGAAGCTGTGGAGGCCATAGGTATGAAATTGTGTCCTAGGCTTCAGATCAGTATACCGGTTGGCAAGGACTCCATGTCCATGAAAATGAAATGGAAGAACGAGAAGACTAAGGAGACCAAGGAGGTTACAGCACCATTGTCGTTGATCATATCTGCCTTTGCACCAGTTGAGAACATCAAAAAGACATGGACGCCCCAGCTTCGAAGATTTGAGGAGGTCGGCGAATCAATACTATTCTTTGTCGATCTAGGCGTGGGTAGAAGAGCTCTTGGAGGATCAGCACTGGCCCAAGTCTTCAAGCAGGTTGGAGATGTCTGTCCTGACATCCACGACGTGGACCTTCTCAAAGACTTCTTTGACGCCACTCAGCAACTCCAAGAAACAGGCATTGTGCTCGCCTACCATGATCGCTCAGACGGCGGCCTGCTCACCACACTAGCAGAAATGATGTTCGCTGGTCGTTGCGGTGCCAATATAATGCTTGATGCTATTTGTCCCTCTTCACAAACTCCTGACATAATCTCAACTCTCTTCAATGAAGAACTCGGAGCAATCTTTCAGGTGCGCAAACATGATGAAAATGTCTTCAAGTCCTGCTTCTCCACCTGCGGCCCGCCACCGAACCTCCTCTATAAAATCGGCATCGTACCCGAATCCTCAGCGAAACAGGACCTCGTAATCTACCACGGCGCCAAACTCATCTACCGCGCTACACGTTCCGAGCTTCAGCAAACCTGGTCCTTCACCTCTCACCAAATGCAACGCCTTCGAGACAATCCAACCTGCGCCAATGCCGAATACGCCAACATGACCAACGACGCCGACCCAGGCCTCAGCTACCGCCTTACCTTCTCCCCAAACGAAAATATACTCTCTTGGAAATCCACCTTCCTCTCTCCCTTTCAGAACAGACCTCGCGTCGCCATCCTCCGCGAACAAGGCATCAACGGCCAAGCAGAAATGGCCTATGCCTTCCACATCGCCGGCTTTGCAGCCATAGACGTACACATGACCGACATCATCGAAAATCGCGTCTCGCTGTCCACTTTTGTCGGCTTAGCAGCCTGCGGCGGCTTCAGCTACGGCGACGTCCTCGGCGCAGGTCGCGGCTGGGCCATGAGCGTCTTGCAGCATCCTGGCACGAAAGCTGAATTCAAGAATTTCTTTGAGAGGGGGGATACTTTCACATTGGGTGTATGCAATGGATGTCAGTTCCTCTCGTATCTCAAAGAGATCATCCCCGGGACAAAAGACTGGCCCACGTTCACAACGAACGAAAGCGAGCAATATGAAGCTCGGTTCTGCATGGTGAAAATCTCAGATCCCCCAGCTTCCCGGAATAACCCAACCGTCTTCCTCCATGGAATGCACAACTCCTGCATACCCATCGCCGTTGCTCATGGCGAAGGACGCGCTACATTCCGTAACAGCAATCCAAACGCTGCGAAGGAGCTGGTGAAGAACAACATGGTGCCCCTGCGCTATGTAGGGAATGATGATTTCAAACCAACGCAAAGATATCCCTTCAATCCGAATGGCAGTCCAGAGGGCATCGCTGGGGTGAGGAGTCAGGACGGGAGAGTTCTGGCCTTGATGCCGCACCCGGAACGCACGATCATGAGTGGGATTGCGAGTTGGATTCCGGATGGGAAGGCGGAGGAGTGGGGGACGGAGGGGCCTTGGGCGAGGATCTTCCAGAGTGCGAGGAGGTGGGTAGGTTAGGATCGATTGCGGATGGGTTGCGTTAGGTTACCTGAAGGTATGGGCATGTGGCGATGAGTACGGTGCTTTAGAAAGAGTTATAGAAGTGTTCTGCCATGGGCGGATGTCAGTGCTTAGAATCTGATGTGACAAGCTCACTACTGCTCGTGTCGCTGCTGGCGTGTTGCAGGATCTCACCCTAGTATTCGTAGGGGGAGATTTAGAAATACCCCGCAGCAGGGTGGCCTCCAATGCTTGCGAACTCACAGTGACAAGCTGATTACTCCTCATGTCACTTCTGGCGTATTGCACTACTACTATTATGAATCCCGGGGTAGCAGACCTCCTCCTCCACAAGGCAGTAAGAGCGCGAGTGAAGACGTCTGGGCACCTTATGTCGCAACTTCTCCGATATCCTCAACTTCGTCTTCCTCTGAACCGGCAAGTCTCCCGATTACGCTAGTTGCAGCCCGAGTCATGTCGATATAAGCCGAAACGGTGACCACTAGGATACCAGCCACGACTCGATGAAGTTGCACTCAGCGGCTCAGGGTTGGAATATGAAGGATATGCTCCTCTTCCCGTGTGATCAAGTGGTCAATATAGTTCCGACGGCTGGGAGCTGCTGGGTCCAGCGATCAGGCTATAGCACAAGCTCTTTTCGATAAGACGCGATTAACCGCATCTTTTCGAAGGATCTTCCTGATGATATCTGCATTTAATTTCTCGACTTCTCGCACCCTCACCGTGAGCTCTTTCGCCAGTCTAACCTCGCTGCGAGGATATTCCAGTACCTCCCCTCCTCCTGCGCGCTTACTCTTCCCATGCTCTTCAACCCCGCAACTACGAACGAAAGGTGGTTCTCGAAGTCGCCTCTCACTTTCCGTAACTGATGCACCAAGGTAGAGTCCTCCGGGATTATGAATGTCGAGTACCCTTCCCCATCATCGTCGTCGTTGTCGTCGTCGTCGCTATCGATCTCGTCCGAAGAGTTGTTCTCGACGCCGTCCCGGAGCTGACGGCGTTGCTGGTGACTCATGGCCGAGGCGTAAGAGCGTGCGTCGGAAGATGTGCGCCTTCTCCCACCGCTGGCGGGGTTATTCAGGTCTGAGAACCGGATGCAGAGATCCAAAACCGAGACAATCTCGTCATGGATTGGTTTCAGCTTCTTGTACGTCAGGCATGCTTCTTCCAGATCTGTGCAGTATCGGTCGTGAGTGTCGATCATTGCGTCGATATCGGCAGCGTCGGCTAGATCCTGTTGGAGCTTGGAGTTGGCTACTTCTACGACAAGAGTTGTGAAATGGCTGTACAGAGTGTTGACGAAGAGGAGGAGGTTGTGGTGGAGCATGAGATTGAGATTTTGCGCTTGAAGAGTAGTGTTGGGTCTGCCTGCACGCACTTGAAAGAAGCTGCGGCGCTCTAGAATGTATTTCGCTCGTCGGATCTGGGTTAGGAATGTTGATACTCGCTGATACGATGCAAGCGAGGGTAGGGTGAGCACGTTGGCGACAGACCAATGCAGCTTATATTGAACTTGTATGTCTTTGAGAAGTTTCATGGATTGTCGGCGATGGGACATCTGTCCGGAGGATTTAAAAGTGGACCTTATGGAAAGCCGCTCGATTTCGACGCATTGGACGTATTTGAAGATGGTTTGAAAGAGGTCTCGGAGTAGGAAACGGTCATTCCAATTCTTGTCGCACCTATCGATGGCAGTGAAGATCTTTGTATCCACTAAATCGGTAACGTAGCCATTGCTAGCAAAGTAGACAGAATGAAGGGCGTCAAGAGTCTTCCAAAGACCGCAATTATTGCCAAGGTGACCTCGTAATGTGCGAGTGACAACATGCAAACGCGATTCGACGTAGTCTTGCACAGAAGTTGCCAAAATCTCCGCAAATGGTACCAGAGAATTTGCGCTCGTGGGAACTGACTCCGGAGGTGTGAGCACTGGAGAGTCGCCAAATCTGTCATGGGGGCTATTCAAACGCTGCAGGAAGACGACCGATTTCCCAACTCTGAAGATTTGTGCCTTGACGGATTGTAGAAAGTTGGGACAGCGATTTGGGGCAGAATCATCAGCCAGTTGGTACCATGTTTGCCATAGCTGCGAGGGATCCTGGCTGAGTCCGGATGTGGTGACAAACATCACTGTCTGGCGGTCACCAACGGTGCCTTGGTCCGTCCATTCTCGCAGAGGTCGGAAATAGCTGTCGAAACATTGGAGGAAGACTGTTGATAAACTTCCAAAACCAACTTCATCGCCACTTGTTTGTGATCGGCAGACTCGATCGAAGACTATCTCCAGATAGTGAACGACATCAATGCTCTCAGGCCCTATGTCTGCTATGAGCTGTGCAAGGGGGCTACAGACTTCCACAATCTTGCCAACAGCTGCAAAGAGCTGTATCATAGTTGCAGCTGCGTCATTCTCATCTACAAGAATCTTGTGCTCCAAGGCAGACAACCGACCATCAACGTGCTGCAGCGTATCTTCCAAGGCTGAACGGAAAGTCTGCATAACATGCTGGGATTGTGGTTTGTTAGCATAACTTCGGAGTAGATCAAGCCGATTTGCAGTATCACCAAAATCAGACAAAATGTCCAGAAAAGTTTCTCGGCTGCAGTTGTTCAGATGAAAACGCTGGTCGATCTCGTACCGATTTCCTACTCTCCAAAAGAGAGCCGTTGGAAGCCCCTGAAGCATGAACAAGATCTCTCGGATGACTTGAAGCTCTGTAAGTTGGTATGAATCGGTTGAGACATTCCGCCAAAATTGGTCTTCACGCAGACGGGCCAATGCCTTGGATCCCGAATCAGGATCAAGAGGCTCGAAGTTCGCCTGAAGGCAAACCTCTTGCTCTTCGGATTGGGGAACCTTACCGTCCGAAGTGGGTACTACTTCGACTGCATCGTCATCAGAGCTGAGGTCGCTATAACAGGCAATTGTCCATATATCATCGCTTCGGTCTACAGGATCAACTGCTTCAATTTCGGCCCATGTCAACGACGGCACCACTGCTGAGCCACTGCTAATATCAGCAAGCCATTCAATCCTGGTCTTATCCGTCGGTTCATCAGAGAGGCGCAGCAGTAGATCTAATATATCGGGAAGCCATTTCTCAGGATGCTGCTTGAGCCTCACCAGACTTTTGTGAAGGGCATCTGCGAGCTATGTTGTTGAGGATCTGCAATTTCTCTTGCAACCCTTCGAATTTTCTTGCGACTTCGAACTGGTTTGTCCGTGCATAGTTGTGACTCTTCAACCTTCTTGAAAAGGCATCGTTGTGCTTTCTCAGCCTGGAAGCCGAGGTGCCATTGGGCAAGAGGGAAGCAACGAGTTGATCGGCCAGAGCAGTATTTGGAGTCGCAGGAGCCATGGCAAAAGATCAAAATAGATACTATTGGTCATCATAGACTATCTTTCTCAATCTTGGCCAGATACGCTCTCTGCCGAGATACAGGTTCAATGCTTTACATCAAGCAGTAAACATGTTTGTGGATTAACTTCTTCGGTCATCCCCTATGGTAGCGCGTTCAGAATCACGGCGGATAGCTTCAGCACTGGTGCTTCGTACTTACGTGGAGAAGGGCTCCGAAAATGACGTACTATTGGTCCGAAGGGTCTTGGCATATTAACCGATGTTTTGTCATTACAAAGATCGTCAAATGGCTATCCTCCGGACTGTCGTAAATTTTGCGTATTTTCTAATTGGTCTTCGAGACCCACTCACAGGCAAACCTTAACTGGATCTGAACGAATAACAGACGTCAAGTAAGACCTTAAATAAATTAAGCTCTTTGTTAAGCTACATCGAGCTTAAAGCTGTCATAATGAGACATCGCAATTCGTCCAGCTTGTAAGTCAAGCGCTTATAATCCAATGATAAGCTCGAGATCTTTCATCGCGTTTATCATAACCAATTAGAAAATACGCAAAATTTACGACAGTCCGGAGGATAGTTTTGGAAAATAACATCCAAAATGACATAAATTTAGTAGATTTTAGATGTCTTGACTACATATTAATTTGCAAACTAGATCATGTTATGATTAGGTTTAAACTAAGCACACATTGATGGTAATTTATAACTTCCAGAGTGTTACGAATCCTCCTGCGACCTACGCCAAGACCATATTCTCTGTGGCACTGACCATGGCTCACAGAGCTCATCTCGGACCCAGCTCCCCGCCGCTATTCTAGCCATCACTGACGACAGGTACCCACAGTTGTCTGTACCTGGCCTCAGCGAGATAAGGGGCACAGACATGTATATAGAGCGTTGTGTTCCTACTTTCGTTTCCTTTTCTTCACGCTTTATCTTGTATATTAGGCCTAACCATAGCTCTCCTGACATTACAAAGTGTCTCACTTATTTTTATCTTCTGGTCCTTAGGTCTGCCTTAACCTATTTTTCCTTTGTCATTATTCCTTGTTGCTTAGTCTAGGCAGTAAAAGAATTATTGTCTCTCCTTCTTTCATCCTGTTCTGCGTCCCTCTTCCTCCTTAGAAGAGTCTGAGATCTCTCTTAAGTCCTTTTTATCTACAGAAGCTATAACTAACACCCGGATATATCTTAATAATAATATAGTTAACTTATAAGAATCTTTTTATATATCTATTCTTATATATAGTCCAGCTTTAATTTATATTCTCTAGCCCTTTAAGCATCTAGCTTAAGATTTGACTTAAGGCTTAATAGCTTAGACCTTATTAATAATAATTATAATCTTGTATTAGAATTAATAACTCTAGTATATATTTATAAAGTTAGAAAAGACTATAGATGTTCTTATATTTAGTGATCTAGGGCCTAATACTTATAAAGACCTAGAAAGGTTTAGAGTAAGCCTTACTTTAAAATTTAAAGTTAATACTAATAGATATCTTATACTTATATTATATGTTTATTATATATTCTCTTAACTTACAGATTATGCCTTAGACATTACTTTAGATAACGTTAATTACTTTAAATAATATTAATAAAGAGATTTATTTAGATTAAGTAAATCTAATTAAAAAACTAAAACTTAACTTTAGTAATACTAATCTAAAGTACTCTATTATCTGTTATTTTAATAAGATAAGATAAACATATTAACTCTTCTCTAAATTCTATCCGGAATTTAAGTAAATTACTAAAAGAATATTATTTTAAGACTATAATCTTCAGAGATTACTCTAACTTATATATTATCTAAGAAACTTATAAAGAAGCTAGTTATAATTAATGTTAGAGACATATTATATAAAGTCTTCGTCTAAGAGTGTACTTAGTAGGATAACCTATTATATGCTATATTATTATAATAGATAACCAGGTTATAAAAGCTACTTATAAGTCTAATTATCTTAGTTCCGGCCCTTACTTATCTTATTATATCTACTCTTATTTCTTATAACTCTATAGATATAAAATTACTTAGTCTGTAAAGCCTTTAATAAATATAAAGCTAAATAAGAAAATATTAATATAATCTAAGCCTTTATTACTATTGTGTAAGCCTAAACTATAGAACTAATATATGCCTAAAAAAACTAAAGCTACAAAATAATCTTTATACTGTCTCTTTTATACTTATTATAGCGTCCTTAACTCTAATATTTACCCTAATAATCTTATGAATAATTATACTTATTACCTTAGTCTTCCTTATCCCTTTTTCTTTATTTAGTAATTATATTAATGTAAAGTTATTAAATAAAGTAACTTTAAACTA